TTGTGAGCCTTAAGTTTGGTGCGACCCGCAGCTGCACGGGGTTGCTGGTCATTTATTTAGGTAACGTCCGTTTACCGTAGTCCAAAAATAACATGTCATTTTCGCTTCACATGGGCATAACTTGTAGCACATGGGTATTATTTTCCCCATAATCGTTGCTTGGTTATGCATGAAACTCTATTTACTGGACTATTGAATTGATATTTTAGTTTTTTTTGTAAAATTAATGTTAAATAATTATGTACATATTTGAGCATGACACGTAAAATAATAAAACTGATTCTGTGATAGGTCTTCGTTGTGTTTTGAACACATGCAATGCGGAAACAACTATTGAGAGCTACACAGCACAACCGGGAAACCCACAGCAATATTAGGTCTATCAGTTTAATTTCATCATTATTTTATTCAAGAAAACTAAATAGGCTCGTAGCAACACATTGCTCAATGGAGTAGCAGTCAAAGGAGCAACACGTCTGAAAATAACGTCCATGTGGAGATGGAGTGATGAAATCAATGAACTCATCTTGTGTGCAGGATCTAGGTAGATTGTTGCATTTCAGGACAGCTAGCGATGGTGATGAATTGGCGAGGAATTCATTCGGCAGTGAATGCTGTTTTATGGCTGCTGCTGATGAATTACTATATTTTTAAAGGTCAAACATGACAAAAGAATTGATAACGAATAGCAAGATGTGCTGCCCCAACAATGCAGGTCACCGCGTGTCTGTTTGCGAAAAAAAAACCCCATGCATCGACACGGTTAATGGGGGAGGGGCAGGTGGCTGTACGAGTGATTGCACAGTGCAGCAGGCCCACGCACAAATATAATTACCAGCGCGAGAAAAATCTGCCTCTGTACTGACAACGGAAGGAGGTGTTCTTGTCACGTGTCTTGACATTGGTCGGTGAGCCGTGCACAGGAGGTGTCACGGCTGAGTACAATGCAACGGTGACGGTTGAAATTCACTGGCTCTTCATGCGTGAGAGCTTAAATTATGTACAGCCATCATCGTCATGATCGATCCACTGCTGGATGAAGGCTTCTCTCGGCCACTACCACCTCTCATGGTCCTGCAATGTACTAATACACTAAGCAACAGCACACAATCTGAATTATTGCACAGTCAATAAAAATGTGTTTATTTGTTTTAAAAGGGCCCATTTGTATATTGTATATGGGAATTAGTTCAATCGCCCCAATGGGACACGTTTCAAAGATTGAGGATGGCTGCGGAATGTTATTTTCTTGAAATAGCTGTTGAAGGAGAATCATACAAATCTGCTACATACAAAATAGGCATTTAGGGATGCATCTCCAGAGACAAATGCATGGATTTTTCTACGGGTCCTTTGGTTTTCCCCTCCACATTTAGAAATATGCTTTTAGAGTATTTCGCTGCTATAAATTTCCACGTGACAAGCCAATTCATTGTGCTATCATTTGTGGCCAGGTCGCTTCTGAAAAAGGGCTATATAGCTCAGTGGGCCTTTCTTGGTAAAAAAAAAATTGCTCTATCTCCGTTGTTGATGCAAGCCTGTTTCGATTGTACGGCGGATGTAATCGTGAGCATTGGGAATGCTTGATTTACTAGAAAATGCCACCCCCCACACCCATCGATGAAAAACTTGCAGCCACGTAGAGCTCCGTGAAAATGTGAAGACAGAGGAGGACTGCATGAACAGATATTTTCGTGATACTGCAGCGGCAATGGTGCTCGTAAATAACACCATTCCTCAAGAAGAATAAATATATACGAGAGGAGACGTTTTGGGCAGTGGTCCTGCTTCGTAGCATTGTAGACAGGGTTGCCACCTCAGAGGTAGAAACCCAGTCTACAGCTTGATTGTGCCTTGAGAGTATCAATTGTCGGATCGGAATCATAATCAGAGTTAATGCTGAGGTTATTTTTTATGGAATAAGTCATTTTACTTTGCAGGCTTCATTTGTATATTTTCATATCATGTGCATTTCTTCTATCCGCAATGCTGACATAAGCAAATCCGGTGCAGGAAATTTGATTTAAAAAAATCAAATCTAATTTACACTCATAATGAAAGTTTCACAACTCATTAGTGAGTATATATGTATGTCGACCTTTTTTTCGCACTATACGTCACCAACCTCGCTAATCAGAGGTGTGAGTCGTGGGTTTGGCTGACTTGAGGAAAATGAAAGAATAGGGTATGGAAGGAGCCATCGCATGATCTGCAAGCAGTATCGAACTTGTAATGGTGCAATGCACAACAGCGGCCACTGGCAGTGCTCCGATTACCGTGTTCATTTTTCATCATTTGGGGTTTTTCCCTGTGGTTAGAATGAGTCAAATGCCAAGTGCATTTAATGCACCTGTAGCTTTGCTTTCGACGTGGCGTTCAAGTGCCGCTATTAAATTGCAAACATTTCCCTCGCTGCTTTCAGTTGGTGCTCATCGTGTTTTAAATGGCCTGGTTGGACACTGGAAGAGTGTTCTGGATAGTTTTATGGCCATTGATGAGATTTAAAATCACAAAAAAATATGTTATTTTAATTATTCTTTCGAATAGTATATATGTTGTTTGTCCCTTAATTGTGATTCTTAAACATGTAATTGTTAGTTTTAATGTTAGGTAAGTAACACTTAGCCTGTGTTCTCTAGTTACCTGGGTGAAAAGTAAGCCACCTGGCTAAAAAACGTAATAAATGAAATGGCATCCATTTTCTTAATATTTTGGCGAAAAATATTCCCCCTGATTAATTTATCCGTAGCTCTATAACGGGATGCTGCCGTGGTGTAAGGGTTATCAAAGTAGACTTTAAATCCAGTGGTCACCGGTTTGATTTTAGCGCCATGGGTGAGATGTCTTAAATCATCCCGCCGCTGTCCACCGAGCACTGTACATGGGTACACCACAGCTAAATCAATTGGCGTGTCATGTGTGGTGGGGTAAATTATGGGTATACTCTGCACAAAACCCTGTTTAGAGGGGCTGTCTAGAGCTCCCTCTCTGTCGTCGCTCTTCGCTAGCAGTGGCATGAGCAAGCAATTGCAGAGCTGCACTTTTGCAACGACAGAAATACAAATAATACCATCCCTGCTGCCGTAGTTTAAAACATTTTCAATGGCGCTTTTAAACCTTTTTGAAAAGTTGCTGGACAGATTTTCAACGATTTTAGCACTTTTATTTATGTGCGGTCACACAGTTGTAAAATCTATAAACCAAATCTTACTATAGAATAATAAAACAAAGTATTGAATTACCATCGTTGCAATAGAGTATACTGTAATTGCCATGTTTAGACCATAACACGATCTAATTTTCACATGCCGATCATCTCAATATTTGCAGCCACCACGTGTGTTGCTGGACAATTGTTTTTCCATAAGTTATCACTGAAAGTAACTTTTTTCCCCTCCAGATTTGAAGTAACATTATTTTATAATGCACTGCCTTTGGGAGAGGCCGACAATACCAGCTCACTTTTAGATGTGTACTCATATCCTGCAGCCTCATAATTATTAAAGCGGAAACGTAAAAAACGTGGTTTTAACAATATGTGTTCGTCTTTCGCCCATCTCATCTATTATTTATTCAAATAGCACTATCAGCATCGTGTCATAAGACAAAGGATCCATTTGGGAATATTGTGGAGCAATGCCTCACTCTATGTGTCAGAACAGCTGCAGAAGAGAATATTCCACAGGGTTTCTGAAAAATCCTTCAAGTGGCCTTCATCTTTTACACAACAGGGCTGGCACAGTTTTTTTGGATGACTGTGAAACCAATATTTTTAATCCTCAGAGCTGGAATTTAGGTAATTAAGTACAAAAACAATCTAATATTATGTTTTGTGTGTGTGCAGTCATTGGTGTCCAACAATATATCATCAAATTGGGAACCCATTTTAACCATAAGTGGTTGGCAGCCAGGTTCGGACCCCTAACAGTGTTGGCTCAGCCGTTTGACCTCTGGACCACATGGTCACCGAAAAGAATGGGTTTTTATTTTTTTGTATCAACGGTAGCAGAGAATTGTCATAGCATACCGGGTTTGAAGAAATATATACTGAAAATAAATATGTTGTGTACAGTATTTCCAAGCAACAGTCATTAAGAGGTCTCTTTCTTTGTGGAGATCCTATTTACAGGACACTTCTGGCAGATTACCCATTTTACAACAGTAATCAATTATGTATCAGCACTTAACGTCCTGATTAGCCCCTTCCTTTTGGCTGTTGTCTTGTCTCTAAACTTAGTTCAGTACCGCAAGTTACAGTGGACAAGGGACATTGTGACAATAATTTAAAGGGTTTTTGCAAAAAGTGTCTACAAATGGAGATCATTATAAATTAAGTGACAGTGGTAAATGATCGGCAGTATGTCCAATGCCCATTACATGAGCTGTTTAAATTGTCCATAAGGGCTGCAGAAAACCCTCCCATTTGTGCCATTTCATCTTTCACAGTGAACTCCACTCACTTAATATGCCGTATTTGTCTAATGAGTTTTTAAATTGGCCATTTATTGAGTGACACGTAAAATGCATTAGGCTGCTTAATTCTATTTTCCTGATATGCATACGCACGAACATAACTCGAAGATTTCATGTTGCAAACATTTTTTTTCCCATTGCCAGGAAAATTATCTCAGCTTAATGTCACAGCCATGACCTTGTAAATGCTCTGTATCTTGCCTTGTTTTATCTTTCCACATTCACCGTATTGCTCTGTCTGGGCAAAGAACATCAATTAATAAACGCAGCCAAAGCGTCGCTAGTATGCAAAGCAAAACACGGCCGTTCCCGGATTTAAACACAGATCTCAAACGCAATCGTTTGTCGAGAAAACAATTCGCAGCCTGCTCACGGCAGGCATTTGGATCTTATCAGTATCATGCGTTCACATCCGCAGGCGTCGCACGTGAAAGGACTACGGTTACGTACGATTGTAATAAAACACCTGTGTGTGCTCATAGTCTGTCTCTCTCCCCCCGCACCTGCTGGCACGCTGCCCATGCCAGCGGGATGCAAAGGGGCGCTTCTTGATGGACCACGTGTGCAACCATCTCGACCTACTGGAGCGCGACTACTTTGGAATTCGCTTCGTCGACCCTGACAAGCAGCGGGTGAGCTGTGTGGTTGATGGGCCGGGGCGGGTTGGAGGGGAGGTGAGCGATGCCATTCCTTAACGTCGTTCCTTCCTGACAGCCCCGTTAATTTATTGCCACCCTTGGGCAGTGCCAAACTGCTCCCGCGTTGACCAGGGCGGACTTGTTCACAACAACCTTCTGAGGAGGCACAAGGCATCAAGCAGTAAGCAGTGATGGCTGTGCTGATGATTCCTATACAAGGATGTGAAACTGGTTTCATTGTTCTGTTGCCCTTCTAAAACAATATTCGTTTTGTTGAGATTGTGGCCTTAAGTCAAGGATATGCGCAGTTATACAAGCAGCAAGGCGAAGTCACGAGAGATCCAAGGCATGGTGGGAAGACCGATCCTTTGATCACACCTGCACATTTAGCTGTGGAGAAATCAGCTTGTGCGTGTATTATTGCTTGTAATGCTAATGTTCCGTAGGCAGTCATGTTTGCTACAATGTCGCATTGGGCCGATGTCACTTTAAATGCCCTGTGTATAATTTTTTTGTTTCTCTCCTCTGCACAGCATTGGCTTGATCCTAAAAAATCGATCGTGAGACAAATGAAATGTAAGTGAGCAGCACAGGAATGCAAATTTAATTATCGAAACACTGACGTGCAATTGAATGAATGGTTCACGAAATATCGTGTTTTAACGCTATTGTGTCATCTCTTCGACCTGTAAGCAATCTTCCCTTTTAGAAATCTCTGATTTATTTGTCAGTGTTTTTTGTTTTCTGCACCCCCCTCCACGCCTTTCTCCCCAGGCCAGCCACCGTTTACTATGTGCTTCCGAGTAAAGTTTTACCCTCAGGAGCCATCAAAAGTCAGAGAAGAAATCACAAGGTGAGCGTATTGCAGAAATATAATGCTCCCTGGATCATTCATGTGCAAAACCTTCTCAATTCGGTTCATTTAATTCTTCCCCTTCTGAGAATGTCAACTCTCTCAAGGGCTGAGCTTCTTGTGTTTCAGACAAAGCTCGCAGTAGTGGTTCTTTGTTAATGACAGAGTCATCTAGAATTAGAGTCATTGATGGGTTGTTTTTTTTAGCATAGCCTTGGTTGATCTAAGTATTATGGCACAGGCCTCATCTATACTATTCTTTAGTTACAGGGCGGGTGACATGGCCTAGTGGTAGCGCATTTGACGTGTGTTGCAGAAGTTTCCGATTTGAATCCAGCGGCCGCCCTGGTTCTTACTGCGGGTGTATTAACCGTGAAAATGCATGCCATCTGCTTGACGGTGGACTCTAAATCCCTGTGGAATCATTCCCAAGAGTTGGCTATTTGTGCGCCAGTGTCATGGTCAAAGTTTGCCAAATTTTTAAATGGTACCTGTAAATTACTCCGTTGCAATCTAGATCACAATCATCACAACCTACTGCAAAATAAAATTGCAGGAAGCTCTTAAAAAAAAGAGTTATGAGACTCGAGGCAGCTTTCCTGGGTAAACAAGCAAAATATATTCTTGGTTCTTTCGATAAAGTCACGTAGAAGGGAAACAATAAAATAATAAAAAAATATAAAACAATAAAATTCTCATGACATTTCGATTGAAAACATTTTCTTGCTGTGGTTTTCACACCTGATGATGATGAGTGCTTGTGTTGCAGTCGAAACGTCGTGAGAATTGTATTGTTTTATATTTTTTATTATTTTATTGTTTCCCTTCTACGTGACTTTACCGAAAGAACCAAGAATATGAATTCCTGCAGTCACGAAAGCTTTAAATCATAAAGCATAATGTAGTTCGAATAGATTAAAGCTAAACCACAAATATTTTTTCGTAACATATTATTGTGCCACATTTTGAATATTCATGTTAATTGTGATTTTGAAAGCACTGTTGTGATACGTAATGTACTTAAATATATTCTATTTCAGTACATTACATGACATTCACCGATATTTATACATTCAATGATGATATATACATTCACCGATATATATCGGTATATATCAGTGAATATATGTGAATATATACGTGGATGTCATTTTATTTCTCTGTTAGTGTTTCCTTTTCTAGCACACGTTTAAATATATTGACAATGTTACAGTAATAATGCTCTAAATGTATCTCATGTCACAGAAAACTAAAATGAAGATTACATTTTGATTTAAAGCTTTCGTGACTGCAGTAATTCATATTCTTAGCTCTTTCGGTAAAGTCACGTTGAAGGGAAACAATAAAATAATAAAATATATATTATATTATTGTTTTATGTATATATTTTATTCTTTTATTGTTTCCCTTCAACGTGACTTTACCGAAAGAGCTAAGAATATAAAGTGAAGATTATTAAGAGTCTAATGTCTAGTTTTATCCTACATTAAGTAGCACGTATAATTGTATATACATGCCCGTGATTTCAATCCAATGCTGAATGAGGGCCTTCCCATGCTGTACAGGTGGTGGGGGGATTATTCGGTCATGCTTCACCACGCTGGTTAGCGCGTGTTTGGTGAAGGAATCTGTAACAAAATGTGCGTGGCTAGCAAAAACAACTCAATACAACTCAACTCAATGCATTTCATTACTATACTGTGCATTATCAAATTATGAAACGCCTCTGTTTATCCTGTAAAGGTTGTGTAGGCATTGTGCATCCCATCTGGTCCGAGCGATATACATCCATGGCAGCTGAGCACAACGTCCGGTCGAGGCCAAAGTCGCAAGAAGCGCGTGGCAAAACTCGCCAGCATTTTTTATGCGGTGCAGCCCAATCAATATTCATTCAGTCGTTCATGTCTGGAGGTGCCAGGTGGCTGTTTCTTTTGGCACTCGCACATCAGCGTTTGATGTTTCTGAAAGGGCCAAGCTGGCAACACGTCGATGAGCAATATTGATCCAGGCTGCTGTTGCTGCACTTGGTTAAAGTTCAAAAATAGACGAGAGTTGAAAGGATTTTACTTTTGGATGCAGCGCAAGTTTCCTTTTGTTTTTTGAAATGTAAGCTTCTGACGATGGTATCTTTTTTTCCACCTTCTTCATTGAATAAGATCGGACACATTATGTTCATTCGGAATTATATGTATGTATTAATTGTTTGAATAGTACACAGCAAAACAAAACTGTTAAGCCATACTGGAGGTTTGTTATGTCAGAGATGAATGCTAAAGGTGCAGCCCTCCGCTAGAGGGAGCTCTATAGAGCCCTTCTACTCTTCCACACATTGCCAGACATCTTGTAAGAGAAGAGAGTGCGCATACTTTTGCCCACCACACACGATGAACCCTGTGAATGGACGAACTGGTGCACCCATTTGTACTGCTGTATGGACAAAGGCAAGGTGGTTTAAGAAATGTTGCCCATTGCTTCGACTGCTGCGTAAGGGCATTTGAGCATTGATCTCTCGATGGAGTGCACGCCGGGAGATAAAATGTAACCAATGATCTCCAGATTATAAGTCTAGTGTGGTAATCATTCCACCACGGCAACATCCCCTGTGTCAGATGTGTACACATTATACAGTCGGAGTAAGCTGACCCAGACACCGTGACGCTAAAATGCTTACCCCCCCCCCCCCATCACATTTAGCCTTAAGTAACAGCATGTACATCCTTTGCAAAATGCTACCTTAATCCACCAAGAATATAAATTCCCTGCAAGCGGATTCCTTCAAACGGCGCAGTGGATCAAGTAACTGAATTGTGTAGTCAGCCCTGACATGTATAATGATGTGAGGCCTTGCGGAGGGCGGGTGAAACCCATTTTAATTTTGGTTGCCATGGCATTCTGGGTGTCACGGTCGATCCCTGTGGGCGGCTGTCGGAGCTTGCGATTTGTGCCCAGCTGGTGTTGCGGCACCCAGCACGATGAGCACAACGAGAGAACAGCAGCCCACAGAGCGATTGATATTGCCCCGAATCCGACCGTGAATCTGAATTGCGGCACTCCTTGATTCTCATTCACAGTGGGTTACTTAATCGATAGTCTATTCGCCCAGGTTGGTACGTGTGGCAAACAATGAGTTTATCCTTCCAAAATGTAATGCAGCTTTGACAAAATGAAATTCCATTCGTGGATTATGCAGTTTACAACACTGCATGTAGTATGTGCACTGTTTGTGGGCTTATGAAGATAATAATGCCATTCGCTTACCCAGGAAAGACTCACTGAATCCCAAGACTTTAGGAATTTTGGACAATTCCATACATTTGAGTTTGGCTTCATGTGGGAGAAAAGCAGGGAACCCAGAGAAAACCCACCTCATGTAGTATGGGGTGGCACTCAACACTACCATCTACTGGCCATCTTACAGCCCAATACTAATGTATCTGAATACTGTGATGAATGAATACAAATTATAGTACATAGTCGGCATGTAACGATGTATACATTAATTGATTGAGATATATTCTTGCTTCAGATACATGCATCAAAGTATGTGTGCAACAATCGATAACTTTGGATGCGTATGTGTTGTATACAATTGGATTTAGTCATCCTTGCAGCCATTATAGCCTCTGCGTTCACCACAACGGAGTGAAAAATAAATGTATTCTTGAATCGAATCGTGACCCTGCATTGGGACACTTCACTGAACTCTGAGAGGCAGGAGCGCACATCATAACGTGGTAGGAGTGAAGTCTGGGAACTCACATCTGCTAAGCCGTCTGGAGAGCATGGAAGAGTAGACCAAAAATCCTCTGGAGAGGCCCTCTAGAGCTCCCTCTAGTGGAAGCCCTCTCGCCAACAGTGACGTGAGCAAGGGATTGCAGGGCTACACTGTTCTTATAAATCAGCACGATAGGGCCACAGCCTCCATGCGGTGTAAAGGTTGCGCAGCCATAGCATACCGTTGCTCTTCCGATGAGCAGGGTTGGCTATGTACGGTGCGAAAGAAGTTCAACATACATACATACGAATGCAGCCACAAGTGTGCACTGGCTCCGCCTGTGCTTGCAGGTACCAGCTGTACCTTCAGATCAAGCGCGATGTTGTCCACGGGCGCCTGCTGTGCCCCACATCTGAGGCCGCCTGGCTGGGAGCCTGCATCCTGCAAGGTACTCATGCTTGCAATACCTCAAGCCCATCTGCATCATCTTGACTCTTGGCACACAACAGTGGAGTGGGCTGGGCCACCTTTGAGCTTAAAAAAAATGAGCAAAAAATCATTACCGGAATTAAAATTCCGCGGCGTTTGTGAGTACTGCCCTTGAATTTGCATCGAGCGATTGTAACCCTCTAACGTGTTTTCGGGTCGTACGCCACGCCATGCAACACGATGTTCGACGTTTTGCTGCGTATGTTTGGGGGCCTCTGAATTCCTCAAAAATATTTTTTTAAATAAGCTGTGTTTTTTTTGCTAGGTTAGGCCCACTGAGCTATATCGCTCTTTTTCAGAAGTGACCTGGTCACAAATGAGAGTTCAAACACATTCCTGCGGAGGGAGCTGGTAGGAACGTTGGGTTGCTCGGTCAATGGCCAGGGTCAACGGCGGCACCACGTGGTGTATTCCGCACAATATGGCCGACTGTGAGGGCGGGCACAAGCCGGTGTGAGTAGGTTAAACGTTGAGTTTTATAAGGGCACCACGGGGTGACCAGCCCCTCCCCACCCAGCCCCTCCCAGCCCCTCCCCACCCTCCCCTCCCCACCCCACGCAGCCCCTCCCCACCCAGCCCCTCCCAGCCCCTCCCCACCCTCCCCTCCCCACCCCACGCAGCCCCACCCTCGCCACCCAGCCCCTCCCCACCCTCCCCTCCCCACCCAGCCCCACCCTCCCCACACAGCCCCTCCCCACCCTCCCCTCTCCACCCAACCCCACCCCTCCCACCCCCCACCCAGCCCCTCCCCACCCAGCCCCTCCCCACCCAGCTCCTCTCCACCCAGCCCCACCCCTCCTATTTTTGGATGCACGATGGATGGACGGACACAATCCCCTGCGGGCTGGTGGAACCAGGAGGTTCCTACCAGTATTAAGTGGCTTACCACGTGGAAATTTAGAGCAGCCAAATACTTTAATTTCATGTTTCTAAATGTGGAGGGAAAATCGGAGGGTCCGGATAAAAATGCACGCGACCACGGGGAGAACATGCAAACTCCAAATATACAGGCGTCAGGGTTGGGATCAAACCCACGACGAGGGAGTTAACGTCTTGCCACCGACTGAACTCAGGTCGCTGCGTCCGTAGTGAATTGCACTCACCACTGCACCAAGGCTATCTCACGCTGCATATGCATACAATTGAATTCATTTACAATTAAATGAATAATAATTTTCAGCTATTTACCATACATTGCAGGATGAAGACCTCCCCACGCCATGTCAGTCATGGAGGTTGTTTGACAATAATTCGACACGCTGGTCAGTGTGTGTTGGTAAAGACTGGTAGCCCAGGAATCCAGTTCACATATCATGCACCATCGGTGTTAGCCGTAGCCAGGAATTTAACTTATAAGCAGTTGCATTTGGAGGCTTGCCCCCTCTTTTCTCTCCGCGTGATGAAGGCCGCTTGTGTTGCGAACGAAACGTCGTGGGTTTTTTGCTTTTATTATTTGAAATGCATTTTTCTTTTTAAATTTTTAATTTAACTATTTTATTTTTTATTGTGGGTTTTTTGCTTTTATTATTTTTTAAAAATGTAAATTTTATTTTATTATTATGTTTTACATTTTTTTTATATATATATTTTTTAGATGTTTTTTCTTTTTTTCTACGTGACTACCGAAAGACCCAAGAATATATCATTTAACTCAGGTTGCTAGGTTCATAACACAGCTTTCTAACCACTTGCTCAAACTCTCCACCTGTAAAATATAAAGCCCTGGCAATTGACATTTGTGGGGATTTAAACATAATTTAAAAATAAATCCCTTGTTGATATTGCAATTGCAGCCAAAAATAAGAATGATAACGTTTGCAGTGCCAGTCCAAAGGGACATGTCAATCAAAAGAGGCATCGCCCAGAGGCCAAAGAAAGGTTGATACAACAGTCCAGACATCTGCCAAAAATGCAGCCACAAATGCTCTGCATTCAGCTCATGCAGACGGCGCACATCCACCATGTGCTTAATATACACACCAGCATTTTGAATATATTTCACAGATTATCAGAAGCATGGTCTTCAAATATGAAACATGCATGATTCACACTCACTGGCAGTATGTTGCATCCCTGATACCTGGATTTCTTTAAGGCAATGTTGAACGTTTTCACCATCCTTACCAGTTGTGCTTGCTATTTAATAACATTCAACAATTTTTCGTCAATCCACTGCAAGGATGAAGGCATACCCACACACCATGTAAGCCATGGGGGTTTGCTTGCCAGGACCAATTCGTATATTTTCTCACGCTGATGTCAACTGAGGATGCAGAGTACAATGCACTAACCACTCCGCCACTGCTCCACCTCAGAAGCAGTAACAGTGGCATTGTTTAAATATTTATCCAGGGTAGCCTCACTAAGTCTCTTGACTCTTTCTAAAAGAGGGTCCTGAATTTGTGTTTGCCTATTCCATTGACTGGTATTACGTATTCTCAATAAGTATGGTTTTAACGGTCGTGCTGCTTAGCTCTCTAGTGTGTTTTTTTTGTTCATTTTGTACCATGCATTGTTAGGCACCACGTCCTATGTTTTGTTCAGCATACTGGGAGCTTCCAATTCAGTTCCTGAAGAAGCTCCCGGCACATGCTGAGAAATGTTGGACATAGTGCCGAACGACATGTCGGGAGAGCTACATCTTCTTATGTTTTAAGACGACATCAGTACACAAGCGATAGAATTGCATATACATGGAATGTAATTTTCTCCCTGAATTTTAGGCAGACTTTTCAAGTAATCACAGCGAGCATTCTCTGCAGGTTTTGGAGCATAATGTGTGAAACCTGCACTTCTATTTTAAAATACGTTGGAAACAGTGCTCAAATCTTTCAGTTCTGTCATCAACGTGTGAACACGAGTGTTGGATGTCACCGGGGAGGAAATGAAGATTACTGTTTCTGTTGAAGTCACGTGGTTCAATTTCAAATGTTAAACGTTTTTGTAGATTCGTTTTTTTGTCAGTGGTCACATCTCATGACAGTGCGTGTGGCTCGCAATTTGGAGGTTGCAAGTTCATATCCTGTTTCGGGGTTGACTCCATTCTACCGTGGGTAAGCTCATCCCCACTATCGGAATGTGGCGTATCCATCGCTGGCACAGTGCTGTACATCTGGAAAGAGAACCGCCCCATGTTACTCGAGTCGAAAGATACTTTGACTTTTCACTTTTGATAGTGTTTACATTTTTTGAGGCGCTAATCAGATTGAGGTTTTCATTAGAAACCGCTCGCCTTGTTGTAAAAACAGACGGTTGTCCATCGTACTAGACAGATACGAGGTGTGTGTGAGTGTTATACAGACAGTTTCCATGAAGGTGCATGTATGTTGAACTTCTTTCGTACCGCATATAGCCAGTCGTGCTAACTGGACGTGCGGGGGAATGACAACAAACTAAACACAAAAAGCAGTTCTGTAACGCAAGAGTAATCTTAACAGACTGTCATTTAGCAGGCAAATGTGTTGCTAATTCTTTGGGTCTTTCGGTGAAGTCACGTAGATAGGTTCAAAGATAATAACAAAAAAGTACGACGTTTTGATCGCAACACAAGTGGTCGTCAGCAGGAAAAGAGGGTCTCTCTGATTAACATATACAGTTTCTCACTAACACAGCTACCTCGTGCGCTATCCTCGAGGCTGATGCTTCACGATCTGCCATTAACATGCTAATCGCTAACATTAACATAGCCACCTTGGCGCACTCACCGTGGAGGATGCTCAGCGATCTTGCATTGACATGCTAATGTTTGGCTGGCAGCCCTTTGATTGGTGGAAAGCCCACCACCGCCGCGGTCGCAGCCCGCCACTTGGATTGGCATTGGCTGCTGACATTTGGGCTACGCCCATTTCAAACCTTTGTAAGCAGTTGTCTTTAAAATCTAACCCCCCTTTTCCTGATGACGGCCGCTTGTGTTGCGATTGAAACGTCGTAGTTTTTTTTTCTGCAGTCACGAAAGCTTTAAGTCAAGATGTATTGCAAAGTTTGGAACTAATTATCTTGCCGTGAACTCATGTGTTTTGAGTTCAGCTTGCTGGTGGCATGCACTGGCTGCAAAGCTCCGTCTAGCCAAGGATTCACTGTCTTGTAACCATCGATGTCTGGCAGCCGAGTTGGGAGACTACAACCCGTTGGATCACCACGATGGATACGTCTCGGCCATGCAGCTCTTCCCGCGTCTCTCACAAAAGCTGGAGGCAAGAGTGGCCGAGATTCACCGCCACGAGCTGAGGTGAGTCTCCACGCTCTCACCCCGCGCCACCGCTCCCCCGCCACTCGCTCTCGCCAACACCAGCCACGAAAACAATTTGCATGGCACGGCCAAGAGACTGGGCGACATGTGAGGGCGAGGGTTTCCGATGTGTCTGGAGTGAGCACTTGAGAGCCCCTCGAGGGAATTTTTGCCTACGGGAACATGCGGGAATTATCATACTTTACCCCGCCACACGTGACCCTGTCAAAAGAAAAACTGTGGTGCACCCATTTATACTGCTGGGTGGACAGAGATGGTGGCAAGGAGGGTTACGGGGGATGGAGAATTAAGACATTTCACCCATGATTTCGAGTCCTGCGCTGGGAGATAAAAACCAAACCAGGGTACCTCTGGATTGCAACAGGTACCGTGTGCTGACACCATCGCAGCATACGTGTTGGTGTTCATGGATGGATGTTCAGTTTGAAAGCTCTGCCAGAATGCACAACCCATGGCATAGCCGCGTGCTGCTAAGCGCCAGGTGCCAATGACGTACAAAGCTCTCAGACTTTGGCACAGAACATGTTGCAGTCAGGCAATCAATAAGCCACTCAGTCAACCAGAACGATAAGAACGTGCGCAAGGCAGCGCACTCGTTTTATTTTCTTTTACAGAAAAGGCCAATATTGTAAAGTACAAAATTGGGAACCTTACGATGAAATTTTTTCAGAAAACCTTTTCATCACTGATATGCAATTTTGTTGTGAGAGGGCATCATCCTGGGTTTGCATTGTGTCTAAAAGGCACCGATACAAAAACCTTTGCACAGAATAGTGATAATTTTTCATGTTTCGCAGCGCTGTTTTGCCTTTGAAAAGCATTCGTGGTGCGTGTGAGGGAGCCTACTAATTGTAACGTTTCTGCTCGATAATAACCAAATTACAAAGACTTTGCCTTCATTTGTTCTGAGCGAATGGGGGGGGGGGGGGGGGGGGGGAAACCCCAACATTAATGTTTTATTACTACTAAAAAAAGACTCTCGATGTTTTATAGCAAAAAAACAACAGCATGAAATTAGAGCATGAAAACAGCTAAATGAGGTTCATCATTATCAGCCATGATGAATCCACTGCTGGATGAAGGCCTCCCCCAAATTCGTCACCATTTCTTGTGGTGCTGTGATGCAGCAAATCACGTGCACCTAGGCGAATTATTGCACGTGGCCCAGAAATCATGAAAATTAGTCAATAAAGAGACGCAAGAGACACCATGTCTGCTATGACATAGACTGGAAAATGAAATGCAACAAACGATGAATAGTGTGCAAAGAAGCATTGACAGATGCTTGCTTGCATTGCACTTTTAATTTGTTGTCCTTCCCCCTGCATCTCCGATCAGCACGGTTGGCTACGCACGGTGAAAAGAAGTTCAACATAAATACCTACACTCCTTTCACATGGCACAGTGAAATATGAATACGAAAGATAAGATGACATAGGTTGGTTAATATTTTTTTTTATGTAAGGTTGAATCCATGAATATCGTACTCACGAAATCACTTAAAACACTATATATTAAAACAAATATCGAATAGAAACGAACGTCGGTGCGTTTATACTGGTATATATGCTCTGTTTTAATAATTGTCAGGGTAAAGGAATGGGCTCAGTCAATACCGTCAGGTTCTTGCGTAGAAATATTAATTTTCGCCGGTGTAGCATTTTAGGCAGTGGCCCGAGTTGTATTGTTCCAGGTCACGGAGGTCCGTCGTTCATCGCAGAGAACCCGCAGCTCACTGACTTCCCGCACACCTGCGATGTATGTTGTGGTTGTAGCGGATGCTTTGTAAAGTGCAGTTCCCGTCCAGTTGACATTCATCTCAAAGAAACCTCGCGGTCGAACAAATCTAGAAGTAAAGGTGCAGACCGATAATTGTTTGCTTACAGAACTGCTGGTGGAAGGACTTCCACGAGATAGAGTTCTAGATATCCCCTACACAGGGTATTTGGCCTACTCTTTCAATCAGAATTGTAACATTTATGTATAGTGGAGGAATTCGATTAGCTATTAAGCTCTTTTTTGACCGATGTCCAGTTGACCAGACATTCTGGGGAGGAGTTTGGAGTACTCATACTTTGCACCAGCTTGCGTGGCCCGCCAATTGACTGTTTGCTGCTTAGTGTACTGCCTCGCACACTGGACTTTTAATCCCGAGTAAGCCGGTTCAATTCGCTGGCATAGAAGTTAAATCGATACGAAAGTGGTGTGAGCAAGTAATTGCAGGGCCACAGCTTCACCACATTTTGGTAAAACAATGAAATCCTAAATTGTCATAACTCAAGAAAACGCTGTCAATGCATGTCCAGCGGCTGTCGGGAATTATGACATTACCGTTGATTCTTTGTCAAAATGTTGATCTTCCCGTCTGTTTTTTTTAAATATGCATAGTGCACTTGCTTTTTTTCTGTCATGTTTTTCTCCTTTGTTGTGTAGGTTTGTTAAAACAATTAATTACAAATCTGCAGAATGCTGGAATTTTGTTGATTTACAAGAATAATAATGAATAAATCACACCCCTTTGTCAATTCAGCGCTGCTAGACATCTGGTTAAAAAGAGATAAATACATCATTGGATTCCTCCAGTATAAATAAATATTCTGATTCTGAATGAATGGCCTCTCCATGCTGTGTCGGTCCTGGGAGTTGTTTGACTGCACTGGTTGTTTTGGGTTGGCAAAGGGTGGACGTTGGAGGGAAGACCAGTTCAGATATTACTCGCCACTGATGCTGGCCATAGCCAGGAATCAAACTCAGGTAGCCAGGTTCATAGCGTACTGCGCTAACCAATGTGTCATGATCCACCCTGTGCTTGGTTATTCTTTACGAAGTACTGTCTTAGCCTGGTGGAGGTGGTGCACACCTGTGATCTACCACGGTGGAGGCAAGGGTTGATGTGATCACTCCAATGTTGTGAAATTACCATCCCGTTTGCATTGAAGAGCCATGCCCCGGGTTTCCAGGAGGAGGCGGTAGAGCAAATGTGGACTCCCACCTGTTCCATCTGTATGGAATAGAGGACTGTTGTCATCTTGCTCGCATGGGCTTTCTCCAGCTACTCCGGTTTACATCCACATTTATAAACACTCATCCATTTACTGAACACATCTTAACATCAGAATCTTTATTTAGACTGGAGGAATCCTATGAGCTATGAAGCTCTTTTTCACAGATGTCCAGTAAATATGAAGAGGACTGGAAAGCTTGGACTTGGGCTTTTCAGTCCTGCTTTTCAGTCCTGCAAAGGACTGAAAAGCTTGGGCTTTGCAGTCCTCTTACAACTTGTCTGTGTTTTTTGCAGCTATTGTGAGACACAATTTGCATGAACGGCGCTATATAAAACGAAACATTTTTCGTGATTAAACTAAACATGATTGCAGAACCAAGAATATGAATCCCTGCAGTCACAAAAGCTTTAAATCAAAATTATTGCAGTTGTAACGTTATTTTCCTCCTGAATAATTTAAATGTAGTATTTTTCCCCCTATAGAAATATATAATAAACTATCACTGGTTACATGCAGGCTACAAAGAAACCTTTTTTCACATTGATGCAAAGCATGCACATCACAGGCGCATCATGGTAATGAATAAAATGCAATTAAATGTGTTCGTCGCTGGAAAATTGGCTGTAGCTTAAAGCCACTAAAACGATGTTTTTTCTCCAACTCCACTGACACATGATGTAGGAGCAGGCCTGCCAGACAATTTCTTATCAAACATTTTCCAGCCAGTGGGACGCTTTCATCCATTTAACAACTCGAACTATTTCACTTAAACGAAAGGCAAATAATCTCACTGCATTGAACCACATGGGGACTGGATGCATTAAATTGAACCATTGTTGCTTTCTTCGCAGCAGGGGTGCTCTTGCTATTTTTTTTTTACACTTTGTTAAACATTTTCTCGAAAGCCAAGAGTTTGTACTCAATGTCTCAAATGAAAGGCAAATCCTCCACACTTTATGAGCACTGCTTGTCATGTAGTTCAATTTTGGCCCTTCAAAAATGTATATTTACAAAGTGTAGGTACTCCCACCTCTTCTAAGACATCTCGACGGTGTGGAAGTGTAGGCCAACGTACCCTGTAAGAGAGAGCTCTCTTGAGCTCCTTCAAGTCGAGCCCCCTTCTGCCAAACAATCGCAGGGCTGCACCTATGGCAGTAGATTACGTTTCAATATGTATCACGTTGCACGCATACCAAATGCTAGAAGCCCTGTTTTAACAAATTTTGCATCTATTGTCTTTGAATTCCCTTACAGAGGCCAGACTCCGGCTGTGGCCGAAATCAATTTCTTGATAAGGGCCCAAGGTTTGGACACGTACACAGTGGACCCTCATCCCTGTAAGGTAAATCGAGTCCGCGGTGATCGAGTCCATGGAACTGGTCACTCGTGCCATCGTGGCGTCCTCTTCAGCACATGACAGGATAATACACCGTTTGTGAGTCAACATGGAAGGAAGAGAAATATACCGTTTCAGTCGGCGATGAATAGTTAAAATGCGATTAAATTTGGTCAATTCAACACGTAGGCTTTTGCAACCAGTATTATGATTCGTTATTTATATGTTGATCAGTTCGCGTACGTAAAATGCGTGCCGAACACCCTCCTCCACCCAAGACAGCCAGAGATCTGGCAACTGCCTGATGATGCTGGTTATAACTACCAGAGAAAAGTTGGACGACCCAGTTGTTAGATGTATGTGGATCACTTTCCAACATACTGGTGTGTTGCTGAATCATTAATAAAGAGGCACGTTTGTTCGCCAAGTGACAACTTCATTAATTGGCTGTGTTGGGTGGAGAAGGGTGTAGGAGACACATCTTACTTATACCATCTGACCCAAAGATCAATTGTGAAACAGCACAATGTGGATTTATATCGCGTCTAAAAAATGTATTTCCATCTGAAAAATCGGGAAATGTGGACCGCCGACAAGCGAGGCCAATCTATTTTTCATGTAGGGTGCCGTTTAAGACACTTGACAGATAGACACTCAGTAACAGGCAGAGGCGAGGAGGAAGACCCCAAGCCTTGAGAAAAGAGCAGGGAGTCAGCAGCATGGATGGAGGATTCCCACCCAGGATTGTGAGGACTCAATGGCGCGCATATATAACTTAATGAAACCACTTGCAGTTTCATGCTGTAAGGGAAACCAGGGGATTGTTCTTGGGTCAGGTGGTGCATGCCGACTGCCATCAATATTTGTTCATAGTTTATTTAAGTTGGCCATATAGGCTGAAAGTTAATTGAGCTTAAATGCATGACTAGATGTCAGCTGATGCCCAAGTGCCGTGTAAGGGTTTGAGATCTCATGGAGCCTTATGTTCATTCATGCCTCTCATTTTAAAATTTTGTTCTCATACAAAGCTTTTTTATTAGCTGTGATGTGGCTATAACTTAAAAGTGCTGAGGCCCTCTTTGTTTTTTTTGGCATTCACTGGTCAATAAATGTGAATGATGATAAAATAACAATGATGATTAAATAACAATGGTGCCTCACCCTGCTCAGACAGATCCGGTCATCGTCACCTCTTCATTTGAGACCATTGCCTTCGTGACTGGTGCACAATCACATTGACTCGTCCTCTGCAGTGCTTGTCACAAATAGCCTCATGCCCGGGGGAGCGAAAGCTCCTCGGATTAATATCTGCTCCACCGGCTGCAATCCAAACAATGTCTCTTTCAAGGCAAAAGTGTTCACTAAGTGAATGTGCCTCCGAGGCATCTGCAGTGGGGGGTGCGTACATGTTCGTGTTTTTTTCTTATTTTTTAAAAACGTGAATACATTTCACCAGGGGGGCGGGACACATCCCCCCCCCCCAATATTACCCAATATTAAAATGTACTCAAAATGTCCCCCCCCAATATATTGCTATAAAATAGATTTCTGTTTATGATTGTGGTTATGGTTGTATTTTATTAATCCCTAATCTCTGCCATTACATACAATGAAACAAGAAATGGTAAAAAAGAAAAAAAACAGAGCAATGTAATACAATACACTATTAGACATTATTGTAAAAAATAAATAAAAAGTCCATCCTATGTGTTAGTGAATTTTTTCATATTTTCGGCAGGAAATTCGTTTTCAAATTTAGATTTTTTTCTTGGGGGGGGGACCCCCAGACCCCCTGGAAGATTTGCCCCCCCCCATGTTGACCCCATGTTGACTCCATGCCTACGGCCTTGCATTTGACATCAAGTGCTCGCGAACGATGTATTCATTCATTTCTCCCAATCTCTACTGCGTCTCCGAGGGATGCTGCTGCAGTGTAATGAGTGGCGCACAGGTCGCCGGCTCCAGTCGACTTCCGTACCGGCAGTTGAGACAATGGCCAAGCTTACGAAGTCCCTCTGTCCACCCAGCAGAATAAATGGGCACGCCGTTGTCAAATTGGCAGGTCACATGTGAGAGAGTAAAGGTCGGGGATACTCTTACCTTTTTCAAGACGTCTGGTTTGCGTGGATTAGTTGGCAAAAATGCCCTCTATAAGGGGATCTTCTAGAGCTCCGTCTAGTGAAGGCTCTTCCATAAACATGGCGTGAGCAAGACATTTCAGGGCTGCACATTTACCTGCTGTCGACATTTTCAGGCGTTCTGTATTATGTTTAGGCAAGCTGGCGCTGACATGAACTATTTACAATTGTCCATGAAAAAAAATGGGTGTACTGAAAGTGCTTGTGTGCATAATGATGGCTGGCGTTTTGTAAGAAGGGGGCGCGTTGCGTGGTATTATTAATTGGGCTTGTCCCGGACGGTGACATTTCAGGAATACATTAATCGTCCTATGCCCCTAATCACAAAGGCCCATTTTAAAGGGTAATGTTTGCTAATTCACAGCTGCCTTTGTCCGGACATGGTAACAATCCCGCCTTGAATATATAACCGGGTCTCTTGATGGTACAGTTTTATATAAGAAGCTCTTGGTGTCGAGGCCTTGTTACCTTACTCCGCAGTTTTTATTCTGCTGCCTCATTATATATATTAAAAAAAGCAAGTTGCTGGCTTGCTGCAAAAATCCAGACCAGGCAGTGTATTGATTGTAGCTTAAAATATATTTTTTGTGTTTATATGTAAGAAAAATAACATTAAAAATCAGTAACCACATACATTTTTTATGAAAACAATGAATAATGTATGAGTTTGGCTTCTCGGTGCTTCGTGTGTATTTTAATTGCTGTTTGGAACTGATCGTTTTTGAAAATAGTCTCTTTGATAGGAAGTTCCAACTTTGGTGATACCGACCTGCATTTTCAATGGCTGCGAGGTCATGTTGTTACTAAACCTAGCGAATGGAGCGCTATTCTGGGCTCTGACGTTTGAAACTACGAGCCAATGAGCCTACAATGGCAATGCAGGTATAATAGATTATTGTACAGTCATTACAAAAAAAAAGCTGAAAACCAACTGGTGTAGTCATAATTATTTACATTTATTTGTAAGGTGCATTCCACTGGTATAAATAAATACATATTCTGATTATACACAGAAAAAAACACTTTGCCCTGTCCCTCACTGCTCGACTTGGGATTCCCATCCCCACCTTCGCTTTTCCCAAAGTTATTATCATCTTATTCAGTATAAGCAATATATGACTCTTATCTATTACTGTACAAGTTTAACAGTGCCGTTTGTTGCTGGCTGCTTAGAATTTGTGGTGTAGTATTATTCTTGTTTACCTGTAGTAAAGGTGAAACAATATACCTCCCTCCGCCCCCTATAGTGCAATGAATTGTTCCAATTCAGGGTAATGATTTGATCTATAATTTGACTTATTGCTTTACATTGCCGTGAATGTAATGGTCACAAGTGGCTCTAAGGTTCGTGTAAACCTGACACGTAAAACACATCGTAATAATAATCGTCTATCCACTGCTGGATGATGACATCATCAAGCTGTTACCATCCTTCATTGCCATGTGATTCACAGACCCATCTCACTGCTGCACACGAGCTGATCCCATCGCTCCATCTCCACGGTGGCTCCGACCATCGTCCCTTTCAGCAACGCATACGAATCAAATTCTTAAGCAAAACAAATCTCAACACATTTGTCAATAACACTGCCTTAAAAGGAAATAAATATATACAAGTACATTTTGGGCAATTCTACGTGGATGACACTTTTGTCATCTGGCCACATGGCCGGCCTGCTCTAGACAAATTCTTCGACCACATCAATTCCATACACCCAGCCATCAGATTTACCATGGAAGTCGAAATAGATGGCAAGATACCTTTTTTGGATGTCCTAATTAAAAAGAGACCTGATGGTTCAATGAGCCACTCTGTCTACAGGAAAGCTACCCATACGGATGCTTATCTGAAACCGGATTCCCACCACCATCCATCACAGAAGAATTATCTCATCAAGACTCTGTATCATAGAGCCCAATGCATATCCGACCAGGAACACATAAGCAGTGAACTCAAGCACGTACACCAAGCTCTTAGGGCTAATGGTTACTCCGACTATACAATCCGCAAAGCTATCACTCAAACCATGAAGAAGAACCCTCTTGAGGAGCCTTTCAAAACCATCACTTTACCCTACATTGCTGGGATCACAAAAAAGATCTCCAAAATCTTGAATAAACACAAGATCCAGGTCCGTTTCAACACATTACATAAAATCCGTGATCTGGTTCCGTCTGTAAAAGATGTGATTCCGGACATACAATACCCTGGTGTCTACAAACTAAGTTGCCTCTGTGGTAGTAGTTACATTGGAGAAACCAAACGCCATATCTCGGACCGCATTCGTGAACATAAAGCAGACCTTAAACACGGTAGGACCAACACCTCGGCCGTAGCAGATCATTGTTCTAATTCAGTAGGCTCACATGCCATTGACTTTTCCAAGACGGAGGTTCTTTGTAAGCCATCTGGCTTCCATGAGAGATTCGTTCATGAGGCTATCCACATATACAAACACAGAGACAATTTCAACCGAGAAGATGGATTCTATCTTAGCAATCATTGGAAAGATTTGATAAATCATTTCAGTTCTTGATTGATTGTTCACGCTTACAGTGCCTTTCAGACAGCATACATAAAAACAAATTTCGTCTCCCCCCTCCTCTTTTCAAAAAATAGATGGACTAGTCCTGGCAAACTGCCATCGTTGCGCGTGACGCAAACGTTATTTTTATATATATAAATAAATATGCCGTTTTCAAAATAAATTTATGCAAACCGACACACCTGATGATGACCGTTTGAGTTATGGTCGAAACGTCGTGAGAATTTTTTATTGTTTTATATATATTTTGTTATTTTGTTGTTTCTCTTCAACGTGACTTTACCGAAAAAACTAAGAATATGAGTTTAACCTGTTTAGATTGTTTTTCTGCTATAAATTTCCACATGTCACTTCGTTGAGCTATCATCTGTGGCTGGGTCGCTTCTGAAAAAAAATGTAATCGGTCAGTGGGCTTTACCTAATAAGATTAAAATACTTTGCTGACCTTTCCTATACTTTGCAATCGGATCGTGTTATGTTTTATTTTGGTATTGTAATGTTATGACCTGCCCCAACTGGACTGAAAAAGAGCTTTTTCGCTCATTGGATTCGTCCACTATAAATTAATATTCTGATTCTGATTATAAGCGCAAAACACTTGGGAATTCCATCCCCATCTTCACTTTTCCCAAGTTCTTATCATCTTGTTAAGTACAAGCAATGTATTACTCTTATCTATTACTGTACAGGTTTAACGGTGTTGTTTGTTGCTGGCTGCTTGGAATTTGTGACCTTGGGTCCTTCTGCTCAGCAACCGAGATGCGAAAAAAATGTCAAACAATAATCTCGCGATCCGAGGCATGTAAGGTATAAACTGATTAATCGGCATTGTTCAAATCGATAGCGAGCAGCCCGTGTTTGTAGCAAAGCCTTCGGCAATGTCCTTCCCCCGAACGCAGGATCCTTCTGGAGCCACGGTCTTCCTTGGCTTCACCCCCGCAGGGTTCGTCGGGTTTCAAGGGAACAAGCGAGTACAACTGCTTAAGTGGTGAGCTCACAGGGTGATGACCCCAGATTGGTTCATCCCCAGCTCGCCAATCATCCATCCTTATCATCCGCGTTGCCCTGAATGCACGGACAGGGTGTGACCAACATCAGTGTCATTGTGCCCTCTTTTTTTCTTGGTTTTTATACAAATAATGTGCCCTTTTTCACAGTTATGTGTGTGCACTCGTACGGTATGTTGTCATGGGGAGGGGGTAGTGCAGCGGTTAAGAGTGCTGCACTATGAATCCGGCGACCCGAGTTTACATATCTGCGTGCAGCCAATATCAGTGACAATTATCTGAACCGGTCCTGGGTCTCCTCTAGGTCGACTCAGCCTTAAATGAGTACCTGGTGCGGTGTCTAAAAAGGCATCGGCACTGACGGGACGACGGCGACCGGGCGTGGTGCTGGCCACCCACAACCACCGCATGCGCCGTGGCGGCAGTCATAGGTGCTCGCCAACAGAGCAAAGGTCTTTGGCGATTGGTATATTAGAATTTTTTGGGAAGAGTAAATGTGATATAATATCTGTAGTGTTTTTGGTTTTGAATCGCCAAGTTCATTGTGTTTATAGTTGTTTCTGTTTTTTTTTTTAATCCCTCTGCTGCTAGGATGGACGTCGGCAAGCTGAAATATGAAGGAAAGAGCTTTTATATTCATGGTGTGCAAAATAGGGTAGGTTTATTGGATATCCTATTTTATTTGCACCACGTGATATATTTAAGTTTGTATGTATGTATTTTGAACTTCATTCGCACCGTACGTAGCCAACCGTGCTCATGAGAGGTGCCGGGAAGGACAGCAAACTAAACACAAAAAAAACCTTTCAAAAGAAATCAGTTTTTAATCTATATTTCAAAGTGCATAGTTTCACAGCGTAATGGCGTCAGCTTCACCGTGATTTGCAGTGAGTTCTTGTAAAATGGCAGTGTTCACCGCAGTTCTAAAACAGCGATTAAAATCCATGCATTTTGAAGGGAATTTCCCAGCATGTATATTTAAATACCTTTTTTTATTTTTTTGTAATAAATGGTTTGAACAAATTTATGGGAAAAAAAGGAAAGTGACAATGGCGGTACTGTTCTAAATGAAAGGGAGAGGAATAAAAAATATTGTTTTTAATAGAAAATTACAAATTTGACTCAGTAGAAATCAACTGTGCTATCTCCATCATGCCAGGAACCAGTGAAGTGCCTCTTTGTAATTATGTACTTCGTACCGAACATTATTAATGCTTGAATTGCTCATTTCCTTCAGAAGAAGACTGTGTTGACATACCATGCACCAACTCCGTCTGCCTGCAAGCACCTCTGGAAGTGTGGCGTGGAAAATCAGGCTTTTTACAAGTAAGCTTCAAACTCATATTGTTTAAATGGACTGCTCACTCTTCTTCTGTTGCAGACCAGTTCTGCGTATAGTCAGCGCTATCACTGACACTGTCGTTTAGACAGTGGCATAATTCATAACTGCAAATGACTTTCTCATGACATTACTGGCACGAGGGCCTTTGGTCTACTCTTCCACGCTAAGAATGAATACAGCTCCCCCCCCACCCACTCCTTTCCCTCATATACACCTCCCCTAAAAATACCATGTTCCCGATCTTTGTCCCTACGTGAGTAGGGCAGACAGCCAACATCATTCCCTTTCTCTTGCCCCATGAGACACCCGGCCTCAGGCTTTTCGTCCGGGGAATATCTGGACCACCTCACCGCTCACGCTCTGTACCGGGCTCTTGTAAACAAAATTAAATAATGAATAAAGCTGAATTAAGAAGAATTCAAACTAATTACAATTAATCTATATGAAGGATTCCAAATAATTTTAATCCACCGATTAAGAATAGTTGTATAGGATAATATATGATTATCCAATAGATTATAAATAACATACAGGAAACGTTGTAAGATACATTTTTGATGTGTGAAAATTGTGACAATTGAGTATATAACCAATCCCTGATAATGTGTCATATTCTCTAAGTATTAAATGTTATTGAAATTATAGGGGTGGAACAGTGGCTATGAACCTGGTTACCCAAGTTAAATTCCCAGCCAAGGCTAACATCAATGGCTAGAAATTTCTGAACTGGTCCTGGGTGCCTCCCCGCCTTATTTCATCAACCCGCAGTGACCAGTGTGGTGTGAAGTATGGTCAAACAACCCCCAGAACCAACACGGCATGGGGAGGCCTTCATCCAGCAGTGAATTTGGTTATATAATACTACGATTTTGTCGTAATGAAATAAAACAATTATAAGGCACTACGTCCCATTGAATTCCCATACGTCCCTCAATTAGGACATTCTGCTCAGGTGCTGCGTCTTACGTTAATTTGCTTAAACCTTTGAGATAAAGTTGCACGGGGTAAAATGATATAATTCTTATGCCTTGCTCTTGCATGCTCTGTGCGTAAGGAACCCCCTGTACAATGCAGCTTCAATGCATATCCGAGGCTGAATCGGCATGTCGTTGGCTCTTACAATTCAGCTTTGTTGCCAATGGCTCAGTTGGTCTTTGGGGCACCATGTACGTTCTTCCCACTCTGAACATGTCAGGTTAAACAAATCAAGTGCAGAGACATCTAGTGACTTTACAATAGCCAGCGCCTGAGCTATAATTTTCACAATTGTGCTCTGCTCTTAGGCACTGTGCGTTCTTTATTTGTTGCAAGAAGTACATTCGTGGTGTTTCACGGCAAGTTTAAAATAAACCCAGCGATAAAATAAAACCAAAGTAGTGCATTAAAACACAGTGTAACAGAATTGCACATCTCTCTGCTTTTCAGTATATTTGGGGCACTTTTGTTCGCTGTAGCTGCTGTTTTATTATCTTCTAATGCATTAACCTGTGCGCCCACACTCACCCATCTGTGCAGGTTTGAGAAATCATGTGAGATCAAAACAGTCCTGAGCAGTAACCTATTCTTCCGGGGGTCCAGGTTCAGATACAGGTGGGAAATCATGACATGGACTTCCTAAAGGAACAATGCAATTTTTTTTTTCCTGATTTAAAATGAATTTACATTACCAAATGTCTAATAAATGTAATTAAAACAATTATGTGGCATACTGGTCAAGCGTACAGTATTATATGTGCAGTTGGCAACTGTTATTCACTATATCTCTCTGTGTGGCCTCTCTACCTGCTATGGAGGGCCATTGTCCAAAACATCAGCTAAAATATATATAGAGAGATAATGTTTTACTTTTAGAGCAGTGTTATTGACGAATGTTTTGAGTTTATATTATGTGTGCTTGCACACCACTGCCAATGCAACTTCACGAGTTTTTATGTTGATTTTGCAATTGTGGAAGGGAATAGTTGACCGCTTCTAACCAAGGGCTTTCTGGTCACTAGAGGCAGGGTTGCCAAGGAGGTCATAGAGGCAAGTGCCAGAATTCAGCGCAAGTCTCCAGAGGTGCAGCGGTAAGCTATTTAAAAAATAACTACGCACGCCACGTAAATATGTCATTGGTTACTTCGCATGTGTTCATTACTTTACTTTAAATAACTACTCTGCTCTACTTCCAAAAAATGTCCAACTGTGCCTCTTTTTTGGGGGGACGGTGACATGGCTCCGCGGCAGCGCATTCGCCGCTTGTTGTTGCAGAGGTTTACGGTTCAAATTCAGCGGCCGCCCTGGTTAATACTGCGGGTGTATGTTAACCATAACCAGTTGATATTCAGGATCCCGTGACATTCACAAGAGTAGGCCATTGTGTGTCGGCGTCGTGGTCCAAATTTTCCACATTTGCAAAATGTGCCCCCAAATTTACTCAATTTGAATATACTTAGCAATTATTGCCCTACTACCAAATATGGCAAGACCCTTCTGAAAAATAGTCATGAGACTCATTGAGGCTTTCCTGGGTAAACAAGTGTAATAACAAAGTAATGGTAAAATAATCATGTATGACTGAATACAGGGGCGGAGCCAGGGGGGGTGACAGGGGTGACATTCTGCGTATAAGTGTACGACACTCGGTCTGGCGGACTCCGTGCAACTGCATTGTCAGAGTGTGTCGCCAACCGATGGCGTCTAGTTCAACAGCCTGACTCTCTAATCATTCTTGAAATTAAAATTTGTTGAATGTCACCCCGGCCTGAAATCCTGGCTCCGCCCCTGACTGAATATGTACTTCAGAATTACCTATTTCTAAACTGCTTACACTGATTTTTCATGTAGTACATCACTATATATATGCATGGTAATCAGGGTTATTTTCATTGTTCTTCAAACACAATTGCTTGACAATCCACCGAGGTATGAGATAATTAATTATTTAGAATGAAGACTGGGGAAAAGTTTGGCATGAAGGAACCACATTGTTATTAAGTTATAATTTTCATGACAAGAATTATGAATATATTTTAGTTATTGCCACTTAGACTTTTACTGTTGCACCATACGGCTCTCCGATGTGTTTTTGGATTGCGCTGCGTTTTGTTCCACACGATGTCCGACGTCTTACTCCGTGTGTCGAGCTTTTTTCGCACCGTACGTGGCCAACCGTGCTAATCGGATGTGCGGGGGAAGGACAACAAACTAAACATACAGACAAAAAGCTGAACAAGCTGAAGAAGCTTCAAGCGTGTGGCTTGAATTCCCATTCATCCCGAAACACTTGGTAGAATGTTTAAATTTAATTTTGTCAATGAGAAATGCAATCAATCACCCGCCTCACAATTTGATGAATTGTCACCATTCGGGGCCACGATTCAGACATCGATAAAAATGTTTACGTTATTGTAAATGTAGCGCCTCTGATGGCCATACATACAACGTGCGCACATTTCAAGTACGTTAATCTATTCCTGCACGCGTCCTCCAATACATGCCTACACAGTGAGCGTGAGAATAATTTGAATCGACGCATCATCACATGCCCACTGTCAACTGCGGATGACGTTTTTTTTTTTAATGCCACGCTGGTGTTGATGATGACGATGAGTGATGTGTGACCCCGTTGACGACAGCTCCATAGGGAAGAGCAGGAGCAGCCTCTCCTTTTCCCAGCAGAGTGTGTCCACCTGCACGACCCAGCATGCCCCGTCTGAGTTTGCTGACTGCTCCTTCCTACAAGGTACGTTGCCCCTCATCTCTGATTAACAATACACTTTTGTTGTTGTTGTTGTTGTTTGGATACTGCCTTGGCAGTGGTGCACGAGCACAAATTAAAAAAAACTCAACGCATTCGTCAGTAGCACTGCCCTCAAGAGAGAAAAAATGAACATCGCATCTCTCTGCCCGGTGTTTTGGTCAATGGCCCTTCTGAACAGCATCTCTCTGCTATGAAGAAGGGTCTTTAATCTTGATTTGAAGCTTTCGTGAATCCATTCTCTTTCGGTCAAGTCACGTAGGTAAAAATAAAATAAAACAAATCACGACGTTTCGATCGCAACACAAGCAATCTTCATCAGGTGGAACAACCACAGCAAGAAAATGCTTAAGTAGGCGAGAGAGCTGCCGTGGCAAGAGGTTATATAGGTAAGAAAGGGGGGAGGCACTCATTTTGTCAATATATATTTCTTCCTTTTGGGCCAATGATATTGACGATTGTTGGGTTTTTATCGTTTATAAAATATTGACCGATTTAGATGTCCGATTAAAAGGCATTTGGCATGTGCCATTTAAACCTGGGGGTGTCCCACATGACTTGTCGTCGCAGCAGCTCAATTATTGAATGAGTCGCCATCCACAGCTCCCTCCATATTTACAAATAATCTCCCTTATCTGTCGACGAAGCGAAGTACTGTGGGATTCAAACACACCCTCTTACAACTGTGGTGAGGTCCAATACATTATAGTGACTCAACCGTCACATAAGCCTTATTTCACTGCACTCATTTTGTTAAGTTGATCGGCAGGTTGCGTGTGCTTGCATGAATTCTGGTTACTCCCACCCCTTCCAAGACATCTGACCACCATGGAAGAGTAGACCATTAACCCTCCAGGGATGGCTCTGTAGAGTTCCCTCTAGTAGAGGCCGTTACACCAGTAGTGGCGTTAGGCAACCAGTTTTCGGGCTGCACCTTTACATTTTACCATTCAGCATTTACAGTGTGTTTCTACCGTGGAATTAATTTGGGCTTCATTTACTATGTGGTTTGAGTACCACCATGTGGCTAGAGCCAGCACTTGCCATTGTACAAAGTTTCAGAGCACATGACTGTATCAAAGCAATCGCATGGGGCTATTAGATTAAAATCATGATGCAGCCACATTGTCTTTGGTTAATTAACCTCAATATTTTTTTGAATACCAATAAATTCATGACTATATACAGTGAGGGAAAAAAGGTATTTGATCCCCTGCTGATTTTGTACGTTTGCCCACTGACAAAGAAATGATCAGTCTATAATTTTAATGGTAGATTTATTTGAACAGTGAGAGACAGAGTAACAACAACAAAAAATCCAGAAAAACACATGTCAAAAATGTTATAAATTGATTTGCATTTTAATGAGGGAAATAAGTATTTGACCCCTCTGCAAAACATGACTTAGTACTTGGTGGCAAAACCCTTGGTGGAAATCGCAGAGGTCAGACGTTTCTTGTAGTCCACGACCCATTTTCAATGCCCTGGCTGAGGGAAGGAGGTTCTCACCCAAGATTTGACGGTACATGGCCCCGTCCATCGTCCCTTTGATGCGGTGAAGTTGTCCTGTCTCCTTAGCAGAAACACACCCCCAAAGCATAATGTTTCCACCTCCATGTTTGACGGTGGGGATGGTGTTCTTGGGGTCATAGGCAGCATTCCTCCTCCTCCAAACACGGCGAGTTGAGTTGATGCCAAAGAGCTCCATTTTGGTCTCATCTGACCACAACACTTTCACCCAGTTGTCCTCTGAATCATTCAGATGTTCACTGGCAAACTTCAGACGGGCATGTATATGTGCTTTCTTGAGCAGGGGGACCTTGCGGGCGCTGCAGGATTTCAGTCCTTCACGGTGTAGTTTGTTACCAATTGTTTTCTTGGTGACTATGGTCCCAGCTGCCTTGAGATCATTGACAAGATCCTCCCGTGTAGTTCTGGGCTGATTCCTCACCGTTCTCATGATCATTGCAACTCCACGAGGTGAGATCTTGCATGGAGCCCCAGGCCGAGGGAGATTGACAGTTATTTTGTGTTTCTTCCATTTGCGAATAATCGCACCAACTGTTGTCACCTTCTCACCAAGCTGCTTGGCAATGGTCTTGTAGCCCATTCCAGCCTTGTGTAGGTCTACAGTCTTGTCCCTGACATCCTTGGATAGCTCTTTGGTCTTGGCCATGGTGGAGAGTTTGGAATCTGATTGATTGATTGCTTCTGTGGACAGGTGTCTTTTATACAGGTAACAAGCTGAGATTAGGAGCAATCCCTTTAAGAGTGTGCTCCTAATCTCAGCTCGCTACCTGTATAAAAGACACCTGGGAGCCAGAAATCTTTCTGATTGAGAGGGGGTCAAATACTTATTTCCCTCATTAAAATGCAAATCAATTTATAACATTTTTGACATGCATTTTTTTCTGGATTTTGTTATTATTCTGTCTCTCACTGTTCAAATAAACCTACCATTAAAATTATGGACTGATCATTTCTTTATCAGTGGGCAAACGTACAAAATCAGCAGGGGATCAAATACTTTTTTCCCTCACTGTACAAGGATTGCCCTCAAAGCAATGCCCCACTTTTTTCACAGCCAAAATGTATTGAATCTACAGAAGAAATGCAGATGGAGTTACCTGCACATTATTTTAAACCAGAGCTCAGTATTTGTGTTATTTGGTTTAAAATGAAAATGGGTTTGATCTTCCACGAAGCTCATGGTGCACCCTAAACCACATCTGCACAAACCATGGTAGATGTTGATACCTGATGCACAAATAGAAAATTAAAAACTCTCCAGTATGCAACTGTAGTTGTACAGAACAGACCATACAACATATAACAACGCAATGCCCGATCCACAAATATGAAGGGGACATCACAGCGATACACTCCGCTGCTCATGACTCAGCTATCTGGCTTGACCACCTGAATGTGAAATTGTAGTCGTTGCTCTGCATCTACATCAGCCACACGAATGATAAAGAAAGGCTTAATAAGTTAATGTACCACTTTGGGAATTTTTCTCCAGTTAGCCTAAATGATATACCGTTGATTTAATCTCTTTTGGTTATTTTATACAACCTCTGTATGATCTCTTCGAGTAGAAATAATGTCCGTAAAATATATGCCTATTGAGTTTGCAAAGAATGTGGCACACGCTTTTGTGTTATCCTGAATCAACAAAGTTGCTTCAAGAAAGTATTGGCTGAGCAATAACTCGTGAGGTTTTTTTTGCAATGAAAGCTCCAATCCTTTTAGCTTATTCCCTGTGGCACGGATGCTGTCATGCCTTGATCAATTACAACTGGTTGAATTCTGAAGCAGACTCTTTAAATTCCTTACAGAAAAAAAGTTTTATTTAATTTGAGACAGAACAATATACAGTATGTTCAACAAATTAAATAAATTATCCGTTTACTTTTATCCAATACACTTGCAGTGCTTTCACTTATTTCTACAGTACATTATTGTTATAACATTTGTATTATTGAAAACATTAATAATGTATGCCTAATTTTAGTTGATCTTAGCGAGCAGCTGTGGCACAGTTGTTTGCACAATATACTAAGAACCCAGAAAACTGAGTTTAATTCCCGGTCATGGTTAACATCGGTGGCGAATTATATCTGAACCTGCCCAATACGCCATGTCTCCAATCCACAACCACCAGCCTGGTTATATATGGTTAAACCCCCATGACCTACACAGCAAGAAGAGGTCTTTACCCTAGCAGTGAATTGACTAAGGGCTGTAAATTATTATCATCATAAGGTACTCAGAAAGATAATTTGATGTCTCTTGGCCACAGTAGAGTTACATATATCATAAATATGTGCTGTAGCACAAAGGGACATTTTATTAGCACTTACGTTTAATGAACAGAGGATAATCGGCTGTAGAAATACATTGTACTTTCCAATTCAATTAACGTAATGCCTGTTGCCATACGTTGCAATTAGCCATCTGTGCCTCTGTATACGTCTCTATCCTGTTTTGCATTGTTGTTTTGCACAGCACTGTAATATAAATCTTATGAAATGTGGTAGTTTACATGTTTATATGCTTTCATGTAATTGCACTTCAAGGAGCATACTAAAATGTTTGTAATTAATTTAATATATCGTTTTCCCTTCTAATTTGAGAAATTTAAAATAAAAATTAAGTTTTTGAATGCCACGACAACATTATAACACTTTCTAAAATCAGTTATGAATGTTGTTCAAGGCTAACATTGCCAATTTGATTTAATATTTTATATAAACATATTTTCACTGGGAAATGTTTTTTACATCTCAATAACTTGCAAATATATGCGCATCCTTATTTGAAATGTGGTAAATAGCCATACATGTACTGTTATATCCTTCCACTGGTACGTCTGAGCCATGCCATCATAGTTCAGGATGAACAGGTTGTTTTGACACTGCAGAAGCTGAGCCGTGCCACCCACATCACACACAATGTGTGATGCTGAGACGCATGTAGATGATGCAGTAAAGCTGTGTCCTCAGTGTAGACTGACGTGACATGCAACATGCAATGAATGTGTCATTGGCCCTGGCTCTAATGGGCTCTGAGGTAGATTCAGATGTCTTATGAGGCCAGTGTATAACAATTATGGTCATGTTTCGACACAAAAAATAGTGGAAAACCACCAATTCTGTGAGAGGCCCGCTCTGGCTTGGCTCAGATGTGCCAGTAGAAGAGCGGTATTACTATTGAAATACTCTGCATAATCACGTTCATGTTTGCAGGCTTATCGGCATTGAAAGCAGACGCACATTCGACACCAATGCCAGGCTCAAGCTCCAAACAGGATCCAAGGTGTGCGGTGGATGTAGGGTCAAGACTTGGCCCGGCCTTGAGTGGACAGTCACGAGCCATAACGTGGTCAGGCTCAGGATGTGGCAGACACCCGAGGTCACAGTCGCGGGCCGAGGTTTGGCCAGGCGGCTGCTTGGGGCTTTTGGAAGACCGTGAGGATGCGGGTGGTGGTGAGCAGCCGCTAATCATCGCCGACCTGACCTACAGCCCGACCTCCAGCACCATGCCGACGCCTGTGGAGGATACCGTCACCATAGACAGCATCTTCGCGTGCAACAACAAGTAAATCATGAAGCACTTATCAAACGTTGGCATATAACATAACATGTAGGCATGTCCTCATAATTTAATGTTTGTTAAAAATGTTTGGTTCTTTAAATAGTAGTTGGTCGACCAAGCTATAATTGATTTATTCTATATTGGTGCCATTTAGTTGAGCACAGTTTGGTCAATCCATTCATGTGGAAACCAGGGTACTTTGAGAAATCACACACATTGGAGGGGATAACACTCGGAGCTTTGAGCAGCACAACAAAGAATTAAATAATCCATTGCTGTACTATCTTCCCCTGGCCACCTCAAAGCCAAAATGTATACCACATTCAATATAGGCCAAAATTCCAGTGGCAAGCAAACAAACACCACTGTAGATGAGTGAATATTGTTCTTGAAGCGAGCAAAGTTATGAGAACTTGGGAAAATAGATGATGGGAGGGAACTCAAAAGTCGAGCAGTGTGAGGAAAGAAGGAGAGAGAGAAGTGTTTTGACCTGTGGTGTGGTTGTTGAACACAGTACATGAGAAGAAATAGTCAGGCTGGTAGACCCAGTCCTCAGCATGCGTGGAGGCTTTTTCCACTCTATACTAAAGTTTAATCCTTCGCTGTGCGTGGCAGGTACAGGGAGCCGGACACAGAGTCCACCTGCGAGGGGTCGGACTTCGAGCCGACCTCGTTGCTGGTCATGACGGACGATGACGACGACGACGACGATGAAGATGGCGTTGGCGACGACTCCGAGGAGGACGCGGGCTGGCAGGGCGACCGACTGGAGCTGCTGGGCACGCGCCTTCTTGGCGGCGCGGCACGGCGCGGTGCGGCGTGCGCGTGCGGCACGGCCCGGCTCCTGCTGGCGCTCGCCGCCTCCCTGGGCCTGTTACTGCTGCTGCTCGAGGCCGGCCTGGACGCCGCGCCACTGCGCGAGATCCGGCAGACTCCCGAGTTCCAGCAGCTGCATCGCGAGTACCTGAGCCCGCTACGTCGATGGCTGTCCACCCGGCTGCAGCCCTCCAGCCCCGAGGTCGACTACTGAAGAACCGCCTCGTTCGCTCAGATTGATCACGAAGAAGGGTGGGGGTGGGCGTGGCCGGAGGAGAAGCTAAATGATAATTTCATTCAAAATAAAAAAAATGAGCATTAAGTGCTCTGCTTCACAGGGTTAGTCGGCATGGTGAAATAAACGGAGCGTTTTCACCCTCTGCTATTTATTTTGTAAATACATACCGTGAGTATCAACAAAAACAGTATAGTCACTGTGGCTTATAAATATATCATGAATACATACATGTATAATAACGCTAAAAAAATGACATATCATGACTCTGGATATTCCTAAAAACAGATGATAAAATAATATGTAATTCCTTTCAGTTAAATAATTTGTGTATTTTTTCACATTTCAGTAAAGAGAACGTTGCATTATGGGTGACGCATCATCAGTTTAATTTGTGATATATGCAAAATGTTATTATTTTTGCCGTTCATTTAGAGTTTTTGGAAGACATGATCTCCAATAATATACATGAGTTGAGGCTCTTATACAGTGAGGGAAAAAAGTATTTGATCCCCTGCTGATTTTGTACGTTTGCCCACTGACAAAGAAATTATCAGTCTATAATTTTAATGGTAGATTTATTTGAACAGTGAGAGACAGAATAACAACAACAAAAATCCATAAAACGCATGTCAAAAATGTTATAAATTGATTTGCATTTTAATGAGGGAAATAAGTATTTGACCCCTCTGCAAAACATGACTTAGTACTTGGGGGCAAAACCCTTGGTGGCAATCGCAGAGGTCAGACGTTTGTTGTAGTTGGCCACCAGGTTTGCACATATCTCAGGAGGGATTTTGTCCCACTCCTCTTTGCAGATCTTCTCCAAGTCATTTAGGTTTCGAGGCTGACATTTGGCAACTCGAACCTTCAGCTCCCTCCACAGATTTTCGATGGGATTAAGGTCTGGAGACTGGCTAGGCCACTCCAGGACCTTAATGTGCTTCTTCTTGAGCCACTCCTTTGTTGCCTTGGCCATGTGTTTTGGGTCATTGTCATGCTGGAATACCCATCCACGACCCATTTTCAATGCCCTGGCTGAGGGCAGGAGGTTCTCACCCAAGAGTTGACGGTACATGGCCCCGTCCATCGTCCCTTTGATGCGGTGAAGTTGTCCTGTCCCCTTAGCAGAAAAACACCCCCAAAGCATAATGTTTCCACCTCCATGTTTGACGGTGGGGATGGTGTTCTTGGGGTCATAGGCAGCATTCCTCCTCCAAACACGGCAAGTTGAGTTGATGCCAAAGAGCTCCATTTTGGTCTCATCTGACCACAACACTTTCACCCAGTTGTCTTCTGAATCATTCAGATGTTCATTGGCTAACTTCAGACGGGCATGTATATGTGCTTTCTTGAGCAGGGGGACCTTGCGGGCGCTGCAGGATTTCAGTCCTTCACGGCGTAGTGTGTTACCAATTGTTTTCTTGGTGACTATGGTCCCAGCTGCCTTAGATCATTGACAAGATCCTCCTGTGTTGTTCTGGGCTGATTCCTCACCGTTCTCATGATCATTGCAACTCCACGAGGTGGGATCTTGCATGGAGCCCCAGGCCGAGGGAGATTGACAGTTCTTTTGTGTTTCTTCCATTTGCGAATAATCGCACCAACTGTTGTCACCTTCTCACCAAGCTGCTTGGCAATGGTCTTGTAGCCCATTCAAGCCTTGTGCAGGTCTACAATCTTGTCCCTAACATCCTTGGAGAGCTCTTTGGTCTTGGCTATGGTGGACAGTTTGGAATCTGATTGATTGATTGATTGCTTCTGTGGACAGGTGTCTTTTATACAGGTAACAAGCTGAGATAAGGAGCACTCTCTTTAAGAGTGTGCTCCTAATCTCAGCTCGTTACCTGTATAAAAGACACCTGGGAACCAACTGTTGTCACCTTCTCACCAAGCTGCTTGGCAATGGTCTTGTAGCCCATTCAAGCCTTGTGCAGGTCTACAATCTTGTCCCTAACATCCTTGGAGAGCTCTTTGGTCTTGGCCATGGTGGACAGTTTGGAATCTGATTGATTGATTGCTTCTGTGGACAGCAGTCTTTTATACAGGTAACGAGCTGAGATTAGGAGCACACTCTTAAAGAGAGTGCTCCTTATCTCAGCTTGTTACCTGTATAAAAGACACCTGGGAGCCAGAAATCTTTCTGATTGAGAGGGGGTCAAATACTTATTTCCCTCATTAAAATGCAAATAAATTTATAAAATTTTTGACATGCGTTTTCCGGATTTTTTTGTTGTTATTCTGTCTCTCACTGTTCAAATAAACCTACCATTAAAATTATAGACTGATCATTTCTTTGTCAGTGGGCAAACGTACAAAATCAGCAGGGGATCAAATACTTTTTTCCCTCACTGTATATTTGAATGAGACAGTTTGAAAGACTTACCCATTATACGCAGAATATATATAAATTATGACAGTAGGTTATTCCTTCCACATGACTGATCATTTAAAAGCATTGTATATGACAGTGCCAGTGGTCTTGGAGCACTGTATGATGGGAGCTTGCATATTTTCTTGCAGTCATTTTAAAACCATTGGCTAGGAACCATTCAAGTTGCTATGACCTTATGAGGAGATCTAGTCGGATGAATGAGTGCTGTTACCTTGCACACATTTTCCTTTCTATAGGCATTTATGTAATACAGTTTAAGGTGATTGAATTAAATGTTCATTTGCAGGATTTGCTATAGTGTATTTATACATTCGACTTGTGGGGTTTTTCTACCTTAAGAAGGTGTATATATTTCAAAGAAAACCATTGGTTTATTTTAACAAGACATGGCAGTATTTAGTGCTATAAAGGGGGCATTAAATTATTGTCAACTACCCTCTTGCCTTTAGGCTTTTGTTTACAGGACAGACTGCATTTGTAAATTTTTATTCAGGCTTTTGAGTACCGTATTTGTTTAAGGAACAATCTCATCCTGTGTTTGCGATTGGAAGCTAAATTCTAAAACACATCAGCATATCTTGACTTAAAGCTTTCGTGACTGCAGGAATTCATATTCTTTGGGTCTTTCGGTAAAGTCACGTAGATAGGTTGAATGAAAATAACAAAAAATAACAGGAAAAATACGATGTTTCGATCACAACAGGATGATGACAATCACAACACGATCGTTTGTGTTGTGATCGAATCGATGTAGTTTTTTGTTTGTTATTTTTTGTTATTTTCTTTCAACCTATCTACGTGACTTTACCAAAAGACCCAAATAATACATCAGCATATGTATAAAAATACATAATAAGTACCAACTGGTTAAATAACAATTTATTTCAGGTGTTCCAACTAGCTTTTTATAATTGTATTAAAATACTCATTAGGGGTGGGTGGTGATGGGGGGTGCAGGGGTGTTTTGTATGATAGATTTTTGTAAAATTTATATTTTAGTCAGCAGCCCTAAAATATTTGTTCGTAGTTACACTGAAACCCAGATTTTCAAGACATTAAAAAAACCTAGTCATGCAAAGCGTATGGTTTAAATATGATTATTAGAGATAAATGATAAGTAAGATGGAAGTGGGTTGTGAGACACTGTTATGTGGTAAGCCATCCTTTGTGCTTGTTTAACTCGCAGCAGATCTCAAATTACAGGCCTCAAGACATTGGTAAAATGTCCATGCCTAACAAGCTCTATTTCACAATGTTCACAGGCTATTAATGCAAACCTTGCATGATCGGAAACCAATTACGTTACGGAAAAACAGATTGGGCAGTCTCACAGGACAGCAATAGATGATGTGCTTTGGTGCTGTGGATGTTGATCATCTAACATTTCAGCCTTTTTTTTATTTCGTCGCGCTAAAAGACAAAAATAATAATACATGTGTTTTTGCAGCCAATGTTATGTTTCAGGAACGATTAATTATTTGTGTAAGGACACTGATCTATCAAAACAAATGTGTCCTTAAACCCCTTCACCACCTGACTTAGCCAAACAAATTATATTGTCACGTGTATAAGCGTTTTCACATAATTTTCATTGATGTGCACTTTGATGGTGAACTGAAATAATTATAATTGGAACTTTAAACACTTGTACACGTGACAATGTAATTTGTTTGGCTATGTCGGGTAGTGGAGGGTCTTAACACAAAATTTTCCAGAACATTACGTCGCCTAACCCAAAAATGTATAATAAAGCATAAAGTTTGTTGAGGAAATGTAATAATTTGAATCGTTTTTAAATATATTTATAATCTGGAAATTCAGTGCATACACTTGGTTAATGTATTTTGCAGAAGTATATTTAAAGGTTAGACATTATGGACATCCTTATGTCTGCTTGATCAATTGACATTGCGTGGTTGCTTACAGTGAGGGAAAAAAGTATTTGATCTCCTGCTAAATTTGGACGTTTACCCACTGACAAAGAAATTGAGTCTATAATTTTAATGATAGGTTTATTTGAACAGTGAGAGACAGAATAACAACAAAATCCAGAAAAACGCATGTCAAAAATGTTATAAATTGATTTGCATTTTAACGAGGGAAATAAGTATTTGACCCCTCTGCAAAACATGACTTAGTACTTGGTGGCAAAACCCTTGTTGGCAATCACAGAGGTCAGACGTTTCTTGTAATTGGCCACCAGGCTTGCACACATCTCAGGAGGGATTTTGTCCCACTCCTCTTTGCAGATCTTCTCCATGTCATTAAGGTTTCGAGGCTGACGTTTGGCAACTCGAACCTTCAGCTCCCTCCACAGATTTTCTATGGGATTAAGGTCTGGAGACTGGCTAGGCCACTCCAGGACCTTAATGTGCTTCTTCTTGAGCCACTCCTTTGTTGCCTTGGCCGTGTGTTTTGGGTCATTGTCATGCTAGAATACCCATCCACTACCCATTTTCAATGCCCTGGCTGAGGGAAGGAGGTTCTCACCCAAGATTTGATGGTACATGGCCCCGTCCATCGTCCCTTTGATGCGGTGAAGTTGTCCTGTCCCCTTAGCAGAAAAACACCCCCAAAGCATGTTTCCACCTCCATGTTTGACGGTGGGGATGGTGTTCTTAGGGTCATAGGCAGCATTCCTCCTCCTCCAAACATGGCGAGTTGAGTTGATGCCAAAGAGCTCCATTTTGGTCTCATCTGACCACAACACTTTCACCCAGTTGTCCTCTGAATCATTCAGATGTTCATTGGCAAACTTTAGACGGGCATGTATATGTGCTTTCTTGAGCAGGGGGACCTTGCGGGCGCTGCAGGATTTCAGTCTTTCACGGCGTAGTGTGTTACCAATTGTTTTCTTGGTGACTATGGTCCCAGCTGCCTTGAGATCATTGACAAGATCCTCCCGTGTAGTTCTGGGCTGATTCCTCACCGTTCTCATGATCATTGCAACTCCACGAGGTGAGATCTTGCATGGAGCCCCAGGCCGAGGGAGATTGACAGTTCGTTTGTGTTTCTTCCATTTGCGAATCGCACCAACTGTTGTCACCTTCTCACCAAGCTGCTTGGCAATGGTCTTGTAGCCCATTCCAGCCTTGTGTAGGTCTACAATCTTGTCCCTGACATCCTTGGAGAGCTCTTTGGTCTTGGCCATGGTGGAGAGTTTGGAATCTGATTGATTGATTGCTTCTGTGGACAGGTGTCTTTTATACAGGTAACACACTGAGATTAGGAGCACTCCCTTTAAGAGTGTGCTCCTAATCTCAGCTCGTTACCTGTATAAAAGACACCTGGGAGCCAGAAATCTTTCTGATTGAGAGGGGGTCAAATACTTATTTCCCTCATTAAACTGCAAATCAATTTATAACATTTTTGACATGCGTTTTTCTGGATTTTGTTGTTGTTATTCTGTCTCTCACTGTTCAAATAAACCTACCATTAAAATTATAGACTGATCATTTCTTTGTCAGTGGGCAAACGTACAAAATCAGCAGGGGATCAAATACTTTTTTCCCTCACTGCACATCAGGAAAACAACTTGTAAGTTCTCACACTTTATCCATTAGCTCTGTGAGTTAAATTGCAGATCAGTAATGTGCTGCCTTCATAATGGCACACTCCGTTCCCTACTGATGCCTACAATTGAAAATGTGTGCACCAGTGCGAAAGTAAATTCTAATTGCTGCATATTTATATTGATGTATCTGACAAATGGTGGTACCAAAAGCGTCTTCCAAGTAAACATGCAATGATGGGAAAACGTTGGTATTTAGTGGGAACCATTGGACCATTGTTGGCCCAAGATTGGCCCAACATTCCATGTTTACTGGATTCAAATTGGTCGTGATGAAACAAATATAGAGGCAACATTAAACATGCACAAGGGACCTTGGTGAATGCACACACGTCTTTTCTATAGATCATCTCTGATGCAGTGGAAATAGTTGGGACTCATGTGCAGGTTTTTTTTCTCATAAATACATATAAATAAATGTGTTGGTCATGCAAATAATTGCTGAATGCGTTTGTTTTCTTTCGTATTTCTTTTGCACGATATGAGATTGCTAAAGCTTTGCAAAACACGTTCATGAACATACCCTGGCTAATTAAGCCGAGACCTAAGTGAGTGGGTGGCATTTGGTGTAAGTATATATAATATATTGCTGTTTTTCTGCGTGTTATGTGTCAGCATAGCATGTTTACAAACGTGTTTACTGTAATTCCATTATAAATAACAGGAAAAGAAAACACTTCATATCTGTATAGCAAACAAAATTGAATACAAATTTGTGAAAACATTTTAAAATTAATGTTCTAGATTTTTCAAAATTTGGTTTTGCATCAATACCATATGCCTGTAAGAGGAAAAAACTATTTTTCAAGTACGTTACATGTATGGTGAGTCAAGATAGGGGGCATGAATAGCAATTTTAATTCAATAGATTATTGTGCAAGGAGCCACGGCAATGCTGATGGCACTCAGAATATCAAAACCAGTCCAGTTTACTGCTTAAATGCTGCTCGAAAAAACACTGATCCAGAGGAACTGCATTACTAGTGGGTTGATGGTGATGGTGTCCACAGGTGCAGACGTGCAATGTCTTGCTGAGACCACTGTTGGCAGAAGGGTTTCCACGAGAGAGCCCCTCGAGGTATTTGGCCTACTCTTCTACACTCTCCATACGTTTTGGAAAAGTTCATAATCCGAATGTATAATTGTACTGGATGAAAGAAGCTCTCCAGCGACGTTTGTTTTTTTTTTACTCATTTTGGCTACTAGGGGTTAGAGCTTGTGGGCTTCATACCAACACCACGTGACTGAGACACGTGCGCAGTGCGGGAAAGAGGCGCGCACGGAAGTGGTGAATAATAAAACAATGGGTGGGTGGGCCACGCGCGGACTCACCGCTCTCACCTCCTGCTGCTGTGCGGCCCCGTTCCTCAACAGGGGTCGGGGGACCCCTGTTTTAGATCATTGTTTTGGGTGGATATGAATTCGGTGTTCTTCATCGCAAGGCCCGCGGGCCACTGGCGCCCCCTGGTGGCCTTTAGTGCGCGCCCCCCGATAACACACCCTCCTCAAAACTAGTGCTCTCAAGGCCCCCGCAGTGGTTTCAAATGTGTGGCGTCAGCCCGCACGCTTCATGTCTTCTCGGCGAAAGTGCACCTCCCGACCCCCGACCCAACAACCGATTCGAAAATGAGTGAAGGACAACCGGTATAGAAACGAAGCTCGCCCCCGCGTCCGCCTGTGTCCATTCACAGCACCTGGAGGGGTGGGGGAGGGGAATCCCTCTAACCTGGCAAGCTCCCCTCGAGACGTGGCCACGTGGGCCACGGGAGCTTGGTCTCGCGCGCTCGGTTGCTCGGCAACGGCGTCGCCAGCACTTTGCATGGAGACTACATTTCCCAGCTCGGATAGGTCACTCCTCCCCCCCCCTCCCAACCCCCACGACAGAAGACGCCTTCTCATTGGTCCCGACGGTCCGCGTGTTACTACCCGCGACCAATTGCGTACGGGGAACAAAAACACATGCGTCCGAGGCTGCCTATGCTGCTTGGGAAATGCGGTTGCTAGGGGGCGCTCACTCGCTCGCCTCTGGACGCGCGAATGTATTTGAGGTTTGACGAACGCCGTTGTATGTATGTATCAGTCGTAACATAACCTTTCTGTCGCTGGTGCTACTACCGCTACCGTAGTTACTTGTTGGTTCCACGGCCTACGTCGAGGACTCGGTCTGCCGGCCTGTCACCAACGACGAGGACGACTGCAGGTCACAACAAATCCATCATCACTCGCCCACCTGCGTACTCACCCACCCAAGCGCTCATTCACACACACACATACACACAATAAACACTATCTCATTATCTCACCAAACTCACTCGTCATTTAAAGGCTCACTCGCACTCCCCCTCCGCTTCTCTTGCTCCTTTGCTGGCAAATTGCGCCGCTTTCGAATTCCCTCCCATCGTCTTCCCCCACCCACCACCACCCATCCCAAGTTCGTATAGTAACCCTGTTCATTCAATTAAAACGTGTTAAACGCGTATCTATTACAACTTTTAAAGGGTGCCGTTCGTTGCTAGTCGCTTGACGTTTTGGGCCTGTGCTTAGTACTGTGATAGAAAACAACAACAACAACAACGATGTATTAATATTTTTTGGGGAGAATATTAGCGCACTTGTTCGGCAGCTGCCACGAATCGGGTCCCCTAAGTTCGATTCCCGACGGCGGCTAACATCAGTGGCAAGTGGCATCTGAACCGGTCCTGGGCCCCTTCACCAACCAGCACTGACCAGCGTGGTGAAGTTATGGTTCAATAACCCCCATGACATGCACCTGTTGTGGGGAGGCCTTCATACAGCAGTGGATTGCGAAAGGTTGTAAATTATGTTTAACTACAGTAATACAGTTATTGCATGCGTTAAAATGCTAATTTTTTACAATAACATAAGTACATTTTTATCCAAAAACCATCATGAGTTCTGGTTCGGTAAAGTGACTAGTACCCGGTGAGGTTGCAACAGCTTCGCCAACCTAAAAGCGATTGTCACGTTTAAGGTTAGACTAAGCCACGTAATGATGCGCTCACTTTGGTAAGGATGAACAATAAAGACTTTTGACTGGACTTTGCCCAGCCAGAGCATTAAAATTAAACGTGGTATTCGTATTATGATTTTGAGACACGAGGTGGCGCTCTTACTGTATTCTCTTTAGTCTATTCCTACACTGCATTGGGAAGCTTGGGGATTATAAAATATATTTCTAAAAGCCCGGCGTTGCGTTTGTCCGTCAACTAAATTATGAGAGCCTTTCAGAAGGCCTGAACAATAAAGTTATAGAAAGTGGACCCCACCCCCCAGATGTGGGGGTAAAACGATTATCCAAAATGTTTACAAAAATTGTCGACAATTTGTTTTCACTCCCCACCCCACCAAAATATATTTATTTTGTAAGTACATGTAGTCCCTGACTTACGATGGTCCCCGACTTACGATATTTCGATCTTAACGATGGCGATAGCGATATGACAAAATTGTAAAATATTTGTAATTTCGCGCGGCAGGCAAACGCAGCAGCGTACGAGGTACGATACTGTAACTTTATGATCGCCATCCTCCTCTTCCGACAACTAAGTTAATGTAGCCATCAACAACCTAACATCGTTCAAGTATGCAGACGACGGACAGAATCTTTGTGAGTACAGTAGACTATGATACATTACGATACGTTCAATGCATGTATGATACGTAGCTTTAGCGATTTCATTTTAGGGTTACCGCGATACGATACATACGATCAATGCATGTTAAAAGTTTTTATAGCAGATAGGATTGTTTCCTGAAAAAAACTTTCTATGAAATTGCAGTTCATATAGGTAGGCTAAGAATTTACCTTGTTTTTTTACTTAAAATTTTACTGTGCAATACAGTATTGTAATTAATAAATACATACAGTATATAGTTTATACAGTACGGTACTGTAAGTATATATGCATACACACCCTACATACAATAGTCAGTAGTATCTACTGTCTACACACTCTACATTAGTCAGTAGAGGACATCAGTGGTGGCGACGGGCAATTCGCGACATAGTTCATAGTTCCATTTATTTGGTATAGCCCTGTGAGCCATTCGGCTCTTGAATCGGGTGCAACCGCAACAAACAAAAAAACAAAAACATGAACAAGAAAACATCTTAAAGTGATTACGTGACTGTGCAAACAGAAAATCCAGGGGAAAAAAACATCAAAATATTCCTGAAATAGCACCGTACACCAAGCCCCGCCGGTCCTCGGCTGCCGAAATTCAAGTACATAAACAATTCAAAGCTGTTTTGAGGACATGCCTAAAAAGTACATAAACAATTCAAAGCTGTTTTGAGGACATGCCTAAAATATGAAAACCTTGTCTTTCAGTTTGGTTATGCTTGACTTCTGAGCATAACAGACCTTTCGAGACACATGGCTTCATCTGCTGCAACCAATGGGTCACCGAAGGTGCGTGAGCCACGTTACATGTTCATTCACACATGTGTGCTTAGGTATGCAAGCCCTGTTATATATTTACCTACGTATGGAGGCTTCATTTGGTTGGTGAAATTCTTAGGACTATTCCTAATGAATTTACATTTGTTTCTTATTGTAGGTGACACAAATGACAATACAGTACAGTACATTCAGTTTGTATTTTTCTACGTTTGATCTTTTTGGCAGTAGGTTGTTTTTGGTGTCTTTTTGTGTCTCTATAATTTTTTAAGCTAATTTTGAGGAATAATGCACAGCACACTGACATTCAAGGGACGATGAACTGCTAAGGGGTGAGGGACTGCTAAAACATCTAACTTTTATTGATGTTTCCACCCACTCACTAAGCATCATCCTTTAAGTAAACCATGGCCCCACATTTCCCTACGTGACTTTTGAGTGCATTTTGTTATAATCTCTTAGATCAAGCATTTGGTTAAAATGACATGACAACATGGATATTAATACCACTTGCAAAAGTGCTTTGGAAAATAAGTAGAGCGTACCAATAAGCAACCTGACATCACAGAAAGTTCAACTTTATCTTTCAAGTCAATAAAGTACTGTACGGACCATTTTAATGGTTGCCTGTTTGCAGATGCAGAACGGAGCTGCCACAGCACGGACTTTACGCCGGTTGCAGGCAGAAATTATCCTTGAAACTGACACACCCCGGACTCGAGATGTAAAAAGTCTACGATCAAAGCGAGTTGCCTACTATGACAGGATGCTGAAATCTACGACAGATCCACAAAATTTCCAGGCTCCACAGGCAGATAAATGCAAGAAACCAACACCAAAAGAAATTGATAAGTGTTCAGGAAGTAATACTGAATCCTTTTTTGAACCAAATTTAGACAAAACGATCTTGGAAGGAGGTGATGAATTGAGGCATGAAGTTATTCAAGTAGATAACCCATACGATAGTGACCGTCTGTCAGATTCTCAGTGCAAAAGTGCAGTTATACACTTAGACATTGATTCGAACATGCTTAACAATGAAACATCGAAATGTGGGTTATTAAGTGAAATGAATAGTATTGCTCGAGAAGACACCATTACAGAAGAATCTTATCAAATTGCGCAAGCTTCTGGTTATAATTCAGGAGATCATCCCCACATATCTGTTAAGCGCGGAGCTGAAGCTAACCAGAACCTGCTCATTCATGATTCAGATTTACATCACATATTAGAAGACAAGAGTGTCTCTGAGACACAAAAATTGAGGCATGTGCTTGACTATGCAAGTAAGATATTAAAACATCGGCAGCTGAGAAGGGTGAATTCAAATCACGATTTGAATGTGGGAAAATTGGAGGTGCCTTTATGTATTAATACAGGGTCTGGTTCAAGAATCACAGAGAATGGAGATGATTGTTCACCATTGTCAAAAAATTACACCCACATTGGTGTCAAAGAAGGTGATGGTATGCTCAAATGTAACAGCAAGTCAGATATTTTGCTCACCACACAAGTAGATGATGGAAATTATGGCTGTGGTAAATTAAATTCTCAGAAATATTCATCTCATTCCGGTTGCAATACCAGCTTTGATGAAAGTGATACATTTCGGGCCGATATTCCTCCTTCTAAGTCATTGGAAAAAAAACAAATGAAACCCCCATTTTTAGCTTCACCAAGAAAGTTTAATAAAGAGGTAGGTGACACCAAAACGTTTCAAGATTTGAATTTTGAAGGAAATGCTTTAGTCAGCAAATCATCTCTATGTGTGGAAAATGTAGAGGATGAGCACACTTCGAAGGAAAATAGTAAATGCATTTTACAGAAAAGTTATCAGAAACTAACCGATTCTAGTGATGATGAGGACAATGCTGTTGTGGTGATGCAAAATATTGCATGTGAGCGTTTTACAGATAATGGACATAGTGATCTAATGGTCCCACATCCTGAAGATGAACATTTTGACAGAATCCCTGTTAAGTATTGCTTTCGATATTCTGATATTATGGCAAATGAGATTGAAAGTGACATTAGTTCTGTCAATGAGAACCCATATACCGATAAACTTTATATTCGGGATGACATCACTTCAGAGATAAATGAAAATGGTGAGAAAATATATAAATGTACGAGTGGCATCACAGAAAGCCATCTCTCATCCTTTAATAATATGGTACCCAGTTATAAAGATGCCACTGCAGATTGGTGTCAAAATCAAAGTCTTCAACATTTTTTTATGCGTGGTGAGGACACTGGCCCAAATTTACCATTAGCGTCAAAGATTGTTTTGCAGTCTTTTGACCAAGATGTAGGCAGCTCATTGGATACATCTAGGAAATCTAAAAGAAGCATCAACACGAAAAGTCTAAAGTCAGAACGGCACAAACATAGCATTGAAAAACATTTAGACAGGTTGAGAATCCAAGAAAATGAACAGAGCAACAGAGAAGGTTATCAGATATGTCAATGTGATAGTAGCCTAACAGAGGCTCGCCAACACCAGACAGAAAATGGAAAGCAACATGGCAACAATCATTCATCACCAGTGATTCATGCGCCTATTCTGACCTCTGAGAAGACAACAAAAGGTCAAACAAAAAGAGATGACATGCACAATGCATCATCAGAGTTGGCTAGTGAACAGGTAGCAATATATTCACCAGATCTCGGCAATTTATTTTTACATGATGTGGTTGATAAACATGTCGATTCAGAAAGGAATACTGATAAAGATGACAAAATGCATCGTAAATGTTTTAACAACAGCCAGGATAGGGATCATTGGGATGTGGAATCTGGAGGTGTTGTGAACAATGTTTCGAGGAGGCCTGCAGAATTCAGCCACAGTAAATTGGAAGCAGTTGCCGAGTCCAGCGAAGTTGGGAAGGCTCAGGTAATGAAATTTGCAGAATCCTTTTCAACTCTTTCATATCTACCACAGGCAGAGTTTAGATCAATAAATGTGGAAATAAACTCTGACACTTCTTCGGATGAAGGCTCTTATGTGAAGCAGGCAGTGGTTGATCAGCTAAATGAAGATTCCAACAGACCTGGATCAGACGAGGGAGAGGAAAGATGTGAGAATAGTGCAGAGTGGAGTAAAAAAATGCAATCACTAGCATGCCCTACACCATCCTCCAATCCTAGAATAAAGGCTTCAAAAATTAAACAAAAAAATGGAAAGCTTACATCAAGTGATGGCAGCAACCTCAGAAAAAGTAAAATACAAGGTAAACATTTAATCTTTAACACATTTTAGTTATATTTTTATTGTTAAATTATTTGCCATTAAAACAGGGTTTAAACTGACAAATTATAATTAATATTTTTTACAGTTCTGTACATTTCATTGGAATGCATATGTAATCTTGTAGCTTCCATGTATTTGTAGGAAAGAGCAAGACCACCGAATTTATCAGACGCAGTGGCTACAGGAGGCACTGGGACAGGTCTAGCATTGATTGGTCAACCTACCAAAGTGGAGAACTAAAACCAAAGTAAGTACATCACACTATTATTTAGAGTTTCATATATTATATTCTATATTTAGCACTATAAATTTTTGTTTTACACAGTTGATAAAAAAGTGGAATCATTTATGTCAAGTATCATTCATGTGTGTCACTGCTACATAAAAGTGGGTCTGTTGCACAATGCAGGCATGCTTTTACCATAATGGATAGTGTTTTTCAGCTGTTACAATAATGGCAGTTTCTTCAGCTAGAGACAACATGTTTAGTCCTAAAGTCAATTTGCATTGGGCACTCTTATTCACATGCATGTCAAGATTTCTGTTCATTGTTACTCGGTAAAAGGAATCCCACAAATCACAGTGAACAAACTAAACTCCATCGGCTTTGGTTTTTCTAGATTGAAAGATCGATACCTGCAAAGTGAATTGCATTCAGCACAAATCTGGATTGGCAGATTGTGACTGCAAATGCTATGCCCCTTTATAGGTAGTACATGTTGACTATTTGCTGCGTAAACAAGCAAATTACTTATTCATTCTGAAAAACTTTACATTTTGCTTCATTAACATTGTATAATAATGGCTTTGTAATTGTTCTCATTTTCACATTTTAGATCAGCAGTTAAAAACAGACCAGCAACAGCAAACATTCTACTGCATCAAGTAACAACTACTTCACAAAAATCAACGCCATGTAAGAACACCAGACCTTTGTATTTTTGGGGCACCGTAGACTAAACTTGTTATTCCAGGCAATTTTTTTAAAATTTCCTGATTGTGCAAAACAATACAACTTAAGAAGTTCTATAACGTTATATTATACTTCTGTATGCCTAATGTGTAAAACAATACAGCATAAGTTCCATAAATGTATATTCTACTTCTGTGTGCCTAATGTGTACGTGTCTGTAAACGACAGTGACAGGCACTAAGGGTCCCACTGCCACTTCCTCCTGTGAGTCGCAAGTCGGGAATCAGAGAGCTGTGCGGGACTCGTTGAAACCGTTGCCTCAGAGGCCGGCCAGCTCCAATGCCACTCTTGGAAGCAAGGGTGCAGGTGCAGTGAAGAGAGTCAGTAGCCGACCTGCGGGTGACTGCGTCTCCGATGAGCATCAACTGTCAACTATCCCTTCCTTTATGAAGGCGAAAAATGCATGTATGTTAATGCTGGGAAATAATTGTGTGTTGACAGGCAGATGTAATCTAAGAAAATAAAAAACACACAATTACCTGTTACGCTATGTGTCTCAGGCTGCCTAACAGGGTTTGAAGTTTAAAACCATTATCAGCACTATAGTGGTGCTATTATATTGTTTGATTAACGTGTACGGGAGTTTTTGGAGTGCTTTAACGGCTCCCCATACCAACTTTGAGGTCTGTTTTCTCATTCATAATGTTTACTCTTGTCAGGCAGCCCTGTTTGTTTCCCAGAGTTTTGTCATTATGTGATTCACTATGCAGGCACAGTGTAATTGCCATGTGGTACAAATACAATATGCCTCGTATAGTGTGTATGCAAATATAAGTTCAGTCTAATTTTAAAGGATGGTATTTTACAAGTTGTATTAAATACAATACTGTAACAATGTTTACATTTATAATTATAGAGTAATGGTGAACTTTTATAGTTGTGATCACTCCTGTGTTTATGAGAATTCACTCACACCGGTTGTGGCAAATAACAAAGACTTTTTGGCTGTGAAACCTGATTACAGCAGTATGTGCATACAATAAGCATGCATTTCAGTAATTGGATCCATCTACCAGCCTTACAGTCACGACAACTGTGCATCTTTTCTGAAGGATAGTTTACAATGCATTGCCCACCACATAGCAGAGAGGACCAGCATACTACTTTCAAGTCTACTCTGATGTCTGATTAATACGTTTACAAAACATTGCACCCTGTAAATGGAATTATGGTAAAGGTGCATCGCTGTACTGCTGTTGCTTGTTCTCACCACCACTGCTGATGGAAGGGCCTCCACTCGATGCAGTTCTAAATAGCCCTTTTAGTGGGAATTTTGGCCTACTCTTCCACAAAATTAAATTCAGAATCTTTACTAGACTGGAGGAATCCGATGAGCTGTGAAGCTCTTTTTCACAGATGTCCAGTAGGGGCGGGTCAGCAAGTTACAGATTTAAGGAAAGGCCAAACAAGTTGACCAGGACATTCGTGAGCACAAGCAATTCACGATTATGAGATGAAGCAACATTGCGAGTGGCGGTGGTCGTAATGCGCATGTGTGACAGTCAATCATAGTGTGGTAAATAGGAAATAACATTGGCAATGCAGTTCTGATTTTGTGCTACTTTCTGTATTTGTATATGTGGATTAAGGGACAATTACCGAGTGGATGGCAAACAATTCTGACTCCCAGGCTTATACAGGCGCATCCACAATGGTGAGATACATATAAATATATATTTAATTCGATAGCATAAAAATAAGCATATAAATAATATAAAGAAACAGGTATTTCACAATGCAGCATCTCCTGTAATGATTTTGAACGCACAGTATATCATAGTCTATAACATCCAGTGCATTCAGAAATACTGTGACAATCACGAGGTCCCTGGGATTTTGACAAAGTAATTTCACTCACCTTCACATGTTTGTAATTGTAAAAAACAAATACGTAATAAAATTTACATTGTTAAACGAAAAGTGTATTTCCTTTTATCCTTTCAAAAATACCTAATTTTAAAATAAACTGGAATGGTTTTCTTGTTGGAGATGCATATCCACATTATTGGATCATGTAGATTAATTAAACGCCACAGTTCATAATCTTGCTTGCCTATAAGGTGGTCTGTTAGTGGTTTTAAAGCAAGTGGGACCATGTGAGTGTTATCCCTCCCGATGTGTGAGTTTGATTGGTTTCCTCATTCACACTCACACAACACCTTCAAAAACGATGTTAGCTAAACATCTCAATGCAGGACCATCCTGAAATGTTTTTCTTGAGACTGGTAAGTCTCTCCCAGATAAACGAATTACATTGTTGCTTGGTGCTGAATGTCCTGTGCTGGTGATGTGCAGGGTGCAAGTTGCATCCCCAGGTGGATTTACCTACCTGAGGAACTGTGGCTTCGAGTCTTTTCCTTCCTGTCACATGGTGACCTCACACAAGCTGCCTGCACCTGTCATCTTTTCAACCGCCTGACTTCTGACCAGTCCCTCTGTAGGTGCATTCGTGGGTCTTATTTCAGTGACACTTCATTAAAAAAAAATGTTCACTGTACAATGCATAAATAAAAATATATTTTGTATATGAAATGGAACAAAATCTGAAAAGAAAGCAAAAACCGTAGAGAGCTATACCCTTACAGAGAGACAGGAAGAGCAATGTATCGATGCGAAAACATTCACAAGTTCTAGACACATTGGCTGTTGAGAAAATTAAGTGTACTTGGGCAGGATGCATCACTAGAATGGACGAACGATGGCTGTTGATCGAGACTAATGACAGTGGCAGCTACAGGAGGAGCACGCTAAATAGGGTGTCCACCGTGAAAATAAAGTGATAAAATCAGCTTGTGTGCAGGAGACAGATGGATTGTTATATCACAAGATCATGAGAGACGATGAGGGTTGGGGATGCCTTCATGCAGCAGTGGATAGAATACGTCTATCCGCTGCTGGATAGACGTAAAGTACATACTTTTATATATTTATATAATGTTGCTTTGTATGTTAACGAAATATTGATTAGAATGTATAGGAAGTATCACTTGTGTCAAATATGTATTATAATCTTTGGTTCTTTCGGTAAAGTCACGTAGGTATAAAATACGTGACTTTACCGAAAGAACCAAAGAGTATGGATTCCTGCAGTCACGAAAGCTTTAAATCGAAAATGTATTATACTGTTATGTATTTTACTTTTGCATGCAGTGTGTTACCATAGAAGTAAACTGATCATCGAGGGTTTTTTTCCATCCAAATTCATTGAATTACTGCATAACACGTAGTCACAGGCTTGCTCGGTCACCATCGCTTAGCTTGAATTACATTTAACTGATTAACATACTGGCATAAAAACAAATTAAATATTCTTGTAGAATGTGCGTCTGTAAACTGACTGGGCGTCCCCTCCGAATGACTGCTCCCTTATTTGTTTGAATGACGTTCTCTGTACAAGTTATCAGGAGTGCTGAGATCAGGGTTAAGAACCCATATACTTTGGACCCCCTTGTCATTGTGGTCTCTATGCTGAATACCCAAGCACACAAATTTCACAGGGTGAAGTATAACAAGTCAGCCATGTTTTTCCCAATGCTAGATTACATTTAATGTCTGTGTGTCATTACCTTGACACAATGTGGTGTAATTATTAACTCTGGTAGAGCAGTCGATCACCCCTCTTTGGAGAAGGCGCTAAAATAGAACTACTTTTGAAATGTCTTCAAGTGATGCAATTTCCCATATGTCATGCGCTAGAAATGGTCAATTTATAGCAGTCAAACCAAAACCTTTAATTTGCATTGGTTAAACCGTTTCCAATTTAAGTAAAGAATATACAAACGTAGTGTGATATTTTTTGGAATCACTGGGATGGAAAAATGCAGCTCACCACTAAAGGACAATATTATCATTGGTGGATGCCCATATTTGAATACAGTCTCAACAATGCCACCTCAGTACACTAACGTCTGAGCCATCCAGCCACCTCCATATGTTATAAACATTTATTTTAACTAAAAAAAGTTGCTCCACTGATATTTGAAACCGAAATAGTTGAGTCTCAGGTTTTCAATTGCTTATATTATTAATCAACGACCAACAATACCCACATTCAGTCTCTGAAAATAAGATGTTTACATTTAATTTGGAGAACAAAACATAACTTCCAAAGAGAACCTTGACTGAACTTAAAATCGTAATATTGCATTCATCATTATTACCTTCATATGATAAAAACAAATTACCATCTCAATGAATTGGTGGAGATGATTAATTTCACATAAGTATGAGCGTTTACACATCTCACTCATTGCAATATTTTTCCACAGCATTAATGATTTAAAATGAATACTCGTAAAGCGTTCCCTGATAGCCGTGTTCAATTCAAAAACCTTAATCTAATGTAATGCCAACGAAAATTGGTTTTAAATCGTGGCAATTATTTATCATGTGTGCTTAAATTTCATACATTTTATACATGTAGACCTTTTTTATCTTCATTACTTCAATGTGTAAATCTTATCTATTTCCAGTAGTGGTTGGACAGGATGACTTAAGATGTGATGTTTTGGTATTTCAGTTGTGTTCCCGAATATGGCAATTTAAATGCACAATTTAACCGGGTGATTTCTCAGCATTTTACAACGTATATGCCATCCAAAATTACCCTGAAAACGACACTTGAGAAAATACCCAAAATGTAGCAGAAAGCCCCTGGGCAGGACACAGCCGTGAGTGTGTGTGGCGGTGCCCTGCACATGCGTTTTTTGACAGGGAGGTCCGTGCGGATTGAGGGCAGCGTGCGGCTGAGCGACACGTGGTTGGCCAGCGTGGGGCGCCGACGCCCAGAGGGCCTGTCCCTCACGAGGTGTCGCGACACACGGGGGACTGTCACCGCGGCTGGCCTGCGAGCCCTCTTCAAGCAGTGTGGGGACCGCATCACGGTGAGTATACAATCCTGGCACGGATATGAAAATAATCGCTGCTGCCTTCTTCCATAATTATTATGGGATAACACTGAAAAGTCTGCACAGAAAGTTTACAAACCCACTATGCAGCACTGTCAAATGCCTAAGAATCTCAAAGGTGCTCGACGAACCCTAGCTTCTAAACACTGGATCACGAATAAGCGACTCCATACACAGCTGAACACTGGCAGAGCCAGTGGGGGGGGGGGGGGGGTGGCACATGCCCCCCCAATGATCCGATCGAAATCCCTAATTTCGATCAGATCATTAGGGTTTATTAGTAATAAATAGGCATTTTGTGACCCCCACTGCCACTGTGTAGCATATTATTATGTGCCAGGGACTCTATGAGATGATAGGACAATAGTCTTGAGTCCATAATTGCCAATAAATAACGGCAAAGCAGTTATAAGTGACTCACAGAATTGTGCACAGTTGCGTATACAGTACATGACTTCCCTGAAGGCATACCTTCAGCGAGCGCGATGTCGATCATACAACGTGGTTCGAATTCGACCCTCGATCGATGGCTGTGTCATCGCCGCACACGCGTCGAATAAAAAGCAAGGGACAAGTCCTTACTTACTAACAACTATCATTTTTAATTTCTGGAGGGGTTGCCCCCCCTACCTGAAAATCCTGGCTCCGCCATTTCAGCTAAATATTTTGTTCTGCTGAGTATTGATGGAGTGGAAGGTGACCTTTAAAGAAAAAAACTCCTGTGAGTGAAGCATCATTTTCCCCTGTGGTTTACGAAAAGGCTTGGAGCTAATTTGGTTTCAATTATGAAAGATTGTCAAGAAAACAGAAATAATATATTATTAATGCAGCACACTGAACAATTAGAATACTGATTTAGATCAATGGGCAATGAAAAGCAATAATTACAGATACAATGTTATTAGAACCTGCTTTAATAACATAGTAATTAACTAAGTCTCATGTTGATCTCGTTCTAAGATCTTCACAAATTGATTTGGAAAAACATTACATGTGTTTATTCCCATTATTTTGCTATGAAATCCGTCCATGATAAAGGTTTTTGGGTCACCTGGAATGGTACTTTCTACAAACAGAATGAAGGTGCCCCAATGGGCTCTCCCCTATCACCAGTGGTAGCGAATATTTTCATGGAGAAATTTGAGACAGATGCCCTCCAGACATCCACCCGACGTCCTTCCTTGTGGAAGAGGTACGTAGATGACACGTTCGTCATCTGGCCACATGGCCTTACGGCACTATGCCAATTTCTCAACCACATCAATTCCATACACCCATCTATCAAATTCACCATGGAAGTGGAAAATGGAAAAAATGACAAGCTACCATTCCTGGATGTTTTGATCGAGAAGAGACCTGATGGCTCGTTGGGACACTCTATCTAGAGGAAAGCCACCCACACGGATTCCTACCCTAAGCCCGACTCCCACCACCATCCAGCCCAGAAGAATTCCCTCATCAAAACACTAAATGATAGGGCTCGTTGCATCTCCGACCGGCACCACCAAGCCAGTGAGCTTGAGCACGTACGCCAGGCTCTCAGGAGGAATGGATATTCTGACCGCACAATCCGCAAAGCTGCATCCCCAACCATGAGTAGAGATCCATCTGAGGACCCAAACAAAACTATCACCCTGCCATACATAGCAGGGGTTACCAAAAGGATTTCCAAAATCTTGAACAAACACAAGATCCAAGTTCGGTTCAATACAGTACACACAATCCGTGATTTGATCCCATCGGTGAAGGATGCGATTCCTTACATGCAATGTCCTGATGTCTATAAGCTGAGTTGTATCTGCGGCAGCAGTTACATTGGTGAAACGAAGCGACATGTCTCAGACCGGGTTTGCAAACACAAAGCGGATTTGAAACACGGTAGAACCAACACCTCGGCGGTGGCGGATCATTGTTTCAACGCTGTGGGTACACATGACATTATTTTCTCTGAGACCAAGGTACTCTGCAAACCCTTGGGCTACCATCAGAGATTTATTCATGCAGCCATCCAGATATACAAACACAGACAAAACTTTAATTGAGAAGATGGATTCAGATTGAGCAATCATTGGAAGGACGTGATAAACCACGTCAAGTTTTAACTGCTGTGATTTTCACTCACCCACCCGTGCCGTTTTTGTTTTCGGTTACTCATTCAAGCTCATTGACATGCTAATTTCTCCAGCCCCACTCGTCCCTGCATGCCACAAACCCTCTCCCCTGTGAACTCCTGCAGCCACGACTCGACAAAACTCCTTCCTCCCCCTCCCGTGCCTATATAAAGCCACAACAGCAGATAATTTTCTCACCTGATAATGGACGCTTGTGTTACGACCGAAACGTCGTGTTTCTTTTTTTTTCTATGTACGTGACTTTACCGAAATAACCAGAGAGTATGGATTCCTGTAGTCACGAAAGCTTCAAATCAAGACATTAGATCGCGGTTATTTATAAATGTGTCGCAACCCTCCACCACCCGACACGGCCAATCAGTAAAAAATGTGTCACGTTGACAAAAGACAAATAGTTCACTACTTTAGCGCACCGGTGTGTTCAAGAGAGGATCCACAACACTTACAATTTGAGTACTGTGTTTCGCTGGAAATTACATCCAGCATCTCGGGGCCATTTGCCAGAATAGTGAAGCCATCCACCTGCTTCCGGTCTTAAATCGTGCAGGATAACGTCATCATTGTTGAACACCATCAGGATTCGAGTTCAAAGGCGGAGGTGGGGGTGTATGCAATTATGTAATAGATCAATAATCAGCCACTTAGCATGTGACTCACCTGTAAGGAATTGAAATGTGTTGTGTATTACTTAATAATACGCTTCCAGGCTGCGCTGAGTCTATAGCTATCACAACGATTAAAATGATTTGAATTATTCACAATTTCAATTGATTCTCTAACTAATCTTGGCCAGTAATAATTGGTTCTGCATAACACTTCAACGTTATCAAAATCAATTGAATGTCCTTGTTGGCAATAAAATACGTGCTTACAAATTCATGTAGGTTGAGTCAAGTTTGTCTAGCAATAAGATAATGTGTTTTGCAATGACCTTCTGATAAAGATGTAGTGTGACATGGAAGAGCACACTGAATTTACGAATTGATTGACAAAGTTCACAGAAATAACTTAATCAGATGTAGGTAACGGTGTGTGAATATTAATACGAAAAAACAACCTCTTTCCTAAAGTATTTGTATTCATACTCTTTGGTTTTATTCGGTAAAGTCACGTAGGTAAAATAAAATAAAAGAAAACAATTAAATCACGACGTTTCGGAGGCAACACAAGCTTCCGTCTTCAGGTGGAATAGTCACAGCAGAATATCTGTGTCAAGTGCACAGCTCTGAGACCATCGGGTTTATATATAGGTTAAGGGGGGGGAGGAGCCAGAAAGGAACATGGGTGGGTGGGAGGGCTGAGTTAAGCCGCCTTTTGTTAAGCTGCAGGGGGTTTCGGGGGAGGGTGTGGTGGACTGCCAACACATGCGAGTAAAACCCTTTTGTTATGCTGCAGGGAGGTTCGGGGGGAGACGATGGCGTGCGAGTACGCCCCATTTTTGAAAACGAAAGAAGCAGCTAAAGTTTGGCATACCACCACTGAAAACCACGTTCCTTTCTGGATCCTCCCCCCCCCCCCCCCCCCCCTTAACCTATATATATAAATCCGATCGTCTCAGAGCTGTGCACTTGACACAGATATTCTGCTGTGACTGTTCCACCTGAAGACGGAAGCTTGTGTTGCCTCCGAAACGTCGTGATTTGATTGTTTTCTTTTCTTTTATTTTACCTACATGACTTACCGAAAAAAACCAAAGAGTATGAATGCTTGCAGTCACGAAAGCTTCAAATCTAGAATTATTTGTATTCAGCTTCTCTAGTTCCTCTGCCAAATATAACATGCAGCTGCAACAATTGTTTGCATGTCTACCGTGTACATTACATACTGAGCACAAGGCATGGAATAGTTATCCATGTAGTGATGGGATGAGTTGGATTTGATTCAAGAATTGACTATTTTTCGTCTCATTTTACCATGTAATTTGCATTGTTTATTTTTTCATAATATTATTTCATACATTTTAGTTTGTTCCGTAAGCCTAAATATATCATTATCATAACATGTGCATCTAATGTTCTTAAATAGTGAATTTCGATTCTTAGATGCGCAATTTAATACGTGTATCTTGAACATAAGCATCTATTGCAATCACTAAATCAATGCATGTTATATGCCTGCTGGGGACTAATTGAAATGTGCGGAAGAAATCAGAATGTTAAATTAATGGAATAAACATAAAGGTTTGTAAACAGAAGGGCTTTGTGTGAACAGTGATTTTATTTTCTCATAAAGAGTGACATTCAGCTGTAACGGGAGGCTGCTCCCATGGAGACCATCTGGAGGCAGAAAGGGACTTTGTTTAATGGCACGGTGAAAATTAACTTGTTCAGTGACACAATCAACCAGGGAAAAAAGGAAAATGAGTTACTGGTAATAAAACAAACTCCCAAAAGCCTCTAATGTGGGACCTAGGTACCAAACGTTACACTGAACGTACGTTTTTGCAACAAAAACAAGTCTGTTGTGAATGTTTAACATATGTTCTCCATTTCTATGTAACCATTCAAAGCACGAAGGCAGAATGACATGTGTCTACGTGTATGTGTTTTGTTTGTTTAATGGCTTTCTAAAAATATTACTTCCATTCATAGTTGTTGAATATCAAATGCTTGTCAATTATTTGTCGGGTCAATGTTTTTCAGAATGCAGTATCCAAATAATGTAACAATGATCGTGTTATTCATGTGAAAACTTTACTCATTTGTTATTAACACAAACATGTATAATAGACGAAGTTTAAAATGTGTTTTTGTGTTCTATGAAGAAGATCCATTACCTCAAAACGTCACCAATTACATATATATTTTTTCATTTTAAGACCACAGTGATATTGACAAATATGTTCAGTGCCAACTCAGAATCACTAAATAATTAACATTATTCATACACTTAGTTTTCAGGTCCTGCGTATTTCTAGGACGTTTTTTTATGTTGCAGTCTCTGCTATCGCTCTTGTAAGATTTTGATAGATTGTTTGTTGTTGTAACATTCTTACTTGCCCCTACCGGACATCTGGGACAAAGAGTTTCATAGCTCATCGGATTCCTCCAGGATAAATACATATTGTGATTTTGAAGAGCTGCTCTTTGACTCTTATAAAGTTTTTTACCAATTGATCATTTGGGTGTTTATACGTATGTATGTTGAACCTCTTAGTACCGTAGGTAGCTGACAGTGCTTATCGGAGGTGCAGACGTTTCTTGTCTGTCATCTCATGAGGCATACATATTGTGGACTCTATTCTGAATTCGTGTGCAAATAGTTATGCTGGATGGCACTGAATGGATCTCTTGAATACAAATGATCTGGACAAGTTGAGGCAAGACAACACTTAAAAAATACACAATGGCCTGGGAAACCCGGTGTTTTGTGCCTCCATTTTATATTTGCCTTGTTTCACAAATATTTTCCTGGCTGTGCAAATTATATTTGACACAAATGGTACAGTCACATACATAACTGCCAGACATGCGACACGTTTTGTTCTCGGATAATTTGAACTGTTTTTTTTTGCATCAAGACAAGACCGACATTGCTGCTCTCTTACTCTGTCCGGCATTTTACCATGAAAAAAATCCATCCATGGTCTAACATGCATTTAAATCAAGCACAAATAATGCTCGAATACAGTAAAAAAACACGCTTTCCTTTATATATAGGATTTTTTTTTCAATTGTCCTGGAAAAGCAGTTGATCTTGTGGCAGTGTGATTCCTGACTCGAGGGGTCTTATGCAATGCTGGAGGTCTAGTGTTCTAATGTTCAAGCTTGCCTATAACTATTTTTATGTTTCTAAAATCACTTTAATAGACACTCCAGGGTATGTATTTTTTTTTACGTTAGCACTGGTTAAAATATAATAGCAATTCCCATTTTATTCCTAAATAATATATAGATGTATGTATGTTGAATTTCTTTGGCACCGTACGTAGACAACCGTGCTAATCAGAGGTGTAGGGGGAAAAAAACAACAAACTAAACCTAAAAAGCAGTTCTAAAGACATGATTTCAGTCGTTGAGGTCATCGCTTTATTGTCATTAATATGAACCTTACAAGGCATATTATAAAGCCAAACAACATGACATGTATCCATGTTGTATCCGGTGAACCGAATTGTTTGTATTGCCTGATACAGGCGCTAAGATGTTCAAAACGCCAAATAGACGCCTATTATAAGACATCAATTCTTAACACGGGTAAAAGGGTCCCATGGATATGTTGCGTAGTTTGTGACCGCACCAAAACACCCTGGTTATAAGTGCACTTTGTTGTCTTGCTGTTATTTTGTAAATCCTAAGACACTCAAGTTCTGTATTATTATGTTACAATGCCGCTCCGTCTCCTGATTAGTTGCACCCATATTTTATTTGTTGTTGAACTTTGCCTGTAAACAGTGAAAGCACAATGACGGCTTAGAAGTTGAGCTCTTGACATTTTAGTTTTCCAACAGAGGCGTTTACAGCTGCCTGCCAACACACATTATAACTCCATAATACAGGTTTTTGGGTTAGATCGCGTAAACATAAATGTGTCGTTAAAATCGCCACCACCCAACACAGACAAGGTTTTGTCAAGTAAACATATTCCAATTCGTCACTAGTACAGCACACACCGGTGTGTTGGAGAGCAAATCCACAACATTCACAATCTGAGTACGACGTTTCGCCAGTAATCACAAACCGGCATCATCAGCCAGTCAGCCAGATTTGTGGGTGCAAACGAAACCTAGATTTCGATTTAAAGCTTTCGTGACTGCAAGGATTCATCTTCTTTGGTTCTTTCGATAAAGTCACGTAGAATGAGAATAAAATAATAAAATAAGACAATAAAATTCTCACGACGTTTCGGCCACAACACAAGTAGCCTTCTTCAGGTGAAAGAACAGAACTGTCGGGACGACGGAGCTTCAATTAACGCTGCTAAGATTCGCAGCGTCTTTTAAGCTCGGTGAGAGGCGTGGCGAGCCTTGAAAAAGGAGTTCACATATCAAAGCAGGAGAATTTAGCATTGAAAATAAACTGAGGGATTAGCTTGTGACAGAAATAGCTGTGTTAAAGTCAAAGTTTACATATCCACAGAGGCATTAAGTATATGGACGCTAAAGGCCTCCAATTACCAACTATTATAAAGTAAACCATAGCGTCTTTCTGTTCTTTCACCTGAAGAAGGCTACTTGTGTTGTGGCCGAAACGTCGTGAGAATTTTATTGCCTTATTTTATTTTATTATTTTATTCTCATTCTACGTGACTTTACCGAAAGAACCAAAGAAGAAAAACCTATATTATGGATGATATTGGTCACGAAAGCCTATGTGTTAAACTGACACATTATAACTTTAAAAATACGTCTTGTAAGGTTAATTTAAAAAATATTGGAAATATCTATACACATGTATCTTGTTCCTCTTTGGTAAAAGGTACAGATATTTGGATGGTTACTTTCCGGATTGATTTCAATGGGGTTTTACATGGTTTCTTAAATATAACATTTTCAAAAGAACCTTTAGTATTTAACGCAATTTAATTATCTTTGTGAAATAACAATAGCTAGCAAATCTGCAGTAGAAAAAACAAGTTGAGAAAATGTGTGAACATTGACACTGCGCATAATGTACAAAGAGTGATGTGTTAATTAAAATTGCTCTTTAATTTCAGATTGCTAATTATAATTGGCATTCACGAACGGAAAAGGAAATGTAATGGCTGGGCTTCTGTGCATTGTCAGTATGCAAATACATTTATTCAAGCATGTTACCAATTTTAGGGGTGGTCGTGGTGGAAAACCACATGTTGTTCGTGAAGCATATCTCTTGTAGATTTGAAGCTTAAGGAAATATTTCTGCTCATGAAGTGAAATTATTCTTCCATCCTTGATTATACCCACAATATATCAAAGACTGATCGATTTAAAGAGAATGTCCTGAAATTCTTCAATATCTCGAAATGACAGAATTAATTTCATCAAGGTTTTAGAAGGCCAACACTGCAATCTTGTCCTCAAGTGGGATAGAAAGGTGGTGCTAGGCATATCTACAATAATGCATTTAATGTTTGTATGATGCACATTGTATATTTCTGTAGGATTATATCAATACATTGCACGTGTTTACATGTACAATAATGCATTTTGTTTAAGGTGAAATGCTTTTTTGTTTTTAATTAGAGTAGTTGCTAAAAGGTTCTAAGTATATTGTCAGTCTTTTGTTTATTATGTGTGAACAAAAGTAAATGGACACCCACAAAAACATAATTGTCCATGACATTACAAAGTATAATACCAACACGTGGAACAATTTTGGGGGACATTTTTTGTTGTTGTTTTCTCAGCAGCTCATTCCATTTGTGCTGTCAGCATAATGCCCTTGAGACAAAAGCATCCATTTGGAAATCTCTGTGTGACCGTTTAAAGATATTTTTCACATGACTCATCGTGTGGATGATATGTCACAGTTACATCTATACATAAATACAACACCGCATTGTTGACATTGTGTCATGCATCGTATTTTTGTTAGAGATGAAACACGCAGATCAACGTGTGACGATATTTACATACAAAAAATTGCAATTCTTGAACGATTATCACATTTTGGGATGCTGTCATGGTATGATGGTTAGCACACTAGACTTGCAATCCAGAGATTTCCATTTCGATCTCCCAGAACGGCATTTGAAGCAATGGACAAGTGTCTTCATTCCTCCCACCTCTGTCCACCCAGCAGTATAGATTGTTGCACCACAGTTAAGGCATCGGCAGGCCACGCGTGGTGGAGAAAGGTGGAGACAATCCCACTTCTTCCAAGATGTCTGGCCAGTGTGGAACTGGAGGCCAAATATATTTTTGGAGGGGCTTTTCTTCTGTCCCCTCTTGTCGAGGCATAGCTGGCAGCACCAGCATAAACAAGCAATTGTGGGGCTGCTGCTTTAAAAATATATGGTTTTTTTTATCACAATCTGCTGTATTTTGTAGGCGCTGGATGTCAGTAACTCTGCTGGCGTTACCCTGACGGGTGACTCGGTGCTGCTACATGCGAGCACGCACTGCAGAAACCTCTCCACCGTGAACCTAGCCTGGAGTGCAGCCACGCAGAATGGGGTGACTGCGCTCGCCCGCTCCGTGTCCCGGTGAGAGGCCATCGTCCGCCCACGCTGCCGTTCTTCTACACGCACACCTCCTCACTCACGTTCACTCACTGCTCTCGATCCGCTCAACAGCTGTTTACTCTATTTTGTTGTAATATTACAAATTAGCAGATTTGCTCTAATCTACGAGGCTTTCCTCCCATTGACTTCATAAAGGATATATGTTTTTATGTAACTTTACACGTGTAGATTGGAGAAGGTGAATCTAAACGGATGTCCGGTTACTGATGAAGCCATCAACATTTTGCTGGAGCTGCACGGACAGTGGTGAGCTGAGAAGAAGTGTACACTGTGATTGGTTATTTAAAGGACAATATATAGCATGTGTTATTGTCTAATCAAAGAATATAAATAAAGTTAAGTACACATGCCCTCATTCATATTCGATGTTTATCTGTAGCATCTCGTTTTTAATGGCAGTCATGTCTGATGAGCGTAATTTCTGCGACAGATTTAACGACTTGTTTGACGTAAGCAGTGCAATAATATTTAAGCCACTTTTAATATCCTGCAGCCTGACATAAATGTGCTATGTTCAGATGATTTAGCAATAACTGCACATAAAATAAGCTCCATGACCTTATTTAACGGTAAATAAAAGGCGTTATTCAGGATACTCACCATGGCATCGTCTGCAGTTTGTGACATGATGTGAATAGACCACCAATTGTGTATCAAAGTTTTTGAATATGGATTTCTAGAAAATGGAACAGCCTGTAAAGATTTGTATCTTCAAATTCTGCAAAATGCAGTTCTTGTCAAAAAAATGTCAACTGAAATGCTTAATGCTTATTGCCTATCTGTCAATTCTAGATAGTATTTGTTACGACAGCATTGTTCTGGTAGAGACTTTTTGCATGCATGCAAGTAATGCATATTCCTTTTTTTCTCACGATTGCTCCAAATAAAAACACAACTGAGAAAGTTGAGTGGTCCGTCACCTAAAAGCCATTACCTAAGAGCTGGCACCTAAGTGACTGGGTTAAAACCCTGAAGCGATGAAGCGAAAAATGAATGTTGTCATTTTTGGTCTGAGATTGTTCTTGTGTGCAGCACGTTTGATGGCCTCAGCTAGGTTACAAATGACTGCACATAAAATCTGTCTGGAATTGGTGTTTTCTGTTGATTTAGATGCACTCAGCTCTGCAGGTTGAGTATGGGTGACAGCAGGAGAGCGGAAAATGCTTTCAAAATACTCTCCAGAGAGCTGGTAAAGTTGTTTGTGGATTAAACGTTCGAAAAGTCATGAATTAGCTTAATCCAGGATATCAAAGAGTAAAATTATCAGCCTATATTAATTTAGCGTTTTACATAAAAGATTGAGGGGATACATTTATACAACAAAGTAGGCTTCTAATATATTGTAAATGTTTAGCTCCTGCAGCAGATATATTTTTCATAGTTCTTCATAATACTGTTCATCATTATTTAAACTATTGACTATAAGGATGTTGCACAAGCTAGCAACACCACCACCTGCCAGGGAAAGGGAAACAGCGTTCCTGTGGTGGTGTTGCTAAGGATTATGTAAAGCAATTTTATTATTCTATAGTGTTTTATTATTTCAACCCATGTCTACAGAGATGTGATTCGTATATGAGATGGGTTTCCCTCCAGCGGCCAAACCCGATGCCAATCATGGCTTGGAGTGTGGTGACCGAAGGATTCATCCAGCAGTGGATAGATTATAGCTCATCAGGATGGCGATGATCCTAACCTAGCTTTGCGTTTTATCTGGGAAATCGACTCATCAGTTTATTTGTTGAAGTAATACATTATCTCTGCCTGTGAATTGCAGTTTGACAGAGTTGGAGCTGTTTGGGTGCCAGGCCCTAACACCATCGTGCTTGATGCACTTGGGACAGAAGTGCCCCTCACTGCGGGTCCTCAATTTGGGCCGAGTGCCCAAGGCTACGGACACCTGCCTGATGCGACTGGCCACCAGCATGCAGCTTTTGCAGACTTTAAACCTGACTGCACTTACTGCTGTTGGTGATACTTTTTTCATTCTTGCTCACATCGTTAACGGTTATAATGATTGTTTTTTTTATATATAGCGCCCTATACGTCAAGGCGGCCCAGAGCACTTGACATCACATCTCATCTCAACCCATTTAAAAGGGCATGCCCAGTGGCAGCAGTCCCTGTGGGCACAAGGTGACTCAGCACCTGGATTGCAAACGGGCATTAGTCTGCCAATAGTGAACAATAATTGCTCTGTATATTCCTAATTGAGTTGTTCGAATTTTGCAAATTTACACTGACGCAGGCACGTAGTTGGCCTACTCCTACGAATGACGTCGGAATCTTTGACGGCCACTGTGAAGCAGACGGCGCTTAGTATTATGGCTATTGCACCCACAGTAATAATCATATCAACCGCTGCCATTAAACCCTGAATCTCTGCAACAAGTGGCTTACCCGCTACCACTAGGCCGTGTCACTGCCCATATAACAACACAAGTCAATACTGCAACATATTTTGTGGTTAAATCTTGACTCAAAGCTTTCGTGACTGCAGGAATTAATATTCTTGGGTCTTTCGGTAAACTCACGTAGATAGGTTATTTTCTTTGAACCTATCTACGTGACTTTACTGAAAGACCCAAGAATATATTTTGTGGTATTAAACTGTGTATTGTAATGAGTCATGATGGACTGCTTGTAGTTGATCATAAGAACATAGTTTATTTTATATATGTTTTTGTGAAACATTTTTGTGAAGCATAATGGAATTTGTTTTGATAGTGTTACTGTATTGTCATATTTTGTAGGTCAGGGATCAAAGTGTTCACATTTTTTCTCAACACTGTCCAAATCTACAACATCTCATCCTCACATCATGCCTCCAGATAACGGATAAATCGCTGGTGGAGATTGCAACTTACCTTCCTAAAATATGGTAATGTTTACAAATTATAATAGCTGCTGATAAAACGTTTAAATGCATTGCTTCAGTTTCCATTAGTATGACAAAGGCACAACACATTTGTTTTTACATTTTATTTGAATGAATAAACACGTGATAAACATCTAACATGAAACAATATATCAAATTATCTTGTATTGTGTTTACACTATTAAATACAAGTAAAAAACGATAATGACCGTCAGAAAATATTAATAATCCTCAATAGGTTTATTTTTCTTAAACATTTACAAAAAATACGTTTTGATAAGAATGGTGGAAATATACTAATTGTACATCTGCATTCAATATAGCTCTGAACAAAATATGTACTTTTGTGGGGTTGTTCATGATATCCTTGAGTTATAATATGTTGCTCACCATGATTATAAGCTCAGGAGAGCAATTGTATCTCGAATAAAATAGTGGTGTCAAACGTTGCTATTGAATTCCCAGTAAATTGGCTCCTTTGTACTCTGTTCTTGCTGCAGCTCTTTGGATGTGAGTGGATGCAGGCGCGTTTCTGATGTCGGAGTGCAGGCTCTGGCCATGAACTGCCGCCTCTTAAACACCCTGGACCTAAGCTCCACCTCCATCTCCAAACGAGGGTACCTCGTCCTACTGGGTCATGGAGATCCTTCGGGGTGTAGAACTCCATATGTTACAGGCTTGAGATCTATAGCTGTAAAACGGAATTCGTTTTTTTTTTTTAACTTAAGGAGCTGTTCACGACTCTAGCAATTTTTATTTAAAGCTTTCGTAGCTGCAGGGATTCATATTATTGGTTCTTTCGGTAAAGTCACGTAGAAGGGAAACAATAAAATAATAAAAATATAAACCAATAAAATTCTCACGACGTTTCGACTGCAACACAAGCAATCATCATCAGGTGTTAAACCACAGCAAGAAAATTTGAGAAAAAGGGGCGTTTTTTATATCCATGTTATACTAACTCTGCCCTCAGTATTTTCTCAGTATGTCAGAGACACTTTAAAACACGTTAACTGCAATCCTGGTCACTTCCTCCATTATAAATCTCATCAATAATACTGTTCTAAAGAGGAATACGTGTAATTAATAGGTAATGTCTTTGGCCGTTTGACATGGCTGTTATTATTGGGTATGCTTATTGTGCATGCTGTTGCATCATTAAACTCTTTAGTACTGTCGCTCAAACTAAAGTGTGTTGTAGAATAATAGAGGGCAGATAAAAAAGTGCATGGGCATTCAATTCAATGCACATGTTGTTAAGAATAAGTGTCTAGTAGTTAGTGATAAATTGAATTTCAAAAGATAGAGAATGTGGGGGTCTTGAACAGTGCATGTAAAGGTTTACATAAATATAAGTAGGCAGTAGTTAATGGATTATTTAATAAATATTTGAAAGTTTCTTGAACAGTGCTTTACAACATTTGCTTTGAAAGCAATGAAATTGGAATGTGTGGACATAAAAGTGCTAAAATCCAAGTCTGTCCCTTTTCATAGGAATTATCGCAATACATGTTTGTTTAAAAAAAATCACAATATTACGTGGCCTTAATGGTGACAACTGTGTTAGCTGAAGGGGCAATACTTGTTAATGGGATTTAACCAGACAGGTTGTAATTTATATACTTGTACATATAGTTTACAGTTTGTTTGATTTGTTGCTAGGAGAACATATTACATTCACTTCTTAACGGTGTTTATTTTAAGGTTAAAGTTATCTTTGGTTTATCACCTCAACAACTATGAAGACATTACACAAGTGAGATGTACAAGGTAGCCCAAAAGTCAGGACACATAGGGTTACTTCCTTTATTTTAATATCTAGTTTTCTTCTTCTTTTTCCTCTGGGGTCACCTCAAATCCGTTGCTTATTAAAACTCGACCAAGGACCCCGAATTAATTCAGACAAAACGTAATTGATGAGCTTTCAAAGGTGACACTCGTAATATTTAAAATACAACAACATCCTAAATTAATTTTAAAAATATAATTCATGCATGCATTCATGTTTGTGGAAGTCAGTTTGAGCATTTTTTATATATGTAAATAAAAGAACCCTTTATGATTTATTAAAATAAATAACCCTATGTGTTCTGACTTTTGGACCACCCTGGATAATATTTGCTGGTGTTCAATGTTTATCAAGTTTCAAATGTATGTAGCACTTGAATATCTTGATACATTTACTTTGTGTCTATTATAGTCACAGATATACATTGTTTTCATTGTATAAAGCATGTTAATTTTGGTAGAAGCTGGACACCCATTTAATGCAATCTGAGGTTTATAATGAAAGGTATTTGAATTTTAAAATTAATTATAATTGGCTTGATATATATTTTACAATATTCACTTTTAAATTCCATGCTATATTTCCAAAGCATATTTAGTATTTTATGTTTATAAATAATTATAATTGATATATATAAAGAACGTCTTCCAAAATATCGTCTTTTTTCCTTAGAGTACCTTAATTATATTACTCGGATTAAAATATCAGCGAATTAGTTGCATGTAAAATTTATGGTAAGCCTTAATGATCCTATTACAAATCATAATTTGTCAAGAAGCAGGCTGCAACGTGCCTTCATTGTCAATGTGCATAATGTATGTAGGTGTTCAATTAGACCACAAAGCATTCTCTCATGTTAGGACCTCTGACATTTGACTCAATTTGACAACAATTTCCATTGCCTCCATGCACTGTTTTTGTGTAATATGCAGACAAATGCAAACGGAAATGCGTGCATAATAGAGGATTTTTGGGGTCAGATCGTGTAAATATAAATGTGTCGTTAAACCCGCCACCAACCTACAGCCAATTAGTAAGTTTTGTCACCTAAACAACACGTGCGTGCAAAAATGTGGTATCTATTTGTAATGTGTGTTGTCATCTAAGGAGAGTGTACTGTTGTAACTACCTAGACTGAGAAATATACGTATTTTTTAAATTACAAATTCCGCCAGTAATTAGTGTGTTCCTGCCCAGGATGCCAGAAGTGTATGCTTTTAGCATTGTCATGGAAATCGGTGTTTCATTCTCAATGGTGCCTTTCACTTTCAGCACAGCCTCTCAATTTTACATCTAATTCCCTTGTCTGAATAGGTAATGTCATTACAGTATTGGCAAAAAAAACACAAAACAAACCTCCGTGAGTTTCACCTTGGTGTAGCCATTTGGCTCGACGGACTTTCATTTTATTTGGCGTGATATTTCTTGCTACGTTTGATTCTTCATACATGTTCAAACATCGACAAAATATTTAATAATCGTATATCCTCAATCATCGACAACGTATTAAATACATTTCAATTATAAAAAAATGTTACGTTTGTTGCACATATTAATATAAATAACAAGTCTTATGTTTGATTATCGACAATAAATAATATTTTATATGTTTGATAATCGAGGACAAATTAACAGGTATCAAACATGTACAATTATCAAACAAATCTAAACATGTTGCATGAAATGTTATCGATAATGAAACATAATTCATAAATATGCTGCATTTAAATGTTATTTGATGTTGTTGATAATTTATATTTGAAGTATGTTTATTAAATGTTGTCGAAAATCGATCATATAAAGAGAAGCAAACATAGCAACAAATATCGTGGTTTACCTTTGTCCTTTGTGTTGTACTTCCTAAATGCAAAGTTGGGGATCATGCATGCTTTTACATAATATCTTATCAGTGTTTTAGCTTGCGGAAGTAGGCGTTAATTTATTTATTTTGCAAATGTAGAGGCAAAGTCTAAGCTTCATCACAGCACCAATACAACTTGTGTTATATTACCAGTTCGGCAATTACCCCACTAAATAGTTGAGGCCTTGATAAGGGCTGGGTGCAGTCTTTTATCAGATGACCATTCCGACCATACCTTTACTTGGAATGTATGCGCCATATAAAAGATCAATTGCATTTCATTACTTATGTGTCATTTCTGCTTGCTGTGTTCAATGTTCTGCTTGTGCGTGGGCCCATCCCCTGCAGTGTGTGCCTCCTAGGATCCTACTGCCGTGATTCTTTGCAGAGTGTCAAGCTCAGCTTCTGTCAGGACATCACAGAAAATGCAGTTCATAAACTGGTGGAGAATTGTCATAGGTATAATCTCTATATAAGTAAAACATATACACACATGCATTGACATAATTATATTAAGCATATTTAGTATATAATTGCATGGATGTACTTTGTTTTTTGTTTTATGATATTTATTCTCTTTTTGTGGATTTGTGTTTAGGCTAAAGCTACTCCATTTGTATGGGTGCCGTGCTGTCAAAGACCTCAATGGCATCCAGAGAGAAAGGCCCTCTCTCGAGATCCACCACGATTTACAGTCCAGAAAATGATTTAAGAGCACACTACAATAAGATTACTTCCAAACATATTTAATTGATATGAAGTCTGTTGCATAGGTTAGCATGATGTTCAGATTACGCTCTGCTAAAGAGCCACAAATAACTATCACTAAAATGGAATATAATGACCAACCCCATGTTCTACATATGACAACTTTACAATGGATATCTTCACTATTATTATAATGACTTGGAAACAATCGTTGTTCAGCAGTGTATAAAAGACAGAGATGTTAATCACATTTTCGCAAAGGACCATTTAAACCTGGCAGAGCAGTCTGTTTTTAAGCAATTAAGCCAAATCAGGCGTAAGGACACGAATTGGGCTTTTAATCACTGTGGATCTAAGTCTAATTCAAACATTGGACATATGTACTGAGTATATTTGTGATCTGCCCACTATGCCCAATTCGCATCTCCAAAGGTAAGCTAGGTATTTGTTACAATGCATACAATTATTGGGAGGTAAATTGTCACATGGGCAGAAATTGGCTGAGTTGTTTTTTTGTCATATCTGCTTGAGATGCAGCAAAATATGTGAATTGCACACATGGCCATCATTAGCATATGCGCCCTTTATTTGGCTTTTGAGATGCAACGATAATTTGGTTGCAGTTCACGTCTTGTAAATTTGGCTGACCTGCTGATGGATCCAGGGTCCCAGATGACAATTGAAATAATAAATAATAGAACCCAGGAGAGAGCATACAGACACAGCACTGAGAGAACAGAGGGAGGCAGAACAATCTGAAATGGAGAAGCCAAGATATAAACGTGGATACACCAACAATAGCAGTAATAGAGCACCATTAGGATTATTAAGAATATTCAGTAATTAGGCACATTCGCTGCCCTATGGGATGTGTCATGTCCCACTTAATGGGCTGTTGACACTTGGGAATGTGGGCATCATGGGGCCAATGTTACCCAGCCTATGGCCCCTGATTGGAGCCACTTCGGCAAATTCTCTCAGGCTGCTGTGATTATAAGATGCAAATAGGACCGAGCTCGGTATGTAACAATGCATCAATTATCGATTTAAATGAGATCCAATATTCATGCTAGTGCATCTAATTTTGCTTGCACGACTTCATTATTTTCTATTCAGTTATGCTATTCATGAAAAAAAACTTTTTTTGTAATGACCATGATTTGTGATAATTCATGGAGTTCAAAGGGGGGCTAATTGTTACACGGCTATATGGAGCAGACTCGGTGAAAATCAGTTTTTTTTTATTCACGACATCGTCTGTGCCATCAATTGGCCTTAGATTTAAAAAAAATTCAAGTTTTCTGAGTTTCATCTGTCACTTTTAGCTCATTGGGAAATATGATGAAACGTCGCAAAACTCTTTAAAGGGGTATATCTACATGTGTACTGCATCTGCATCTTAAAACTGTTAAATGAACCAATTTTTGTAAAGAGCGTGTGCTTTATCTAGAAACGAAACATTGCCCGAGATATAAATGTTGCTTGTGTGGTTAGTGTGACTTTAATGTGTCAATTGCTTGATATCGTAATATACTTTTACATGAATCAGGAAAGATTTTACATATTCATTGTCAGCTGTAGTGTTTTGCATCTCTATGTAAAATATTAAATACTAAATTATGATTGTATACTTTGCATTAACTTCTGATTATATTACCCAGTGCTGCAAAATAAAGGAATGGAACATTTAAAACAAGTTTGAAAATCTCAAATGTTTCTGTTTTCATTAAATCTGTTTGAGTCTCACAACATATGTTAATGCATGCTTCCTTGATGACAGTAAAATGTCTGATTGTTTGGAAAAGTTGTGCTTTTTAATATAACGTTGAGAGCATGAACATTTTTAACATAACACTCACATTTCATTCCATATCAGACCCAACACCTCAACGTCCACAGCAATGGATAAGCTTTAACTGCATTTATTAACAATGACTTTGTTGCACAGCCCTGTGTGAGAAAGTTCTGACCATAACTCCCATCACAGCTTCCAGATTTTGCCCAACCCCATCTGCCCAGTGTTCTCACACCACTAGACAGCACGTCTTCACAACAACCACTTTACCCGCACACTCACACTCAAGTCTGCCCGTCTCTGTGATACACAGGTTTCCATGTCTTCCCCGAGATCATTCATCATCTCAGTCCTCAGAAGTCAAACCTCCCATCTTTATGCTGAAAATCCCCAATCCCTCGTTCACTCCTGTCCATCCATCCTACTTGCCTTCCCACAAACGCTTCTAGCTTATCCACATTAAGACAAACAGGCAACACTGGCGTGCTTTCCAGTCATCGGCTCAAAATTATTTAACGGCCGCCTCGTACACTCCCTATTAAGCAACTCCCCACTTCTCCACAAACCCTGGTGCCTTCGCCACTTTCATTCTATTCTTGCGTATGATGGCAATGTGTTCAGGAGATAATTGCCAATGTCGAGGTAGTAACGAGAGAGTTTCAGGAGAGGTTTCGTGTAGTTTTGCTTTTCCGTTAAAGCAGCGCAGACAAAGGTGGTTTGCTATATGCTCCGTAGTGTGGGTTGCATGACCACAAGCACACTGCTGTGACTTGTCTTTAATTTTCCACGTAAGAAGGAGATGTCCACATGGGCGAGTTGATGTTCTCATGCGGTTAATGGTTTCCACCAGCGTGTTCGAGGAATGTTAAAGCCAGGACGTGGGACAGAGATGTTTATTCGAATGAGGTGGATGAGAAACGGTAGCCTTCTCGCGATCCACTTGTTACTAAATACCCTCATCTAGGCGAAATGGATATCGTTAATTATAACCACTTTAAACATTGCGTTTCCATTAAACGCTATCACGGCTCAACCTCCTCCTCAGCTGATGTAATAGCGATGCAAACACACACCGGACACCTGCTTTGTCTTATTCCAATTGCCTTGCACGAGAGCCCATGGTCAATGTGTTTATTTTTTTATTTAGTTGATTTATTTGGTATAGCCCTGTGAGCCATTCGGCTCTTGAATCGGGTGCAACCACACCAAACAAAAAACAAAAACACGAACAAGAAAACATCTTAAAGTACCTATGTGACTGTGACTGTGCAAACAGAAAATCCATGAAAAAAACAGTAAAATATTCCTGAAATAGCACCGTACACCAACGCTGTGTGCAAAAATCCCAGTGGGATGCAAGTCAAACAACAACAACCACAAGAAAAACTTAGATTAAGGCCATCAGTCTAACTCCGTACTACAACAAAAAAACATGTCCAAACCAAAAAACTTTTCGAAATCCAAAAACAAAGCCATAATTGCAACGTAACAGTGATCACAGGGACTCTGACCTAATTTTTACAATAAACTGCATAAATAACATGTAACACCAAACCCTAGAGCCATAGCTGGCTGCATGAGTCACTCCACAAACAACAGAAGCATCAGTCGGAGTATCAAATTTTTCCATGCACCTTTAAGATCAGCACACTAAATCAAAATACAGATAATACTTTGCAGCGGTCATCCGGAGCGAAACTTTTTATTTTATTTTACGCCAATGACTAGTGTACTCTTTCTATGGCTCAAACTTGCAGCATCACAACAACACACGTCACCCATATTCACCAAATCCACTTTCGAGCCTCTCGGAGTATCTGAAAATAACCTGCGAATGCATATACTTCAATTAACCAATTTGAGCGATATCTGACCCCTTTGCCCAACCAGTGTGGTGAAGTATGGGGCCGTCCATAAATGACGTCACGCACCTAGGGGGGGGGAGGGATCAGACATTTGTGACGATGTGTGACGAGGGGGGGGGGGGGTTGAGAAATGTGACGTCAAATATAGACAACACGTTCTACTTAATTGAATAGACTTTTTAATAAATGTTTTATCCTACAACATAAGAGTGCAGCGCCAAATTAAATTCGCACTACATTGACCATAGTTTAAAGCGATTTGAAGCATGTTTTATCTTTTTTGGGGGGGGGGTCAGAGCTTTGTGACGTCATATTTGAGGGGGCGTCTGACTTTTTGTGACGTCGTGTGACGATGGGGGGGGGGGGTCAAAAATCGTCCAAAATCGCGTGACGTCATTTATGAACCGCCCCAATGGTAAAACAACGCCTCATGACCGGCACGGCGTGGGGGGGAGGTTCTTAATCCAGCAGTGCACTGATAAAATACTTGGCAATCTTTCCTCTATACTCTGCGTTCCTGTCGTGTTTTCGTTTTGTTTGTTCTTGTAACTTTCTCACCCGCCCCTACTGGACATCTGTGAAAAGGAGATGTCTCGCTCATCGGATGGCCCCAGTACAAATAAAGAGTCTGATTCCTAAAAGGCTGTGCCAATGGTTTAACCCATAGCCCGTTCACTGCTCGACTTCGTAGTCTCCACACACACAAGCACAAACCACAGCTTGAGTGCATTACATTACTTGAAAGCAGCGCTCATTGCCGCCGATTTACTGTGTAGTCGCTTTCATATTATGATTGGCATTCGTTGTGTTCATTAAACACGTGCTCGTGAACCATCGTCAATCCACTGCTGGATGAACCAATGAAGGCCCACCCAAACCGCCGTCACTTTTCACGATCCATATATTTTGATTTAAAGCTTTCGTGACTGCAGGGATTCATATTCTTGGTTATTTCGGTAAAGTCACGTAGAAGGGAAACAATAAAATAATTAAAAAAACATTAAAGTCACGTAGAAGGGAAACAATAAAAATATTATTTTTTATTATTTTATTATTTCCCTTCTACGTGACTTTACCGAAAGAACCAAGAATATGATCCATATATTGTTATTTAGGGGCCGTCCACAAATGACGTCACGCACCTGGGGGGGGGGGGGGGGTCAGACATTTGTGACGATGTGTGACGATGGGGGAAGGGGGGGTGAGAAATGTGACGTCACATCAAAATGCGCAACTTTAAATAAATATAGACAACACGTTCTACTTAATTAAATAGACTTTTTAATAAATGTTTTGTTCCTACAACATCAGAGTGCAGCGCCACTTTAAACACGCACTACAATGACAATAGTTTAAAGCGATTTTAAGCATGGAAATATGGTTTTGGGGGGAGAAGGGCAGAGCTTTGTGACGTCATATTTAAGGGGGGTCTGACTTTTTGTGACGCCGTGTGACGAGTGGGGGGGGGGGGGTCAAAATCGTCCAAAATCGTGTGACGTCATTTATGGATGGCCCTTTATTCACGTTTGTTTTACCGAGGAAAGCCTCAAGTATTTTTTTTTCCAGCAGGGTTCTGCCAAGTTGTGTTTCAATCCACTTAATATCTACACTCGAAACTAATCGCATCGCTCCATCTCCACAGTTGATGTCCTCTGGGACGCCTTCCATTCCTTGGCTGCCACTCACGTTATTATCATCATGATTACGTTATTGTAAATGTAGATTAACTCTCCAACACACTGGCGTCCTGTACTAGTCACGAATTGACATGTTCTGTTTATGTGACAAATCTTACTAATTCGCTGTGTCGGGTGGTGACGGGTTTAACGACACATTTACGCGATCTAACCCAAAAAGCCTCTCTTATGGACGTTATTATTGTGTTGTTTCTTCTGTGACGCGGTTGTTTTTGCTCCGATTTCAAATTGCGTCATTTTACTGTACGATTTTGCTTGTGTCCTTTTGGTGTACGTAGGTGTTCAGCAGCTCCTTGGAGACGATTGTCAGTCTTTATTTGCGTAGGTGGAGATTGTTCACAGCTCCGCGATGAGGAGAGCCCTACTGTGGGCACCTCTCTGTTGTCACCTCTCTCCTGTCACATATCTGTGGAATTGTCACATATCTATGGTCTTGTCACATATCTATGGTGTTGTCACATCTCTCTTATCACATCTCTCTTGTCACATCTCTCTTGTCACATCTCTCTTGTCACATCTCTGTGGTGTTGTCACATCTCTGTGGTGATGTCACATCTCTCTTGTCACATCTCTCTTGTCACATCTCTCTTGTCACATCTCTGTGGTATTTGTCACATCTCTACTGTCACATCTCTGTGGTGTTGTCACATCTCTCTTGTCACATCTCTCTTGTCACATCTCTCTTGTCACATCTCTCTTGTCACATCTCTGTAGTGTTGTCACATCTCTGTAGTGTTGTCACATCTCTGTGGTGTTGTCACATCTCTCTTGTCACATCTCTCTTGTCACATCTCTCTTGTCACATCTCTCTTGTCACATCTCCGTGGTGTTGTCACATCTCTGTGGTGGTGTCACATCTCTCTTGTCACATCTCTCTTGTCACATCTCTGTGGTGTTGTCACATCTCTGTGGTGGTGTCACATCTCTCTTGTCACATCTCTCTTGTCACATCTCTGTGGTGTTGTCACATCTCTGTGGTGTTGTCACATCTCTCTTGTCACATCTCTGTGGTGTTGTCACATCTCTGTGGTGTTGTCACATCTCTCTTGTCACATCTCTCTTGTCACATCTCTCTTGTTACATCTCTGTGGTATTTGTCACATCTCTCTTGTCACATCTCTCTTGTCACATCTCTCTTGTCACATCTCTCTTGTCACATCTCTGTGGTGTTGTCACATCTCTCTTGTCACATCTCTCTTGTCACATCTCTGTGGTGTTGTCACATCTCTCTTGTCACATCTCTGTGGTGTTGTCACATCTCTCTTGTCACATCTCTGTGGTGTTGTCACATCTCTCTTGTCACATCTCTGTGGTGTTGTCACATCTCTGTGGTGGTGTCACATCTCTCTTGTCACATCTCTCTTGTCACATCTCTGTGGTGTTGTCACATCTCTCTTGTCAGATCTCTGTGGTGTTGTCACATCTCTCTTGTCACATCTCTCTTATCACATCTCTCTTGTCACATCTCTCTTATTACATCTCTGTGGTATTTGTCACATCTCTCTTGTCACATCTCTGTAGTGTTGTCACATCTCTCTTGTCACCTCTCTCTTGTCACATCTCTCTTGTCGCATCTCTGTGGTGTTGTCACATCTCTCTTGTCACATCTCTCTTGTCACATCTCTGTGGTGTTATCACATCTCTCTTGTCACATCTCTCTTGTCACATCTCTCTTGTCACATCTCTGTGGTGTTGTCACATCTCTGTGGTGTTGTCACATCTCTCTTGTCACATCTCTCTTGTCACATCTCTGTGGTGATGTCACATCTCTGTGGTGTTGTCACATCTCTCTTGTCACCTCTCTCTTGTCACATCTCTCTTGTCACATCTCTCTTGTCACATCTATCTTGTCACATCTATCTTGTCACATCTCTGTGGTATTGTCACATCTCTGTGGTGTTGTCACATCTCTCTTGTCACATCTCTCTTGTCACATCTCTCTTGTCACATCTCTGTGGTGTTGTCACATCTCTCTTGTCACATCTCTCTTGTCACATCTCTGTGGTGATGTCACATCTCTCTTGTCACCTCTATGTGGTGTTGTCACATCTCTCTTGTCACATCTCTCTTGTCACATCTCTGTGGTGTTGTCACATCTCTGTGGTGTTGTCACATCTCTCTTGTCACCTCTCTCTTGTCACATCTCTCTTGTCACATCTCTCTTGTCACATCTCTGTGGTGTTGTCACATCTCTCTTGTCACATCTCTCTTGTCACATCTCTCTTGTCACATCTCTCTTGTCACATCTCTGTGGTGTTGTCACATCTCTGTGGTGTTGTCACATCTCTCTTGTCACATCTCTCTTGTCACATGTCTCTTGTCACATCTCTCTTGTCACATCTCTCTTGTCACATCTCTGTGGTGTTGTCACATCTCTCTTGTCACATCTCTCTTGTCACATCTCTGTGGTGTTGTCACATCTCTGTGGTGTTGTCACATCTCTCTTATCACATCTCTGTGGTGGTGTCACATCTCTGTGGTGTTGTCACATCTCTCTTGTCACATCTCTCTTGTCACATCTCTCTTGTCACATCTCTGTGGTATTGTCACATCTCTGTAGTATTGTCACATCTCTGTGGTGTTGTCACATCTCTGTGGTCACCTCTCTGGTGTCTTCGTCTTGGACAAGCGCCCTTAATTAGACACCTCTCCAGATGTTAGCCATCCGGCCACCTGCTCTTAATTATCACAACCTGTTCTATTTCTCATCCGGCCACATGTGTTCATAATTATGACAACCTCTTTCATTTTATAAATCGTTAACGTTTGTGTATTTAGTCCCCTACCATGTGTATGTTGAACTTCTTTCGCACCGTACGCGACCCTGATCACGCCGGCAAGTGAGGTTCCCTGATTAACGTTAACATCCAGATATCTTAAACGTAAAAAAAATATTCAACCCGTGTCCGTTTCGAATGAGGCGCAAGTGTTGAAAGCTGTTCACACGTTTACGGACTAATATAAACTTATATTGTGCAACACCGAACTTAACCATCAACTAAGCAGAGCTGTAATCCGCGGTTTCATGCAAATAAACCTCATAAACACGAACGGAAGTTGTGTTTACTGTGAGTGTGTGTTCATATCAGCGACAACAGCAATAATTCACGTCACGGACATCCAAGAAACAGAACACGTCTGTACCGAGGACTTTCCCCCAGTATATGAAGCGATGAAATCATTTTGCGTGCATGCAGAGGCGACAGCTGCAGCTCGATCATCAGTCACATCGTGGAAGGTGGCGACCAGTTTGGGGAGGTCTTCATCCAGCAGTGGATTAACCGTGGCCTGTGATGGAATGCGTGTGCGCCGACAAAGCTGTTATACGCCTTTTGACTTCCTAAATTTAAAATTTAAACGGCATTGTCCCTATAATAGAGGCTTTTTTGTGGGGGTTAGATCGCGTAAATATAAGAATGTGTCGTCAAAACCCGCCACCACCCGACAGCCAACTCGTAAGGGTTGTCACGTAAACAGAACGTGGCCAATTCGTCACTTGTATAGCACACCGGTGTGTTGGAGAGCCAAGCCACAACATTTACAATCTGAGTACGACGTTTCGCCAGTAATTACAGTAATAAATTCAAACACACCGGTGTGCTTTACTAGTGACGAATTGGCCACGTTCTGTTAACGTGACAACCCTTACTAGTTGTCTGTGTCGGGTGGTGTCGGGTTTTAACGACACATTCATATCATTAGACCTCCTTTGCCAGTACCAAAATATAATAATAGGGGTTTTCCCCTTTTTTTCTGGCAACAAAACTGAAACCCCTTTACAAGGAATCATGTTACTGCATTAACCACAATACTTGTGGTCAAAATGCAAACAAAAACACACACTCTGATAATATATGCATTGTCCTTGAAACTGGATTGGTCCACACCAGACACGGCTTTCTTTTGAGCCTTGTAAAAAGGTTTCAGTTTTGTTGCCAGAAAAATAGAGAAAACCCCTATTATGACATATTTATACTGGTAGGAACGAAGTTGTAAACTGAGTGTACCAGCCTGCAATAGATTAATGTGTCCGTCCGTCCGTCCTCTTTCAATACTGTAACGAAGTGAAATCTCGTGCTGTTGGGTGTAAAATCAGCAACAGACAGCGCAGAGACTTGTCCTACCAGCCCACCCTGCAGGGACCTGTTACATTTACGCGATCTAACCCCCACCCCTCTATTATGGATGATATTGGTCGCGAAAGTCCTCGTCCTACAACTCACTCCTACGTGATGAACCGGGCATTGTCCCAACGTTTCGTCTCTCTGGCGGCTGACCCGCCAACGGCCACGTGGACAAGCAGCGCGAGGCGGAACTCGCGACTCGAGACGCGCAGGTTGGCGTGGGGACGTGGGTTCGGAGACCTTCCTGTTCGACAACAATAAAACAAACCAAGAACACGTCTGGCAAGTCGGGCCAGTTGTGGAACCGCCTCGCCGTAAAAGGGCTGGGGTAGGTGGGAAGGGCTGGGGGGGGGGGGTCGTGCCATGATCGGTTTACCCCGTATTTGCTTTTTTGCTCAGCCGCTAGGCACTTGACTCACATTACCACCCCCGCACTGAAACAAACTCTGCGTGCACCCCCCCCCCCCCCTATTAGGGGCCGTCCATAAATGACGTCACGCAACTAGAGGGGGAGGGGGGGGTCAGACATTTGTGACGATGTGTGACGAGGGGGGGGAGGTTTGAGAAATGTGACGTCACATCAAAATGCGCAACTTTATAAACAACACGTTCTACTTAATTAAATAGACTTTTTAAGAAGTGTTTTCTCCGACATCAGAATGCAGCGCCACATTAAATTCGCACTACAATGACAATAGTTGAAAGCGATTTGAAGCATGTTTTATTTTCTAAATGGAAATGTTTTTTGGGGGGGGGGGGTGAGCAGAGCTTTGTGACGTCATTTATGAACGGCCCCTTGACGATAAATGTCACCGCGTTGCCGTCGACTAAAACTCCGTCCCAGGTTCCCACTCCTCGTCCGTCTTCAGCGGGCACGGGGAGGTGGTGGTGGGGGGGTGATGCGCCGTGCATCACACCACACCCCTTGTTTGCGTGGTGATTGTTGACGTCAAGGAGCGAGTGGGTGTGTGTGTGTCGTGCTATTATTTAGCACTCGTGGACCTAAGGAGCAGCAGCAGCAACAGCAACAACAACGCCACGACTCGCTGGCTTGGCTCGATGCGCACTCGAGACGAGCGTTCAGCAACGAGAATTGTCACAAATTCGCATTCACGGCGAGAGTGGGGTGGGTGGTTGGGGGTTGTTGCTGCTTCTTGCTTGAGCTGAACTGTAAATAAACGATAGAGGCAGACAGGGACACCCCCCCCCCGCCCCCCCCCCAAGAGGCTGTTTTATGAGACAGGCAAACATTTGACGGCGCTGTTCGGCCAAGGCGGCGAGTTTGAAAGCAGCAACTGTTTTCAAAGTTGTAATTGCCGCAACAACGCTACGCTTGCCTTGTTCGCGCACAACTGGTGTACGTGGGTACTGTCGGAGGGGTTGTCTAAGAGTGTAAGAAGTCCAGCAACTGTAGAGTTTAGTGAGCGAAGTTGAACGCGGTGGGACTGCTAAGGGACGCGAGTCGACGTGGATCCGTGAATCCAACCGCCGCTTGCGTAAAAGGAAGTCATTGGAGCATTACGCAGCGCACACAACAACAAGCACCGACGACAATCGCCCATACGCTACGCTACGTTAAGCACTACTCGATTCTGATGGCAGACAGACCTTCAACTAAGCGGAGTCGACGAGCCAATGGGCACATGGACACAGCGAAGATGGGGCATGATCGGATTCGACCGCACCACCACCATCACGATCACCATCATGAGCAGCAGCAGCAGCAGCAGCAGCCACAGGACGTGGACCTCAACTCACTTTTCCAGGCTTGCGACACCAACCACTCGGGGGACATCGATTACGATGAATTCTCCGACATCTGCAACGAGCTCCGGCTTCAGCCGGCTCAGACAGACGCGCTCTTCCGAGACCTGGACGCCGACAGCGACGGTGCCATCGACTTCCGCGAGTTCTCCCAGGGTTTCCGCTGCATCGCCGCGTCCCTGGGCCAGGGGAAGGGCGAGTCCGGGTCGCCCCGAGACCCCTGTAAGAGGCTCGAGCGTGCGCCGTCTTGCCTGGAGGACCCAGCGGCGTGGGACGACTTCGCGGACACACTGACCGGACTGCGCACGATGAGCGGGTCGGTGGAATTTTTTTTTTTCCTTGGCGTTTTAGAATTTCATTTGGCCCCGTGGCCCCATGTGCGCTCCGGGATGATGAGCACTGAGCCAGCAGCATAGCCAAGGGTCATTGGTAACAACGAATCTAAGCACAACTCGGTGCTCTGCCTCCACATATAAATTGAAATGTGTATTAATTTTGGTTCATAGGCCAATTTTTTGTTTTTGGCCTGAATTCCACCAAAAAATATTCCAAGAGTTCAACGCTATTTGATTGAATGCCACTACTACTGGTTAAGTGATTTTGTGATATGTAACTACGGTGCTGCATATCACTTTTGATGCTGCACTGACTGGAACTACAGGGTGCTTAAAAAAATGTTAGCACTTCCGAGAATTTGCAACAATACCACGAGAAATGTGTCTCCGGGTTCTGGCGATCACGTGGAGAAGATTCCAGGCATGCGTTGACAATGATGGCGAACAAGTGGAGACTTTTTGACCTTTTGAAGCTATTAACATACATTTGTTATCATGTTACAGTCTTCATTTAAAGCTTTCGTGACTGCAGGGATTCATATTCTTGGTTCTTTCGGTAAAGTCACGTAGAAGGGAAACAATATTTTTTATTATTTTATTGTTTCCCTTCTACGTGACTTTACCAAAAGAACCAAGAATATGTTACAGTCTATTATCCGTTCTTTTATTCATGAAAAACGAAAGTTCCATAGAAGTGTTAAAACATTTTTGAAGCACCCTGTATATTTTCCAGAGGCAGCTCAGAATAGCCCATATGGAGGATATTTGGCCTACTCTTCTATGCTGATTAAGCATTTCGAAAGATGTGGCATTACCCACACTTTATCCCACATCATGTCACCTCTCTATGGACGAATTGCGGCGTACATATGTATACGACTGGGTGAACGGAGGCGGGAGCACTAAAACTGTCGTGTTCTTTGTTTTAAGTACCATACCGGCCGGGAGATCAAACTGGCATGCTCTGGACTACAAATGAAGTTTGCAAACCATGTCACCACGGCAGCATCACTTGTGGATGATAGAATGATATAGTTTGTTGTTGCACGGTTGGCTACGTACGGTGCGAAAGAAGCCCAACATATATGTTGACGCTGTACTCTTGATACCACTCTGGGCAATGGCATGCTATTTGCCTGGTGTTGTAGTGTTTGATAGTATTTGTGTGCTCTTCTTTATGATGGTTACGTATGCCACCACGGAAGATAGGGTACCTAATGCACTAGTGGAGAAAATACATAAAAGAGAATCTCTCCAGCGTGCGACTGTGGCCAAGAACGCCAGACCATGGACGATGCCTCAAATATGAACTTGAAGGCGGCATTTGGAGCTGTAATTTAGCCATTGAATGGTTAAATCGCTTGCAACTGAGTTGTATTTGGCCAAATCCACCATCCAATTTCGTGCTGCCTTTTGGGACACTTCTGAGAGGTTTTGGCGATTTATTTGCTTTGGGTCAGAAAACCCTACTCGCAAAATAACAATGTCAGATTCAGAAATGTTAAATTACTCCCCGAATTAAGTAACATATGTTAAATGTTTAGTCAGTATGGGTCACTGTGAAAATTAACAAAATGCGGAATATTGGAATTTTAAACACGTAATTGTATATTCATACTTATTTACATACAATTAATATACAAATATGGGCACAATCTGACTAAAATATAAATCTGGAAACCACGCAAAAGTGATCTGTCAGTACACGGACATAGTAAAGCAAACATCACACCACACTTGGTAATTTTCCCACGATCAACAAAACAAATAAAAGATCCTTAAAAATAGATATATGGGCAGCTCTTGGACAGATGGCAGCACTCGTTACGAGTTAATATAACACTTAGGACAGATTTAACATTTCAATTCACTGCTGGAATTTATTTATTAATTGGATAGATGCAGCATGGATTACAACCGTTTGCTTGTTGCACTTGGGGATTTGAAGGCAATTTTCCAGATTGTCTTTTCAGACTTTACAGATGATTGATCAAGATAGTCGCCACTTTCCATAATTTAAATGTTTTTACTCCGCTTAAAGTTGCTGCAGTTGATCATCATGATTATATAATTCTCGTTTTGCTCGTGAAATGGATAATACAGTACATCTGAAACAGCTGCAAGAAACGGCCTCCGCAAAATGTCCAATGCATGCGCTTGCACGGACAGCGTAATATAATAATAATGATGCTCATCAGCCCATTGTCTATGCACTGCTGGACGAGGGCTTGCTCACCTCGTTCCCATCCATCTCACTCCTCCTGCTCAAGGAACTGATATCATCATCCCATCTCCACGCAGCGGTCGTCCTACTGCATGCCTTAACTCTTTTGGTAGTCTCTCCGTCAGCAGCCGAGTCAAATCGGGGGGCGGGGGGGGGACTTCATCCCATCTCGTGATGTGCCCTGCCCAAACCTATTTACTTTTCTTAATTGTAGTCCTGATGTCTCTGATTTGTGTCCCCCCCCCCTCCCCCCACTGATCCATGAACAGCCTCACAGCATGGAGGGGAGGCGGAGGGTAAGGCGGAGGGGGCTATGCCCCCTGCTGAAGGATCAGCCCTCCTACTAAATTATTAGAGTCAAGCAATGATCACAAATGTAGTAGGCGATGTGCGTGGCAGCCATTCCCTCGCTAGACACAGGGGAATGCGAGCCGGGAGCGGAATGTGCGTTGATATGTGAAATCAGCGGTCGTGTCGTTGCTCATCCTGCACAGCGTTTGTTTAACGCTGGCTGTGCCCCCCCCCCTCCCCACACTGAGCTTTGGCATGACCCCCAATTGAAATAAGGTCACAATACACGTATGGATCCACGGTTCCCTTCATCTGTCGCTTAGTGTAACACTGCCAGGGTTGAAACTAGCGGTGTACATGAACAATTCCAAAGTGCATGCCTCACCCTCGCAATGTGTGCACTGCGTGTTTGTTGGACTTCTTACGCGCCGTACGTAGCCGACAAAGATAGGTGTGGGAATCGCAGCATGTGCTCATGGACGTCGCGTGGTTTTACGATGGGTTTAACACACGTACAGGGCACGGACGTTTTTTTTTATAGGCTTCGTGAAACGCGTGCATGTTTCTAGAAAAAAAAGGGGTGCGGTGGGCATTTCCCATGAGCTTGGAGGCTAACAGCCCTGGTCGCTAGGTTCCACCCGAGGTAACATTGCTAGGAGGGGTTACAAGAGAGAGAAATTACCAGGCAAAGTCCAAAAGATAGTGGCTGTAGTGTGGTGGGGGTGTAGAGGGTGGGAAGGCGGTGACTGTAGTGTGGTGCGGGTGTAGAGGGTGGGAAGACGGTGGCTGTAGTGTGGTGCGGGTGTAGAGGGTGGCACGGCGGTGGCTGTAGTGTGGTGGGGGTGTAGAGGGTGGGAAGGCGGTGGCTGTAGTGTAGTGGGGGTGTAGAGGGTGGCACGGCGGTGGCTGTAGCGTGGTGGGGGTGTAGAGGGTGGGAAGGCGGTGGCTGTAGCGTAGTGGGGGTGTAGAGGCTGGGAAGGCGGTGGCTGTGTAGTGTGGTGGGGGTGTAGAGGCTGGGAAGGCGGTGGCTGTAGTGTGGTGGGGGTGTAGAGGGTGGGTAGGCGGTGGCTGTAGCGTGGTGGGGGTGTAGAGGGTGGGAAGGCGGTGGCTGTAGTGTGGTGGGGGTGTAGAGGGTGGGAAGGCGGTGGCTGTAGCGTGGTGGGGGTGTAGAGGGTGGGAAGGTGGTGGCTGTAGCGTGGTGGGGGTGTAGAGGGTGGGAAGGCGGTGGCTGTAGCGTGGTGGGGGTGTAAAGTCAGGGACAGCCTCACATATCGGCAAAATGTCCTCAGAATACCTTGAATGATGTCCAGTGGAATGGAATATTATTATATAATGTCAACGTCGGTTTCATCTCTAAAGCAGTATATATACATTAGGGGCAGCCAAATGTGTTGAGACATTTCCAATTTTAAGCGTAAGGCCTCATCTTTATATGCTCACTCTCTCGTCCGCTCATTCTACGGAGGTCGTTTTCAACCTTCAGCGATTTCTCTGGCAGGTTTTTTTTCCTTCCAGTTCTCACGATCGTAGCATCCCTCCTCCGTGTCTCTCCGTTTCCTCCGCCCCTCCAGTATTTTCCCAATAATCTTCTTCACTCCATCATCCAACCATCTCGTCTCAGTTCGACCTCGAGTTCGTTTCCCTTTCAATTCTTCCTTCATGACCACTTACTCCAGATTGTCACCGTCTGTTCTCGTTCCATGTCCAAACTGCAGAGTAGTAACGCGTGCACCCTCTTGTCAATTCCCTACAACAGCTCGGTGAAGGTTCGGAGCATAGAAGTACAGCAGCACATCGGTGAACTTTTCCGCACTGTGACCTGCTACTCACACATTCGTACAACAGTGTATTGGAACGTTTGTGCGTCCAATACGGTACAATCCGTTCTCCTATAACGCAGTCGTTGTGGTTCCTGAAGAACACCGCTTTGTGAAAAAATCGTGTTTATAATAAATACCATAGGGTGAAAGCACAGTCCGCGATAACGCGTGAGATGCGTACGCAGGCTGTACAAAGACTGAGGCGCGTGGAGAGCATCTGGAAGCATCCAGCAGCATCCCGCCTTGTGCGACGCTGCGCCGTGGCAGCCGTACAACCAACCGCTTGCTCCTACTCGCGCGGCATAGTTCTATTCGCTCAATCGCGTGATGTCCAATTCACATCCGCGTCGTAAAAAAACTGTGTTCCATAATTACATGAATCGCGTTATTACCAAACCGCGTTATGCAAATACGCATTGTAGGAGAACAGACTGTGTACTTTAATTCCCAGTGATACCAATGTGTTGCCCCCTTGCTATTTACAAGTGCAACAGCACAGCAGGAGAGAAACGCTCCAAACAATAACGCTGTCACTGGGTGTGGGTGAGATAGGATGGTGTGAGCAGAGCCTTTGTTGACTCACGGACACCGTAAATGGATAACATCGTGGTGTGAAGTTGGAAGGAGTCATGCAGGAGCTGATGATGTGTTGTTAGCCGCTGCTGTAATTATGGTGACGGTGAAGGAATGCTCGCAGACCAAAAGTGCTTTTCGATGTGTTGCGCCGAATGTGTACAGATGTTTCACCGGAAGACGCTGGCACACAAATTGCTTAGTTAAGGGGAAATGCATTTTATGGAATTGGTCAGCGTTACCTCTTTACGGAATGAGAAATTCTGCTGCCCTCTACTGATAATATTTAGCAATTTAACGACGCAACTTAAAGGTCACTCCAAACCAGTCCTTGTGTTCCCCCCACCCCCCTGTACGGGCACAGCTTTCTGCGATCTCCAACCATCAGGTGCGTGTAGTGTGCATTGGCTTAATTTGACTACAAAAGAGATTGGTAACCGCAGAAATCTCAACCATGGTAGTAGGGTGGAGTCTTGAGTACTGGAGTGGATAAGGGGCCGTCCGTAAATGACGTCACGCACCTGGGGGGGGGGGGGGGGTTCAGACATTTGTGACGATGTGTGACGAGGGGGGGGGGTTTGAGAAATGTGACGTCACATCAAAATGCGCAACTTTAAATAAATACAGACAACACGTTCTACTTAATTAAATAGACATTTTAATAAATGTTTTCTCCTGCAACATCAGAGTGCAGCGGCACATTAAATACGCACTGCAATGACAATAGTTTAAAGGGATTTGAAGCATGTTTTTTTGGGGGGGGGTCAGAGCTTTGTGACGTCATATTTGAGGGGGGGGTCTGACTTTTTGTGACGACGAGGGTGTGGGGGTGGGTCAAAAATCGTCCAAAAACCGCGTGACGTCATTTATGCCCCCCAATAACCCGCTTTGTTCCTCTTGCTTTTGTTTAAAAAAAAAAACAAAAAACTAAAAAAATGTTGCAGCCAGGACAACATCGCCGAGCTCTACCAGCAGATCGTGGCCACCTCGGACGCCGACCTCCTGCAGAGCTACGAGCGCGTCGTGCGCGACCTGCTCGGAGCCGTCGAGAGGCAGGGCGCCGAGACGGAGCGCGTCGCGGCGATCCTCAAGCGGTACGACACCCGGCGCGCGACGTCTGCCGCTTGCCTGGGTCCAACGTCGATGCCTGGCATGCCCGAGCCGGGCAGGGAAGGGCGCTTGCGATTTCGATGAAAGCCGAGCAAAACGCTTGGGGACAACCAGAAATTGTGAACATGGGTAGGCATTCACCAGATATCATCTTGAATTTGGATCGTAAGAAACATTAAAGAGACAATTAATATGAACAAATTGATTCATCTCCTTGGATACCTATCTTGTCTGCAGCTCCGTTCTCTCATTTCGCTCTGTGTTTATTTTATTTGCGCTCTGCCGCTGCATTTATATCTCATCTGGAAGCTCTCTTCTGTCATCTGATAGCCCCGTAGGTGTCCGCTGTACATTTCGTCATTTGTCTTGTGCCAATATGCTCAAGTAGCACACACACACACACAGATAGATATATCTGGCACCAATCTTCTTTATCCTCAAGCCATTCTCTGCGAGGTATTCCCTCTTTCCGGTTCCTTCCATTTTTTCCCCGAACAACACACTTTACATTTTCCTGTTGTTGTTCATCCTTCATACGTGTCCAAATAGTTTCCTTCTCATCGCTGCCTGCATCAGATCTTCTTCTCGTGTGCATCACACCTCGATATTTTGTCCACATGTCTCTCATCTCTCTCACAGTCCTTTCTCGTGTTTATATCTCATCTGTAATATCACTGAGGATTTTCTAAATTCTAGATTTGAAGCTTTCGTGACTGCAAGGATTCATACTCTTTGTTTTTTTCGGTAAAATCACGTAGGTACAAAAAAAGAATGAAATAAATGTAGTTTTCATTTTATTAATTTTTTAACCTACGTGACTTTACCGAGAAAAGCAAAGGGGAAAAGCAAAGGGCAAGATTTTATAAATGTTAAGGTGAGGGGGGGGGGTCCCAAAGTAATTCCGCTTCTTGTCCCCAAAGGGCAGGCGACGCCACAAGTGGCTGGATCACGTAGATTGGCGAAACTCTCGAACTCCGCCGGGCTGCAATGTGGCCAGGGAAAGTCGGTGCGGAGAGCGGGTTCATGAACCCATCTGTGCAGACTTTCGAGTGTAATTCCCTACGTGGGTCTGCTCGCGAGAGCCTGTTTTCACGCCGCTTGAAATGCCTCTTAAAAAGCAACGTGGCCAACCGGTCCGAGTGCAGCATCCTCTAGAAAAAAATATACTTTTAAGACACAATTACAGTATTAAAGTGTTGTCAAATAAAAGCGCCAAAAGACGTTGGCTTAGGAAATGTACCTCTAAAACATAATGTGTTTTTAAGTTATGTTGCTCTCCAGGCAAGTCAGTAAAATGATGTACATGACGTGAATAAATGAACGAGTAATAACAGCTTGTGCTGTTCCAGCAGTGAGCGATGGGAGTAGCGGAAGGAACAGCCGTCACTTTAATGACTGCTTGGGCCTTCAGTGAATATCCAATCATTCACCGTCACAAAACCTGGAACAATGCCACAGCTCTGTATTCAACATTTAAACAACGTGTTCCTAATCGGCCAGGTCCCTGTGATCATTTTGATACATCGCTTAGACAATCTGAATGCAAATGCTTTTGATCATTGTCTTACACCTAAAATAATTTATATCTTGATTCTCTTAATTAATTACAGCCATTCTAAGTCCACCAATGGATCAAGGCTTCCCCATATCATTGTTAGTTATGGGCTATTTTCTGTCATACGTCACCATGCTACTCGGTTAGTTGCAGGTTGGTGAAGGGAAGGGAGGACATGACCAGTTCACATATCACTTGCCACTGATGTTAGCCTTTGCCAGGAATCAAACGCAAGTCGCTAGGTTCATAGTGCAGCGCGCTAACACTGCTTCCCGGTATCTTATATACTGGGAAGCTATAAAACGTTCAACTGATGTACAGTTTAAGGGTTTATATTTCACATGGAAACATATATAAATGATTTTCACTGTTTTGTTTCCCTATATCTGCTTTTGTATTTTCTTTTGTATCCCAGTTCTCCTTTGAGACTCGTGGTCTTATTGAGCTATTGCCTGGTTTTGCAAAAAGATTGTGTGTGTTTATATATACTGTATGTCTGAACGTATGTGTGTGTGTATATATACTGTATGTCTGAACGTATGTGTGTGTGCATGTATGGGTGTATGAGGGGAGTGGTAGTGCAGCGCGCTGCGCTACAAACCCGGCGACCCGAGTTCGATTCCCGCTCACGGCCAACACCGGTGACGATTATCTGAACCGGTCCTGGGCCTCCCCCGAGGTTGACTCTGCCTCAAATGAGCACCTGGAGTGGTGTGTGAACATCACCACTGGGGAGACAAAGGTGGCTGGGTGTGGTGTCAGATACCCACCTGGTGTGCCGTGCCAGCCTTAATAGGTGCTCGCCGACAGAACTTGCCCCAACAGTCGGTCAAAGGCTACATGGGGGATCTTTGTCTTTTGTGTGTATGGGATGGTGCAGCTCACAGGAGCAGGTGGCGGAACGGCTGGGGGAGATGGAGGATGAGATGGAGCAGCGACTTGAGGCGCACGGACAGAAGATCCGCAAAGAGGTAAGACCGTGGTGCTTTCAGCGCGCGGCCTTGCCGTGCCACCCTCGTGTCACCGGGCTAAGTTCGACAGCTTCGAGAGGTGACCGAGTGGGCCGGGTGGCTCGGAGATCAACGGGCTGAGCTAGTATCACTGAGATCCTGGGTTTGAATACAAATTTCAGCCTACCAACTAACGGTCAAATCGCATTGTCAAGTGTGGTGAGTTGATGGCCTCAACCTGGTCACCCCATTGGCTTGCTTGCACAAAAAAAAAACACACAGACTTCGTTGAGAGACCCACAGACTGAGTTCAGGGTGCTAAGCTGGTATCGCTGAGATCCTGGGTTTGAATCTGGTTTTAGCCACCCGTGATTATAACATTTGTTCTCAAGCACAGCGAGTTGAGTGCCCCAGCTTGATCACTAAATGAATGCACAATGAACAACAACAACAAAAAACCCAATCATATTAAATGTAGTTTTGCTCTTAATTTTGATAAAATCTGGCTTTGAAAATGTAACATCTTGCTTCGATTGTCATGCGATGAACATTTCACTCTCCCTAGCAGGTGTGTGTGAAATTGATGACCCCCTAGCATAGATAAGAGGTTTTGTGATCATTGCTTCCACAGGCCATTCTCAAACATGGAGTAATTGAGCCCCCCAGTTCGTAAAATGACGGCACCAACTCGCGATCTGCAGATGGTGGTTTCATTTTCCAGTGCCCCGAGTTTATGCGCACATATTTACATTTTTGAAGGGGTTGTCCATTCCTAACGGGTAACCGTTCACGTTCGAATTTAAGATTAACATCGTTCACCTAAAAACAATCTTAAAATGACACTTAGTTCAGGGGCCCCATGGTGTTTATCCTGCAGTCTCCTACAACTATTACTCGCTCATCTCTCTCTGGCCTCTCAATCTCTCTGCTACTAAGAAGGGCCAACGGCCCGAAACTTCGCCCGTCAGCGTCGTCGTTCCGTTTTGAGGGTGGTGTCGTTGACGAGCGTGTCGGGGGTGTTTGTCTGTGTCGGCCAGGAGCGCGCACGTGCCGAGCACGTGATCGGTGACCTGAAACGGCACTACGAGGGTGAAGCCACTGACTTGAAGCTGGCAATCAAGAAGCTCAAGCAGGTGCACAGATTGATAAACCCGCGAGCTAAGGCAATGTATTCCCCCACCCTTTAAAATAGAAGAGGCCATAAACAAATCCCACCGCGTGTGTCTGTTCGTATGATGTTTCTCACGTGTGCCGTTCTGGCCTTAATAGATGCTCACCAACAGCACGTGCTCCAACAGTCTGTTACGGCTATACGGGGCATCTTTGCCTTTGATGCTTCTTACAGCAGCACTTTAAAGCGGGATGCTGTTACCTGTCTGCAAGTTATTTGGGAGAGGAAAACCCTTAAATAATGTACGATTGATTTACAGCATTGAACTGTATACGTTAAATATGTGTAGAATATGTAAATGTAATGGCAGGAGAGTGGTGGTGTAGTGGTGAGTCAACCACGCCGCAAACCTGATGAGAGCCGTTCAAGTTGTGACCGCGGCCGACCGTCATTCGCGAGTGATATCTTTGCTATCTTTCGCAACTTTTGGTCAGTATCAAAATAATGAAAAATATACGAATTTGCTCGTACCCTTTCTGGCAATAAAAACAGGTGTTAAGATGCCTATGTTATCAGACCCTGTTTGTGTGAATGTTTGGCCACAAGTACGTGTGGTTAATGCAGACTTGATGCCTTGCAATAGGCAGCTATTTGGTTTCGAAGCTCTCGTGACTGCAGGAATTACTCTTTGGTTCTTTCGGTAAAGTCACGTGGAAAATCAAATCAAATAATAATAGAATACGACGTTTCGGTTGCAGCACAAGCAACCATCATCAGGTAAGTATGAATGATGAAACACAGACACGGAAACAAACAGGCAGACACATGAAGAGAGAAGGTTTGTCTTGGTGTGTGTCTCACTCGGTGTGTCTTTGTGTGTCTCTCTATCTCTGCATGTGTGTCTGACTGTGTTGTTTCCGTGTCTGTGTTTAATCATTCATTCTTACCTGATGATGGTTGCTTGTTTTGCAACCGAAACGTCGTATTCTATTATTTCATTTTATTTTCTACGTGACTTTACCGAAAGAACCAAAGAGCTATTTGGTGTTTGAACATCTTAACACACCTGTTTTATTGCCAGAAAGGGTAAATCATATTCCATGGGGAGGCTTCCCCTCCATTCAGTCATGGTTTTGCAGGAGGCTATTTTAATAATTATTGTAAACATAATTCTGTATGTTCACACAACTGAGGTCTCCAAAAACACAAAGGCCACCATGATGTATGTATGTGTATATAGAAACGTGTTAATACATTCATAATATAGTTTTTTTTAGATAGCGTAAATATGAAATCCATTAAACCCGCCACCACCAGACACAGCCAATTAGTGAAGTTTGTCACGTAAACAAAACATGCCAATTCGTTACTAGCTCAACATACCGGTATGCACTGCTGGAAAATTTTGAATCCAGTTGGCTTAGAGGCAAAGTGAGTAAACCCACAACATTTACATTTCGAGGACTCAAAAACATTCCAACGAATTGGCATATTTTGTTTGCGTGACAAACTTTTCCATTTGGCTGTGTCGGTTGGTGGCGGGGTTTAACGACACGTTTATATTTATGCAATCTAACCCAAAAAAAACCTTCTTGTGGATAATATTGGGCACGAAAGCCTACTACGTGTTTAAAATGTTAATGCGCATGTATTTCCTGTGCTATTTTGCAGTTAGAAAACATTGCCAGGAGTACCGATTCGGCAGAGGACGTGATGGAACTGAAGAGGCGAATGGGCGAGGTCACTCTCGTGAGTCGCCCTTGGCCTTCCGCGTGTGTGATTCACACACACTGAACGTTAACCGTGGAAAGTAAAGACCTGTGGGGTCAGCTTCGAGGGTCACAGCGCTGGGGCCAGCATCGTCGAGAAACCTGGGCTCAAGTTCAGGCAGTGGCCTCTGATGAGACCGGGTCCTCAAAGTGCAGTAAGTTGGTGGTCTCAGCCCCGCTCGCCAATGACTGCCTAATGACGCCCCGATTGTAACATTGGTTATTTACCTAATTTGGCTGAATTACAGCGCTGACAATTAAAATATATGAGAAAAAAAACTCAGGCCATCTGTCATCACGCAGCATCTCCAAATAGTTTATTAAAATATCGCTTTAACTGTCATGATAAAGCGGACAATATATTTCTTTCACACATCTGTGCCTCCACGTAAAAATAAAAATATATAACTATTTTTTTTGTATCCAACCCATCTGCCCAACGGCCTTCCTTGAGTGCATTTCTTCTCGGTGTTACGCCTCCAAGGAGATTTGCGCGGAAAAGTTCGAACCAAATGCGTGAAGCTAAAAAAAAGACGACCTGAAGGGATTCTTCTTCGGAAGACGCCTTGCGTGACCGAGGATCAAGCGCCGCTGAGAGATCCCTGAATGGATTCCTTCTCCCATCACATGGCGCTGAGAGCATGCCGGGGGGATAGCGTTGAGGGGAAGAGCAAATAATTTGAGGTGTGAAATCTAAACAAACCTTTTTGATAATGAAAACGTAAGCAACGATAATCACCTGTACAGGGTGCTTAAAAATGTTTTTTTTTTTACCACTTCTGAGAATTTGCAACAACACCACGAGAAGTGTGTCTCCGGGCTCTGGAGACCGCCTGCAGAAGATTCCAGGCCACGTGTTGACAACGGTGGCGAGCAAGTGGGGAGACTCTTTGGCTTTTTGAAGCGAGTAACATTACATTTGTTGTCAAGTTACGGTGCATTACCTGTTCGTTTTCCATTAAAAACGATAGCGCCATATAAGTGTTAACATTTTTGTAAGCGCCCTGTATATAACGTATATTAACATAGTAACACGTGCTGAGGTGTTTTACATAAATAGCATTGGTTTGCACGTCGGATAATGGGTGTATTCTTAGCTCTTTTGGTAAAGTCACGTTGAAGGGAAACAATAAAATAATAAAATATATATAAAACAATAAACAAATATTTTATTGTTTCCCTTCAACGTGACTTTACCGAAAGAGCTAAGAATATGAATTACTGCAGTCACGAAAGCTTTAAATAAAAAGGATAATAGGTGGTTTGTTTTCCTGCAGCATACATTCAATCTTTGAGACATTTGCTTCAAATATTTCCACGCAGCGGTATAAACAGGCACAGCACAGTTAGTCGGACGACAAGTTGTGTTTTGGTGGGGTAAAGTGTGGGTACTGCCACTTCTTCCAAGACGTCTGTCCAGCAGGGAGGTACAGGCCACATGCCCTCTCGAGAATGTTGTCTGGAAGTCGCTTCTCGTGGAGGCCCTCCTGCCAATAGTGACATGAACAAGAAGTTGCAAATTCTTGGTACCCAAGAATATGAATCCCCTGCAGTCACGAAAGCTTTAAATCGAAATGTAAGAAGTTGCGATGCTGCGCCTTTACCTTTTATATATTCCGATAACATGAACAAAACATTGTCTTTATGTAGCAGTGATGGTATTGTATACGATGTCATTCCCTCTTTAGGAAAATCAAAAGTTAAAGAAGAATCTTCTGGAGGCCCAGACCAACGTGTTGGTCATCCAGAGCGAGCTGGACTCCCTCAAGATGGAGATGACGAACCGGACGCTCACATTCGAACAGTAAATGGCATCAGAGCACCCAATGATCGTCATGGGCAGCACGGCAGCAACACTTGTGCCTCAAACCAAAAAGCACCTGAGTTTGATTCCCGGCTCAGGTGCATTTTTTGTTGATTAGCTGTTCTTAATCATCCGAGATGTTATCTGCCCCGCCTCCTACGCAGGAGTGCGTGGGATCGATCCCGACCCTGACGCCTGTATATTTGGAGTTTGCATGTGTCTCTCCCTGTGGTCGTGTGGATTTTTTCTCCGGGTTTCCCCTCCACATTTAGAAACATGCGATTTGAGTATTTGGCTGCTATAGATTCCTAGACGACTAAGCCACTTCAATGAACTATCATGTGTGGCTAGGTGGCTTCTGTAAAACAGCTATGTAACTCAGTGGGCCTTACCTGGTAAAATAAAAATAAATAGTTTGGTTTTATAGTCTTTATCATCATCATTGCAGGATTGGTCTCATAGCTCTATCTCCATAGTGGTCATTCTCTGGGTTGTGTTCGCCCCTATGGGTGCCGTTCCTCGACCAGTGTCGTTTGTTGGCTATCATTCCTCCTCATAATGTTACCGACTCGTGCTCATATATATGTACATTTTTGTATCGCTAAAAGTATTGAAATAAATACATCTTGATTCCGAACCCACATCCAAAACCATAAATGTGCATACTTTTCACATTCCAATGTGAACTATGTTATTAACTATAACATGACGAAAATATTATGTATTCAAATGCAAATATTAACTGAATTCGGTTCAGTTTCTGCACGCATATGAAAAAAAATATAAGACTGTCATCCGATTGGCTTTCAGATCAACTTTATCCAGCAGCAATTCTTTAAGCAAGCAAACTCTGGAAAACGTTTGATGTTCAGGGTCTTATCAGCAGAGTCAGACCAGTTTTAACCAATCCTGCAAGCTTACAAGATGTTATTGCCAACAGTGCTCTATATTAAATAATGGATTATCAGCGGGATAAAGATTAGATGGCAATTGATCTATCTTTAGGCTTTGCTGCTATCTGAAGTCTTGCATCACAATATGGATCTGGCAGGAGCCACGCTATGTAAGTGGTATTATGCGCCTTCTTTCCCCGAGTGTGTATCATACGCAAGGCAACAAATACCACATTCACCATTGGTATGCTCTCATTACCAACTGAGCGAGCGCTTTAGGGCTCACGCTTTCATTTGTCCTAGCGGCGCACGAAGCTTCACGCTGCCCTTTTACAGGTCACAGACTGGGTCGTGGAAACAGAGAGAGAGAGAGTTAAGAGCCCACCCTCCGACATTATCCTGCTGCGTGGGATTTTTTGAGTTAATTGCCTCTGCTGGAGGACACGTGCTAACTTTATCCCCCTTTTCACGGCTCGTCATAGCAGGGGCCCGCTTCTGACGGGGCCATCTGTGGCACACGCAGAGGTATGGCCTCGAGAGAGCTCCACTCTCTTCTTTTTCGTGCCTTTTTAATATCAGATATTTTTTTTGTTATCTGTCATTTCCAGGGAGCAGATGACAATTAAAGAGCTGGCGGAGGAGAGGATCGGGCTTCTTCGACAAATCGAAGTCCTCCAGTGAGAAACCGCCCATTACCGCGCGCGCTCCTGCCTCGCGCAATGTCGATGCTGGAAATGGCATTTATGGAATGGTGTGATCAACCCTGAACACATTTTCCCTCTCCCAGGGCAACGAACCGGAAAATTCAAGACAGCAACGATGGCATGAGGTCCGTGGTGGAAAGCAGCTTTTCGTCCCAAAGAAGATCAGCTTCCAATGTAAGGTTTTTGATGTTGAATAAAACAAAAATCTTTATCCAATTTATAATATGCCAGTTGGCAATATAAATTAGTTCTAACGGTTAAAACAAACGCCTCGCACAATGCCTGAGCAACGCTAGTTTCGCTTGAAACAATTGATCTCTCTTTCGACTTAAAATTACATAAAAAATAATAACTTGTGACAAAAATATTGCACTGCTGGAAAATGTTGAATCCAGTTGGCTTAGAGGCAAAGTGAGGGGCTCGCAATGAGAATGTTCAGTTCAAATCCTAGATGAGGGTTGACCCAGCCCATCATCCCTCTGGGATTGATAAAATGACGATACAATTGACTTCACCACTTTGTAGGGAAGTCAACACTAGTTTTCCTTTGGGGTGCCATTGTGGTGAGATGTTAACTCCCTTGCCTGGTAAGGAGTGATGACTGCGTTTAGTTTATTTCCACGTGATAAGCCACTTCGTTGGGCTATCATCTGTGGCCATGTCACTTACAAAAGATAAAAATAAATTACTTTCGCGTTTTAGTTTAGGCTCTCCGCCAGCACAGGAATGTGGAATTTCCACCACTGGCTTCAGGGTTGTAAACAGATGAGCTCTCCCTCAATGCTCACTTGAGCAGGACATCACTTGGGTTGTGTGTGTGTGTGTATGATGGGAAGCGATAGTGTCGCGGTAAGCACGCTGCGCCACGAACCCGGCAGCACGAGTTTGATTCCAACTCACGGCCAACACCAGTGACGATTATCTGAACCAGTCCTGGTCCTCCCCTAGGTCGACTCAGCCTCAAATTAGTACCTGGTGCATTGTGTAAAGACATCACCACTGGGGAGACAAAGGCGGTCGGGCGTGGTGTTGGCCGCCCTCCCCCCCTCGCGTGCCGTGCCGGACCTTCATAGGTGCTGCTCGCTCACGGCACTTGCCCCCAGCAGTCTGTTAAGGCTACACGTGGCGGGGGGGGATCTTTATCTTTGTTTTTGTGTGCGGCAGCACTCGACGCCCCCACCTCATGCGACGGCCTTCCAGAGCACGCCGCTCTTGCCCAGCCAGCACAGCCCCCGGCGATCACCGCAGCCGTACGACAGCAGGTGAGGCCATTCGCTCGAGCGGGGCGTTCGCGACGGCCGCGTCTCTCGGTGTGTGTGCAATTCAGAATGGGAATCTTGATTTTCTACCGCAGGGGGAATCCGATGAGCTGCGAAGCTCTCTTTTTTTTCCACAGATGTTCGAGTAAGGGGCGGGTGAAAACCAGAACGTTACAACGACAAACAACGCAAGCACTCGATCGGAGCGCAAAGTATAGGAAGGGTAAACAAATAGCTTGAAAATGTATACACAAATAAAAGTTTACAATTGCTTTTATATTACCAGGTAAAGCCAGCCCCATGAGCTGTTAGCTTCTTTTTCAGAAGCGACCTGGCCACAAATGGTAGCTCAATGCAAGTGGCTTATCGCGTGGCAATTTATAGCAGCGGTGGCCGCAATTAACCCAGAGGCCCGAATTTATGTGCCTGTTGCACCCGGGTCTGCAATGTCAGAGCCGGTTCTGGGCACCCCCCCCCCCCGCCCTCCTTTACCGGTGAGCATGGTGAAAGATGGTACACCAAAGCCTTGTGCCTCATTTCTGCATGTGCGTTCATCCAGCACTGGATTGACAAAGGGGGCTGCCAATTATTATTTGTGTAATAACAATGACTAGAAGCAAATAAATAAATGTCTTTCTCGGCCTCGGCACAGGTGTGCGGTAAGAGTTTGGATTCAGAGTACAAAGCGTACAAAGGCAACTGCGTCGCGAGGCCCGGCACAAAAGAGTGCGGTTGTGCTTGACTAAATTCAACCCCTGACGCCCGTCGTCCATCACGCCCATATTGGAACGACGAAACGAAATCCACCCGGACCCCCATGGGTTGTCGTCACGTGGACTACGCAACAACAACAACAACAAAAGAAAAATAACCGGCGCGCTGACCCCGACGAACGCTCCTGCAACCCCCCCCCCCCAAGGTCCCCGCGCTTCCCCTCGCCGCTGGAGCACGAGGCGGACTCGCTGGCGCTGTGCGACCCCATGCTGCGCCCGCGGCGGGCGAGCGTGTGCGGCGAGACGGAGAGCCTGGGCGCCGTCAGCTGGTCGGACAGCGGCCTCTCGACGCAGCAGGAAGACGCGCGCTACGACGCCGACAGCGACGCCGGAACGGACGGGGAGGAGGGCGGCGCGCGGGCCCGCGAGGCGGCCGCCACGAGGAGGCGCGTTGCCGCCGACGTCGGCGGCAGCTTCGTCGACGCCGGGCACTCGTCCGACGCCGATGTGAGTGCCGCTCGTCTGCATGGCATGTTGTGAGGGTGGCACGGGTTGGCGCCCAGTACGTGCCACGTGGAAAGAGCACTACAGGATAGTACATTTCTCCACAAATCTGGCTGTCGCCTGATGAAGCTAGTTGTAATTACTGGCGAAACGTCGTACTCAGTTTGTAAATGTTGTGGCTTGGCCTCTCCAACACACCGGTGTCGGGTGGTGGCGGGTTTTAACGACACATTTATATATTTACACGATCTAACCCAAAAACCTCTATTTACGGAGGCTAGTACATGTGGGGACCCTGCACGAGAGAAAGTTCCACGGACCTGGCAGACTTTAATAAGTGGCTGCCGTCATGCCCCGCGGCCGCAGCGGAGCGACCGAGTGTGCGGGTTGGGGAGACTGCCCACGAGGCCCACGGCTGGAGAGCCCCATGGGTCGGAGGAGCCCAGGAGCCGGGCCACGTGGAGAGGTGGGGGGAGGGTTGTAGGGGCTGTGGTGGGAACCTGCACGAGGTGCTCCACTTTGTTCCTCGCGCCAGGGCCCATGCCAGCCATGCTGCAACGTGGCTCGGCGATTTATAAAAGAAGGATCATCAATTGTAAATTTATGGACATGTAATGTGAATGTGAGCCAAACACATCTCTGAAAATGTTCATTGCCTGCCTCTTTTGTTTCCCTTAAGTGTCCAAAGGGTTCAATATTGCTATGTTAAATGCACAATATATATGTGTACACACACAAGATTCCCCCATATAGCTTTAACAGACTTTTGGGGCAAATGCTGTTAGTGAGCACCTATCAAGGCTGAGACGGCACACGAGGAGGTGAGTGGCCAACACCATGCCCAAATTGCAATATTTAGATGCTACAGCAGCTCCTCATATGAGGCTGATACGACCTAGGGGAGGCCCAAGACCGGTTCAGATAATCGTCACTGGTGTTGGCCATGAGTGAGAATTGAACTCGGGTCACCGGGTTCGTAGCCCAGCGCGCTAACTGCGACGCACGGACACAAACATATGTTGACAATTTTAAAGTGTGATATTTTTCACGCATTTACCTCTTACAGGTTATAAATTACATCCGTTGAATTGGATTGTTAATACAGTGTGGATTTGATTTGTTTCCCTTTCATGGTATACCTTTCAACACCACATTTAATTAACAATATTTGTTACAAACATATATAAAACAGCTCTTCTTGAAATCTATTATAATTGTAAATATACGGTGTATAGTACAGGGTTCTTCAAAACAATGTTAGCACTTCAGAGAATTTGTAACAACACCACATGGCACGTGCTGCCACCTCCGGGCTCTGGAGACCACCTGGAGAAGATTCCAGGCCACACGTTGACAACGATGGCGAGCAAGTGGGAGACTCTTGAGTTTTTGAAGCTATTAACATTACATGTGTTATCATGTTAGAGTGTATTATCCCTTGTTTTTTTCCATTAAAAACGATAGTTCCATATGAGTGTTAAAAACATTTTTGAAGCACCCTGTATGTTCGTTCGTCATCTGTAAGTGACCTGGAACAATACGGCAATACATACTATTACGTGGCTTGTAAGGTAAAAGATCAATGTGCGGCCCAGCATTTAAATGTTTTAATTCCCACTGCTGCTGCAAGAGCCTCCAACAGAGGGAGCTCTAGAGAGCCGCTCGACCAGGGTATTTGGCCTCCTCTTCCCACACTGACCAGACGGCCTGCCGATCGACTCGCTGTGCTGTACCCCTTCGTACTGCTGGGTGTGCAGGTTAGGGAGATTTAAGAAACTCGTAGCATAGTTTCAACTGCCGCGTCAGGAGGTTGAACCGGAGAACTCTGAATTGCAAGTCCAGTGCTCTCCACATTGTGTATGTATGTATGTTGAACTTCTTTCGCACTGTACGTAGTCAACCGGGCACAAAGAGCAGTTTAAAAATAATAATTACAATTAAGGCAGCATGCCTACATTGCACGTATGATCAACATTCAGCATGAACCGAAATTGAACATTCATAACCTAAAACAGAAAACAAAATTAGAGCTTACACCTGCACTCTCAGATCTAGGCCAAGTGAACCCCGGCACGCAATCCATAATGTCAGCAGATTGCTTCATTTCTCAAAGCGGGGTATATTTTCTTTTATTATCATAAACTCATCAATCTTTTTTTCCCCCACCCCAGTGCCATAAGCACAATGAGTTCTCAAAGTGCGTGCGGGGCACTCTGCGCAGACAATAAAAGCGGAACAAAATGCGTGCGTGCGCGCGGTGCAATACAAAGTGCAGAGAGCACTCGGTGCTCGAGCAAAGGGCACGGAAATTAATGAAGCGCGCGGCTCCATCGCAGGCACCCGAGCTTGTCGAGGACCCGCCCGCGACGGCGAAGGCCGCGGCCCTATCACACGGCGAGTGGGCCCCATCGGCGCCGGTCAACCGCAGCGGCTCCAACGCCTCGTCCCGCCGCTTCATCCCAGCGTTCCGCAAACGGGTACCCCCCCCCCTCCCTCCCCCCTCCCCCCCCCCCCCCCCGATGCTCCTTTTACACTGGCGCATCCTGAGCCGCGTTCCCGGAGCCATGCCAAGCCAGGCGCTCATAAATGAGTTTTCAATCTGAATGATTTTAAAGGGCATAGTTTTAGTGGCTTCCTAATATCGGATGGAAGAACATTCCAGACGGCCGCAGAAGCGCATCTGAAAGTGCGCGATGCAGTGACAATCTTTGTTCGATGGCGGGCCACAAGCCGCTGCTGTGAGGATGACCGGAAAGAGTCTCACGTGGGTGATGCGGCGACGGACCATTCTCGCGGTGCTACTGAACGACGTCAGGCTCGCTGAACGTGTCATCAGGCCCCGACCCTGGCCCTGCCTGGTCCCGTGGTAGATTCATAACGGCTGGCGAGGCCAGCTGGGGTCACCGTTTGGTTACTGCTCAGCACGGAAGATAGCCAACGGAAGGCGATCTGTGCCGTGCGAACACTGCACCATATCAGCTCGGAGGTGCCAGTGGGAAGAGGGGTTGAATTGCATCCATTTAAGGCTGGGCTGAGCCACGATGATATTTTCCAGGTCAGCTGGTCCTGGAGTTGGACCATGGTGCACATGGCCCAATTTAACTAATTTTCTGGCTGATTGGAGTTGAGCGTTTTATGTTGGGCTGAATTTGTGGTGGCCCAACTCCAGACATGGATGACCGTACACATTCCTGGTTGCCTAGTAGCCCAGTACAGCGCCGTGTTTCAATTCGTATTATATTAGAAAAAGCTTGCTCGCTGGATTCCTGTCTGGATGACGTCACTCGCATCCCGCAGCGTGGACCCAGGTTTGTGTTTCTTGTTGAGGTCGTGCCTCTACTGGATGTAACAGTACAGAGAAGGCGAGGGGCATTTTGAAAAAGTGTGGTTCTATATATTTGCTGGCTGGCTGACTGGGAGCGACGAACGGTCAAGTTCAAAGGGATGTGCGGGTTGCGGGTTTATTAATAAATAAATATAAACATCTCTCCAGGAACTTCAGATCGGATTAAACTTCATTATGTTGCCTGGTTTTTAGCAACTGAACTGTAGAGCTGTAGGTACATTCGACAAGTTTTACATATTCTTGGTTCTTTCGGTAAAGTCACGTAGAAGGGAAACAAAATTATAAAAATATAAAACAATAAAATTCTCACGACGTTTCGACTGCAACACAAGCAATCATCATCAGGTGTGAAAACCACAACAAGAAAATTTGAAAAAAGTTGCTGTGGTTTTCACACCTGATGATTGCTTGTGTTGCAGTCGAAACGTCGTGATAATTTTATTGTTTTATATTTTTATTATTTTATTGTTTCCCTTCTACGGGACTTTACCGAAAGAACCAAGAATATGAATCCCTGCAGTCACGAAAGATTTAAATCAAAAGTTTTACATAATTTAATTTGTCTGCAATCTGTGGGCGTCTATTTTGTTCCCTTTTAATGATATTCAAAATCCAGTCTGATGGCACTTGTATTTTCAGACATGTTCTGCAGGGGGCGTTGCATTAATGTAGATTGTAAACCCAATTATTAACAAGCACGTACCCCAAAATCACTGGGGTTTTTGTTTATTGTTGCAGAATTTTTTTCGATATTACAGTTTTTATGGTTGAATTATTATTATAAAGAGTGACAAAATAATAACACGCCTCTGCTCTCTTTGCACGTGGTGTTTGTGTATTCGTGTGTGTGTGTGTTTTGCTGCTCAAATGTTATGGCTTAATTACAGATGCTTTTTATAGGGCGCTGCTCGGGGAGAGGGGCTAACGAGCGTGTTTTTGTTTTGGCTCCTTGACTGTGTCAGCAAGAGAGCTCCCAGAGGGCAGGAGCTCCCTCCCACTCAGACCGTGTCTACAAGCTTGTCTTGGCTGGAGATGCCGCAGTTGGCAAGTCCAGCTTCCTGCTACGCCTCTGCAGGAACGAATTTAGGAAGGACACGATCGCTACTCTGGGTCAGCCAAACACAATCATCGCACAGCCGAAATAAGAAAACACTCGTACAGTATTTCACACATCGGGCTTCATTTATCGCTATCGTACGAAGCACTGCTCGGCTCGCTTGTTGTTGGGGATGATCATCATAAGGCACTGCCACTAGAAAGCAAGATACGCCCTTTCACAATAATTCTACATTGTTGCACTTAGTATTCCTGCAATCCTGTGAACACGTTCATAAATAATGAGAACAATCTAGGGCGAGGTGAGATGCGGCATGCCAAAATAATTCCCAGAACAGCATTCTCAACTCTTCCGACTGAACTGAAACATTGTATATATAGGGCTTGATTTAAGCTGGAGCTGTCTGGGGCTAAGCTCCAGAAATATTTTGCTGCTTCCCCCCCCTCTCCCACCCACTGTGGCAGTGTCCCAGAAAATATTCCATGACAAATGAAGCCCTATATTGCATGCATATATATATCAAAGGGTGTGACGGTTGGTGTTTGTGCCCTAGGCAACGTTATCATCTACACCGCGCCGTGTTTTGCATGAGAAAAAACACATGCTGCATGTTTGTGTCTTGCAGGTTATAGGCCTTCGTGTCATCCGTGTCTGCTGCCTTTGTGCTTGCAGAATTACGCTCCGTGCCACCGTTTGCATTGTGCCACTGGAGCCGGCCTCCCGGGCAAGATAAATAATCACTGTAGATCAGTCCCCTTTTTAGCTTTATCTAAAACAAGGCAGCCACCCAACTAGGCCTCCTTCCAAGCCTCGTGTGTAGTGGTGCGAGCTGCGATGCTGCCCAATGCTCTCTGAAAGTGAGCAAAGTTGGCACGGCGGTTGAAATTCTCTAGAAATTCACTTAAATGAGGCGAACACATGGGGGCTTATGTAACCTTACAAGTGTGCTCCATCTTCACACTATTTTTTAAATCACAACGCCGTTTCGCAATACCAAGGACACGTTTCTCCAAAAACGCATCCCTTTCCGTGACACGTGGCGACTTGTAGTTGGTGATACTTTAAAGGAAATGTGCTGTTTTAAAAATAGCGTCATGACCCTTTTCATTATTTTTTTTGTACTGTAGTAAATATTTAGCCATAAGCAGTAGCTTTTCAATGTTTACTCATCATAATGTATTTGCAACACTCATATTTTATGGAGGTGGGGGGGGGCAGTGGGGGGGGGGGGGATAATGGCCTTGCGGACACGATAATATTTAGCTGACTTTTTGACGTGAAGTGGAAATGTGTGGGCTGTGGGCTGTGAATTAAAAATGGTCCTCACATCCACATCATCACTCACCTTTGTGTTCGAAAAACAATTGCAGGCAATGAGGTGTGAATGGTGTTAGAACAACATTCTCGTGTTATGCTTGATTCTGATGCCATTAACCCTTTGGCCTGCTCGTGGATTGTGTGGATATAATGTTTGGAGAGAAAAAAAAACATTTTTATTCAAAGATCGTTTGTATGAAAGCATCACGTGTACAGTAATTGTATATTACTTCCCACTGTCAATACGTTGCTTGGTGAAGGACTCCTATCTTTTCGTCAGATGGGTCATTTGGCCATACCTCACTAGATTGGTCAGTGGGGATTCATAGTTGGCGGGATACCAGGAACTATTCAGATATCACTCACTCCTGCTTTTAGCTACGGTCAGGAATCAAACACGGGTTCCCAGTTTAATAGCGCCTTTCTTCTTATTTAGTATTGGGAGCATTGCAGAGATTAAGCAACTGATTTTTGGAACCGCAACAAATGTTATAACATCAATGTCTGGGTTCTGTAGCCATCCAGTTGCACTGCTCGTGAGTTGATGAATTGCTTTGGTTGCCCACCGTTCAATGGACTTCATTGGCAAGCAGCAGGTGGCTACATCCTCCACAGCCACAGGTGGAACGATCCTTCCTCTATCTTCCACCTGTGTTGGCCACACGGTGTCATCGGGCGATAATTCACCGACAGTGCAATAATGCGGTGTAAATCCTATGTTTCAGGAGTGGACTTTCAAATGAAGACGCTGATTGTAGATGGAGAGCACATGACCCTTCAGCTCTGGGACACAGCTGGACAAGAGAGGTGAGCCCAGTTTTACATGAATTGATTACGGCTGCTTAGCCGATGTTTATTCAATGTTGACAAAATGTCATTCCGTGACATTACCCAATGCAGAATCTGTTGTTTGAACGTTGGAGCATTGCTAATACGCATTGACGTGCTGTGTTCAGAGAATAAATGCATTTCACATCCGACGGTAACTGCATTAGAATGCATTTATATCGCTTTAATGCATTTAAGCTCATTGCATTTATTTTTGTCCCCAGGTTTCGGAGCATTGCTAAGTCGTACTTCAGGCGAGCAGATGGTGTGTTGCTCCTCTATGATGTGACCTGTGAAAAGACCTTTCTAAACGTTAGGGACTGGATTGACATCATTGAGGTACAGTGTTGTCATTAGAGGGTTAATATCGGGGTTATGAAGCATCTGGTATCGTGTTGGCATTGCTATCACATTGAAGCCATCTGTCCCAGTGTGCATGTGTAGGCTTCATGCCCGTGGAAATTAGAGGTTCCTCCACAAGCCGTGGAATGAGCCTCATGCGCCCGGCATACTTTCACCTTTACATAACGTCTCCAGAATATAAAGGTGACTCTGTTTTTCATTCGCTGTATTTGGTTACGGCTGAAAATGCTAACCGCGGGTCCCCCCCCCCACCTCCCCCGTAATCCTTCCCGCAGGACTCCGCACCAAAATCGATTCCTGTGATGCTGGTTGGAAACAAGAGTGACATGAGGAACATGTCACCTGGAGCCGATCAGAAATACGTGGCCCACACGTTTGGAGAGAAGCTCGCGATGGTATTCAACAAACGTGGGGGGGCACGCAGCAAACTCACAATGTGGTCAACGTGAAACTTTAAACAATTGTGGGATGAATTTCGATTTAAAGCTTTCGTGACTGCAAGGATTCATCTTCTTTGGTTCTTTCGGTAAAGTCACGTAGAATGAGAATAAAATAATAAATTGATAAAATAACACAATAATATTCTCACGACGTTTCGGCCACAACACAAGCGACCTTCATCAGGTGAAGGGACGAGACTGTCTGGTAGGACAGCGCTGTCCTTTCACCTGATGAAGACCGCTTGTTTTGTGGCCTAAACGTCGTGAGAATATTATTGTGTTATTTTATTTTATCAATTTATTATTTTATTCTCATTCTAGGTGACTTTACCGAAAGAACCAAAGAAGAATTGTTGGATGCTAAACAAGAATGAGTAACGATACAATCTGCTTGTATCTATCATGCATTCTGCTCTGGTTCCCTGTGTTTTTATATATATGTGGAACGGCTTTGCTCATCTTGGGAGAGAGGGGCTAAGCCTTTGGCAGCAGAGGGATGGGGGGGGGGGGTCCGCCCATTCCAAGGCTCTCTGACACTACAGAGGGGCCCGGTCTTCACATTTTTCTAAAACCGTGGCTTCATCTGTAATCTCGCGTGTGTTGGTGCACGAGTGGGAAAAAAAGACACGACCGTTAACGTGTTCACGCTCTTTCACTTTTTCAGAATTACAATGCCCTGTTTTGTGAGACGAGCGCCAAGGATGGCTCCAACGTGGTAGAGACGGTGCTACACCTGGCCCGGTATGTCCCACACACCTTTGCAGTGCCAAGTGTTGTCGGCTGCAGGCATACGCGCTGCAAGTGGGCAGCAAAGAGCGCTGCATCAAAATCGGGTGTTGTACCGTATTTCTATGTGGCTGTAAAGGAGAGCCGACACACAAGCGTTGCAAGGGGTTCGGTGTTCATTCCTCTTCTGTCATCCACACCTCCCTCCAGCCGTCTCTCAATCTCGTTCCCGCCCAAGGCCCCCTCTTCCCGCCAGTTCTCTCCTTATATCTCCTCGATTACCCCTCCCCCTTCTCCTGTCACCGTCCCACCAACCCTCCTATTGGTGGGAATCCTCCCCCTGACACCCCTACATGCCGATATCTATGCCACCCCCCCCCCCCCCGGCCTTGATAAACTTACTCTGACAAGCATGGCGAAGTATGATAAACCCGCACAGCGTGGGTAGGGCCACGTATGGCAGTGGATTACCTTGTACACGGGTACATGTACAGGTTTCAGACACGTGTTGTTTGCTACGTACATTTTTTTTTTTCCCCCATACACATGAAGCTGAATTGATTTGATTTGTTGCAAGTGATTGCTCGGGTTGCAATTCAGTTTACGACATTAATTAAAACAACGGTAAAAATGAGAAACGCGTCGGCGTGCAACACGGAAAACGTGATGCATTTGATTCCTTTAATGGGTGCCAAGGTGCACGTCCCTTAATTGTGTTTTCAAGTCAATAAAAAACGCAAACGCGCACAAACGTGATTGCGTTTTTAATGCGAAATTAGGCTCTTCCAAGTTGCGACCAAAGATTTAGCATGGCACCATATGGCGCCATTCTGCAAAGAAATAAATAAAACCCAAGTTGCACCGTGACGCCATAAACGCTCCCAGTCCCGGATGCCCCTGCGAGATTCCTGGATTTCTCTTTCAGGGGGCATCCACGAGGGTTTGCCACCTCTTAAGGTATAAAACAAAAAAAAACTAGGACATGCAACTGACAAAAAACTGAGATTAGTTTTTTTTTTGTCCCAGGAAGACTCGCAAATATTTCAGGGCATTTACCTTAAAAAATGGAACCATTTAAAACATCAGGCGGTTTCAACTGCTTTGCTTCAAGCAAGCTCGTCTTTGCTGATGAAACGCCGCATGTTGAAAACTGGTCCCGAGTTTGCTTGTGTGTTGGACCAATGCTCCTCCTAGGATGCACTCCAAGAAGGCTGTGTTGGCCAGTGTGTTGCTTGAAACGAGAACAAAACATTTCACTTCTATGTGGAGAGACGAATGTGGGAGGGAGGAATGATTTTGTAACCTCCCAAAGACGACACGATCCCGGGAAAACCAGGACCGGTGGTAACCCTGGGCATCAATCATTGCTTTGGAAGCTCTGTTTTGAACCAGAGAGACACTCTCGTAACCGCATTGTTTTTGCAATCCCCTCTGGGTATCGCCGAGTACTGTGTGGCCTTGTATCATCGGGTTTAGCCCGATGATACCGTGAGGTGTTTTGTCAAATTAGTTTGACCTGCCCCGCTAAGTGGTGTTGTGTGACGGTGTTTTATGTTACCGCACATTGATGCTAAGTGAGAAAATCGTCAGGAGAGACGGCTGCTGCGAGCGGTCAATGACGAATAAATAATCATGGGCTCCTAGCAGGGAAAACCCGTTACTGTGAACAAGCGCAGTGCGATATGCGTGCACTTTAGATTGGACAGGCTTGCTCACATGACAATTAGCGGCTGTGTAATTTCATTGGCTGATCAAGGCAACGCTTCCTTTGCCCCCCCCCCCCCCCCCCCCTGGACGGCAGCGATTTTTCAAAATCAACTTGTTTACTTTGCTGGGATGCAGTTGTGTTAAAACATCCTGTCAAAGTAATAATGCATTGACCTGACGTTCATTCGCAGATTAATGTCACACTGGAAAAATGCATCCATTTTGTTGCACGACAAAAATGAGGATTTTTATTCTTATACGCACACACACACACAAACTGGTTACCCCATTATCAATAAATTGAAGGTTTATAGAGGCTTCCCTTGGTGATTGTTAGTTGTGGAGGATTAAATTATTTACTCCCAGGCTCCCATTCTTCTCCGCAAGATTACGCAAAGCAATTGTCAGAAAGGGGCATTTGCTCTGAATGCTTCCATCAGCATTGGGAGGACGTTTAAAGAATAACCTCAACTCTTCGTCACATTTTTTGCAATGCAGTCTGATAGGTGGATTTTGGCATCCACGTACATTTTCATTGGCAATTTATCGTAGTATTGTATTACTTTTTTTTTCATTCCACCCTGCTCGAACTCCTGTCTTGAGCGAGCAAATGTTGGCAATTGCAAAGCAAAGCATTGAGTACAGTGGTCGAGTTTAATAACGTACATGACTTGCAAAAGCAATGTTATGCATCATTACATTGTTATATGGATGCAATAACTGAAAAAAAAACACGGCAAGACAAATCACTCTTAAAATACATACCATATATAAGAGCCAATTTTAATATGATTATGCTTGTTTACCCAGCAATACCTCGATGAGTCTCAAGACCCTTTTTCAGGAGGGTCCTGCCAGGCTTTCACAGTCGGGAGCTGTGTTGCTGTGTAATCCAAATTGAGAAATTTGCAGGTCTTTTTTTTTCTTAAGCATTCGGCGTGTTTTGCCAATACAAGCTACACTGTGCGTTTCATTTAGCTATGGAAGGAAACTGGAGAGCACCCCATGCAGAACAGGGGGAGAACATACTAAACGCCACACCGAAAGGCACCCAAGCCGGGAATCAAACCCAGGCCCTTGTTGCTGTGAGGCACGAGTCTTGCCACTGCACCACTCCGCCACCCTGTTTGATACCCACGATGAACATGGCCCTCTCTGCTTTACACGGCGACTTGACATCCGGTAGCGTTTCCATCAGTGGTCCTTAATCCTGGGGTGCACGCACCCCCTGGGGGTGCGACATGCCCTTTCTGGGGGTGCTAGACAAGGCCAGATTGTTTTAGGAGGTAAATCTTCGACACAAATTAAGCACGGGCACTTAAGTACAACTACTTTGTTTCATCAAGCCCTCTGTGTGTTTATTAACACTGTACATGTTTTAACGATTGAGAAACAAAGAGATGCAAGGATGCAGTCAAGGTTAAGAACCACTGGTTTAGATGCTGTGCAAACACAAACCGTGCTGCAAATCGTATTTAAAATACTCCTATGGATGTATTTGGCGATGCTGCTGCATTGGCAGTGGTACACAAGCATCATTTACAGAAGAAGTAAAAAAAATCAACACAATCATCAATAACACTGTGGCCTTACAAGGTAAAATACAATATTGTAGCCTTAAAAGGTAAACTATAAAATGTAATAATACGTAATAGCCCAAAGTTATTCAATATTGTTTCATTTTAAGGTCGTGTTATTGGCATGTTTGTTCAGTTATTTTTGTAAATAGTATTTTTCTGATTGTGTGACCATGTTCTGCGTTTTTAGGCTTCATAATCTAAAGGTTCAAGCAATTCTAAGACTTTATTAGAGAATGTTAGAATTGACAAGAGCATCTCTTTCCGAAAAAAAACACTTGCATCAGTCTGCTATGAATATGAACAAACTGAAAAACGTATAACGTTTGAGAAATAAATCTCAACCTTTCATTCTGAAGCCTGCCGAATGTCCACGTTTTTGCCTATATTGGGGCTCATCAGTGTGCCATGTTTAAGTTACAGACTTAATTATGAATCCTAAACAGGCCGGAGGAGATGCATCTCTGAATCTGTCCAGTGATTTGTTGATATAGCTTGCATCAGTCTGCTTTGTTTTTGTGTAGTCTGCACACTCCTTAATATTTATGGCAGATTCATGATGCTAATTTCGATAACGATGCATCAATAACGCTAATGGAAGCTGTGTGAAGTGTGTGTACTGCTGCCACAGGCCTTTCTGGAAGTGTACACACTGCATTGTTGAGTGGGGGGGGGGGGGGGGGGGAGGGTTGAGAGGTTTTTGAAATGTGCTTGCATATTTATCGGGATTGTCAAATTATAATCGTGGCTAAAAGCGTGTTGTCTCCTCTCCGCAATTTACAGGGAGGTCAAAAAGAGGGCCAATTCTTCGGGCAGCGAACCTCCTGCCAAAGGAGTCGAAGTTGACGATGAAAATAAAAAACACAAGTGTTGTAAATTATAAGGTTTCCACGGAACTCGATGAGAGCTGCGCTCCACTTGATCTCTGGGCTTCTCGGCTGCTTCACACATGGATGTAGAAATTCTAACCTTGAGTCTGATGACAAATACATTTTAAAACTGGAAGAAAAAAACTTCTAAATATGTTTTCACTGCAGCAAATAACTTATTCCGACCTGCTATTGTACTGTATATAAATAAAAGTTTATGATCAAAGTGCAATAAAAAATGTAATATATATAGCAGATAGATTTAGAAATGTTTGAAAGTTGCATATTTTAGGAGATAAAAAAATATCTGATGAATGTAACTTCTTCTTGGTTCTTTCGGTAAAGTCACGTGGAACTAAAATAATAATTGTATTATGTTTTAATTTTATTATTTTATTTCCCTTCTACGTGGTGACTTTACCGAAAGAACCAAGAAGATGAATCCCTGCAGTCACGAAAGCTTTAAATCGAAATTGAATGTAACTTGTTTAATAAAGTGATTTTTTTTAACATGCACCTTAAAGTCTAAGTCATTAATATGTAAATCGTTTCTTGATTATGAAATATTTTGGAATGATAAACTTTTACTTTTTAATTAACGAGATGTCTGGCCAACGTGGAAGAGTAGGCCATAGTACCCTCTAAGAGGGGATCTCTTGTGCTTCTCTTAGCGGAGGCCCTTCTGCTAGCAGTGGTGTGAGCAGGAAATTGCAGGGCTGCACCTTTACCAATGTTAAAACGTCGTGATGAACTGTGACATTTAAGCAAAGCAGCCTGAGCAGGTACAACACACTCAATGGGGGTATGATTCCATGCTCGGCTAAAGTGCTTGCACGTTAAAAACACATTTCGATATTTATAGCAACCCAGAATGGTTGAGAAGGTAACAGTGCGTTGGTTCAGAAGAAACGCATTGTGTTTCAGTTACACAAATGAAAAGACGCGAAACGTTTTCTAAGCCATACGCAAGTTTACCTTTTGATTCGTGGGAGGAATGAGCTTTTTTTGGCAATCTCCTCGCATCGCCACTGTTTTTTTTTAAGGATTGCGTTAAAATCGAACAAAAGACAATTGACGGCGTTGCTCTATTATGCGGCCAAATGTCCTCGAGGCGCGCTGCGGTGCAGAAGTTGTGACACGCTGGCAGGAACAGATACACACGGCCCCGTATGTCACCAGAGCCGAGTGGGCCGTAGTAACACGGGCCACAGTAATGCATGCTCGCGGTGGCCGACACAAGAGTGATGATAATGAGGATGCCAATAATTTACAGGCCAGCATTTCTTCACTGGTTGTACCCCGCAATTTCCTTTAATTGCGTGGCTGTTTATGAGCCTAAGATGTCCGTAAAATACTCCGTGCTGGCATATTGCCTATAGAGATTTACAAACTGTATCAGTAAATCATACAACAAGGCTTGATTATTATTCCTCTTGTTACTTGCCTTGAAATATTCTCACACCGTTGGAATTTTAACATGAATTATGCAAAAAAAACCCCTCCTGAATTGATGTGTCGGTACAAATAGCACATTTCAGCCATTATGCATATTTTATAATATTAACAGAAACGTGTGCTGGTTCAATTAAAATGTAAGTTTTTATTTATTGCGAATGCTTTCAAGCATACAGGTAAACAGTTGTTTAAGTTGAAAAAAATAAAACCGCATTGCTTATTTGTTTTTAACTGTGCAATTTGTCTGCAAAGTAACGTAAATGTGTTTTTTTTTATTTACGATGTGTTCTATTCGGTGAAGTGACACTTTTATGACAATGTTCCCTCCATTATGGCGGTTATGTTATTATGAACTGCCAAAGTATTTTGTTGTTTTAACAAAATATAAACCTCTTCCATGTATGTTGTGTAATAAGGAGCAGTTAACAACGCACGTGAACTTGCATCATCACAAAAGCACATTGAACGAATGGTTACTTTGTGGGTAATGCCCATATCCAAGCACGGAGCGGGCACAGCTGAGACATCCGTTTCGAATGTGACCAGCCACCAGATATGATGTTGATGGATCAATCTTTCGATTGAATGTCAAAATTGGTCCAGAGTTTGCTTGTAGAAAAGCAATGCTGCTGAAATTATACACTGCCAGGAGGCTTTGCGCCCGATGGGATGTCTAAAAAAAAGATAGGTGGAGGCGAATTGTCTGCTTATTTATTTTGTCATCTATTTAAAAAAATGATGCCCACAATACACGCATACAACTGTGCATTTACACATCGATTATGAGTTATGCAAGTAATATGCTAATGTTACCAGATGGTGGGATGATATTGCTTGGGCATATCTCGGAGGTCACGTGTCTCCAGTGCAGCAGCAGCAGCAGCTGCGGGATCTGGCATAGGGAGGATGGCTTTGGCAGCGAAATGCTGGTGTTGACAACCATAAGTTCGGCCACGATGACGTCTTCATGTTGAACGTTGCGTTTAGTTTAATGTAGCAAGTCAGACTACAATGTGCCGTAAAAAGCGAGAGATAAATTAGTATTACAAAAATTCGTGTCGGTACCACAAATTTTGAGAGTAAAATAGCTGGGGGTGGGGGGGGGGGGTGAGATACGTTTTTGGAGTAAAGCAAATTGATGGTCTCGGTCTGATCAGCAGCAGTTTTACTAAATATGTTAAATTTAGTTTACCACTCACTTCACGTACTTCAGCATATCCTCGCCTTTGAGAATAATTTTAAATAAAAATATAGCCTATTACTGTCATACAATAAACATGCTTTACACAACTTGAAGGCTTGACGGCATGTCATCTGGTACTGCGTTCTGTGAGATAGGCCCAGAGAATTGTAGTTATTTCCAAGTCTTACTTTGGTGTCACATTCGACAGTGATGTGCTGCTAGCTGCGAGAAATGTTAAAAGACCATTTTGTGTTACGATAAAGATCTAGAAGTATTAAAGAGAATATTGAATGTGCATCTGTCAATATTCGTTAAACGAAAATTAATATTGCATGAGCTGATATGTAATTCTCAGATAAATATGTTTTTAGAAATTGCATTGTTATTAATTTAAATGTCATAATTGGACCTGTATTCCCAAGATAATTTAGGAATCCGTTCCATAAATCCATGTGTTTTATTGGCATCCGTAATTTTGCGATATTTTTTTTATTTTAACGTAGATTATTAATACTGATATTAAAAATCCTACATTGATACGAACTCGGATTACTTCAGTAGAATATCCTGCTCGGAAATCTGATGTAGACGTATTATCGTGGGTCTGTAACACAATAATGAATTCGAAGAACAGGCCGTTCGTTAATCATGCTTCATGAAGAAGTGCGTACATATTTTGTGATCCTCTTCTGGTCTCCAAATAGCCATCTGGCCTGCACGAATGTAAAAGTGGCTTACCAGGGGTTTTTCCGGGATAAGAATGGGGGATTGGAATGGCGTTGACCGTGAGTGTTCCACTCCAGGCAAACCATTCTCTAATAACCCTTCGCATTTGCAGGGACTGACTGAGTGTGTGCGCGCGCGTGCCTCAGCGTGGTGCCATTACGCAGTCACCGTGTGCATTGTCGTTGGATGATGTACAGTGGTGGCTCTGACCTTCAGTGACCCAAAACAAATGCATTTAGAACCGACGAATTACGTAAAAAAAATGTATACAACACAAAGAAGACGATGTACACGTTGTTTGTAAATTCCATACAGTAAGAAAAAAAAAACGCTCTGGAAAGTAAGAGGCGTCCTGAACCTGTCCGGTGTGACATAAGATATACAAATCATACACACACCTGTCAGACCATAGGACGCACCCGCAACGTTTGCGTTAAAATGCAAGAGTGAGCAGTGCATCTTATACGGAGAATGCAGGATTTATCATTGAACGGCCATTTGCGCTGCGTATTTCCAAAACTTACAACGCCAGCACGAGTTTGGTTTGTGATCCTCGTGCTATTTTACCCGACAGCATTTCGAATTATCATGTCATGTGGAGAACGATTATACACTTGACATTAAAATGGCCATCCTTTACGTTTTCTGTTTTTGACGGGTATTCATCTGACATCGCGATACCAAAATAAGTAATTGAGGAATGTTTTAAATATTTCAACCATGTAATTAAAAACTTCAAACTGCTATCTTCTTCATCATGAGACCTCCTTTGCCAGTACCAAAATATAATAGGTTTTCCCCTTTTTTCTGGCAACAAAACTGAAACCTTTTTACAAGGAATCATGTCTGCATTAACCACAATACTTGTGGTCAGAATGCAAACAAAAAACATACTCTGATAATATATGCATTTTGATTTAAAGCTTTCGTGACTGCAGGGATCCATATGCTTGGTTCTTTCGGTAATATAATATATGCATTGTCCTTGAAACTGATTGGTCCACACCAGAGACAATTTTCTTTTGAGCCTCGTCTCAAACGGTGCTAGACCAGAGGACGCCAAAAGGCAAGACATATATTATCAGTGTTTTTGTTTGCATTTTGACCACAAGTATTGTGGTTAATGCAGACGTGATTCCTTGTAAAAGGTTTCAGTTTTGTTGCCAGAATAAAGGGGAAAACCCTATTCTGCTATCTTATCATTATTTAGTAGTTAATAATACTTTTATGGATACAGTGTATAATTCCGCCATGATCCCGTTAACATTTGGTTGTTAAAATATACTGTTGGTTTAATTTAATCTTTAAATGTTTAAAAATGCGGATTTGACCTTTCCTCTCATTTCCTCTGGTAGCCAATACAATTTTGTTAACTTTATTTCTGTCAAATCTAAACTGCATGAGAACAGGAAGCACTACCACTGGATTTGTAATGCCAAATTCTATAATGCTATCATATACCAGATTGTCCTGTAAAAATGTTGATAAGAGGATCATATATGTTGGCAAAAAAAATATGACAAATGTGGGCGACTGTCCCTCAAATATCACTCCATTGTGAACAAACTCTATCCCCTGAAGCTAATAATCGTGGTGGTGCTGGTCCATCGCCCAAAGTGGAATTTATTGTGGGGGTTCCCCCCTTTCAATTTACAAACTACTAATGAGATGAGATAGACAAGAGATAGAGATGTAGTGAGATGTGAGAAATTCAGACAAAACTTAGAGATGGTAGTCAAATGAAAGAAGAGGCGCAGTCAGGTTCGTTGGTTTCTCAATCCGCTTGTCCTGGTGAGGGTCACGGCGGCTGCGTGTTGAGTAGGGTGGTCCAGACCTCCCTTTTTCCTGGCGACGGATTCCAGCTCTTCCTGGGGAATTCCCAGGCGTTCCCAGGCCAGCCGAGGGACATAGTCCCACCAGCGTGTCCTGGGGTCTTCGCCCAGTGGGACGTGCTGCCCGGTAGAGTCCCAGGGGGAGTCTACCGGGGGGCATCCTTACCAGGTGCCCGGACCACCTCATCAGTCAG